TGTCCATAAAAGTCTCTGTCTACTTTTTTCATCCCTAAGCTATGTTTTCACCAGACTACAGTACTCGATATAAAAAAGTTTCTTTTTTCAGTTTTGGTTCTTAATTGTCAGTAATATTGCAATGTTTTTGTTTTCTACCATTTTCATTTCAAATGCATGATATTCAATTAAATTATGTAGGATTAATTTCCATTTTAATAATAGAATATATGCTTTCCACTAGAGAAGGAAATGGCAAGCCACTGCAGTATCTTAGCCTAGAAAACCCCATGGACAGTGTGGTCCATGGGGTCACAAAGAGCCAGACAAGACTGACTAACTCAATGATAACAACAACAACAACAACAAAAGTTCCTTGAGGTAGAAGACTATCTTAGTATCCGCAAGCAGCTTAGCATGGTAGGTTATATTGCATCTTAGATGCATGACAAATACTTGTTGAATTGAATTAGAATAGAGAGAATACACTTGAATATTTACAATTAATTTCCTCAGAGCCACCCTATGGGCAGTGCAAGTGTTACCCAGAGACAGAAATGATCTCCTTTAGAGTACGTGACTTCCTGGTATGTCCAGCCAGTAAGTGTTAGAGCCAGAATTCAAAGCTAGCATTTTTTACTCTTTCTGGCATTCTTTCCCTTAGACTATTTGGACTAAATGACCACTATCACTATTTCTGTGACTTTAGGCAAATATCTGCCAGTAAATAGTTTTCTATGCGAGAAGTAACTTAAGTTCTGTAATTACTTTGTTAGGACTTTGAGAAAATGAGAAGATTGTGCTAAAAGCTGTCTAAGGTCTATTTCAGCTTTAAAATCCTGTGATTTCTATGTATTGTTTCTAGGGAAAAGCTCATTTCCCCTTTTCTTCTACCTCTTTTCAGCTTTTCTTCCCATTAGATTGTAAGCTCCATGAAGGCAAGGACTATCTTTTTTATATTTGTGTCCCAAACACTTAGAACAGTGTCTAGTCCATAGTACATGCTTAATAAATGTTTTTTGTCTGACTCACTGACATATTTTCAGTTATTGTTGACTGAAAAGCATAGAGAATGCAAGATACCACTGCTCATTTTTTTATCTTAAAAATATTGATTCATTAGAGTAAAATTCTCCCTTAAAAGCTCCCTTTTAATAAAATCTCTTCCATGAATATTGTATAAGATTCTGTGAAAGATGTAGCTCTTTTTTTTTTTAAAGCACCCATTGGGCCATAAAACACAGATATATGCTTCATCAAGATGTTTGCTGTTATCATGGAGAATGTTCAGTGTGGAGCCAAATAGAAGAGATTAGATTATGATTGACTATAGAGTATGAAGTCTTCCAGTTGCTCTTCTTTGTGGATGATACTATACTGATTGCATGAAACCCCAGATTATTAGAGAACCTTCTAAATGAGATCCATAGCCACTCAGAAAATACTGGCATTGCTATCCAGTCAACAATCAGTTTTTAAGCACTAGCTTGCAGTGTACTAAACTAGACACTGTGCTAAGTACTGAGGATACAAAGAAATGCAAAAATATGGTTCCAACCCTCAAGGAGATCACATTCTGATGGAGGAGGCAAGGTACAAAAAAAAAATTGTACATACAAGATATAGAGAGAGTACATGAGAAATTAATCTCAAAGACAAGGTACTTGGAAGTAGGAAAGGGCCAGGAAAAGCTTCCTGCAAAAGATAGGGTTTGAACTGAGTCTTAAAGGCAGCTAAGAGTCAGAAGTGAGGTAGGATAGTATTTCAGGCATGGGGATTAACAACTGAAAAGGCACGGAGCTGAGAAACGGAATGTCATGTATGAGGAATAGCATGAAGGCCAGTGTTTCTGGTATATAGAGTATATCTAGGAAAGTAAAGAGTAAAATGACCAAAAAGGTAGGAAGGGAACAAATTGTAAAGGGCCAATTGAAGAATGCCATTTGTCCAGAGACTATGATATATGATTGGATGGCTGACCCATGAAGTTGGTTGATCAATACATTTATTTTCCAAGCACTGTATATGGACAATGACCTGGACTCAGAGTTACAGGAAAAAGACGATTGCTTTGGAGAAGTATATAGAGCTTCTCCCTGAGACTGTCACTATTCAGTCACATAATACTAGTCTCCCAAAGATTAAGTTGCCTGTCACCCTTTAACAGGCAATATATGACCAACCAAAATTAGACAACAAAAACAGGCTAGAGGATATCATTCTCCCTCTATGTCTCTGTATCTCTGTTTCTCAGTGTCTCTGTCTTGTCTGTCTCTCTGTTGTTTGCTTAGTGAGCTTTATTAATATCCACAATATCATCAGAACTAAAGGAAGGCCTCTGGTATGTTGAGTGCTTACTCCATAAAAGAATTATTGGAGTACATGGGCAGGAATCACAGGATGAGAGGGCATGGATGGATTATAAACTTTTATCATTAGAAGTACCCACATCAGTGAGGTCACAGATCCATTGAAGTATATCCCCAGGGCAGATGTGAACACAAATATTTACACAGCTCATTACTATGTTAAATTCATGCTTTGCATCAGTCTGAGTCATGATTTAGAACATTTCCAGCATAGAATGGTGAATAAAAAAGACATTTAGCAGAGGGATGGGATAGGGCAGCTAGACATTCAAACTTCTTTGGCATTGGGTTGTTTAAAATAGATTTTTATTGATGTTTTTATATCACTAGAATTTCTCACAGTATTCTTCTAGTCTCCTCTCTCAGGCATCTCATATAACAAAGAAAAAAAGAGGAAGAAGAGAAAAATACAGTGGTTTTTTTAAATTTAGTTTGACTTATCATGATCATTTGTTCAAATGTAAATACAAATATTCCTCTCACTGTCCAAGATAAAAGCATCCATTTTGGATTAGTCCTATTAACAATGTCTTCATTTAGTTCAGATAATCCATGAAAGCCTTTTTCAAAAAATTAATTAATATATTTTTAGTTTGTAACATTCACTTCTGTAAGATTTTGAATTCTAAATTTTCTCTTCCTCCTTCCCCTCTGCCCTCTCCTGTCCAGTCTAATATAGTCTCTACCATATACATTCATATTAAACATATTTTCACATTAGTCATGTTGTAAAGAAGAATTAGAACCAATGGGAGGAACCATGAGAAACAAGAAACCAAAAAGGAAAAAAAAAAAAGGAGGGAGAGGGAGAGGGCAAATAGTATGCTTTGATCTGCATGCAGACTCTATAGTTCTTTTTCTGGATGTGGAGAGCATTTTCCATCATGAGTCTTTTGGAGTTGTCTTAGATCTTTGCATTGCTGAGAAGACCTAAGTCCAAGTTAGTTATCGCACAATGTTGCTATGTGATAGTCTTAGGTTATTTTATATTAGTGTGAAAAGGATGGTGGGTCTTTGAAGTCTATGCTAACAGAATACATACCTAGGCCATTTTCTCAAGCTAGAGAAGCTCTGCATATGCTTCTGGCAATAGGTTTGCCTGCTTTCCAAGGTCCAACTTAGCTAATTATGAATATAGAGTAGCTCATCACCTGTCCAGTAGATGATGAATTGTTTGTCCCTGGTAACCCATGAAATGAAAATAACAAAAAAAAAATCCTCATTTCCATAGTAATATTTGCCAGAGTTGAGGAAAAGGGTGAGGGTTCAAATGATCATATTTTTTATATCTATAAACATCATTTGAACTGTTAGTACTTACGTGAGATCTTTGGCTGATGATACTCAACTTAATATACTATGAAAGTAACCAAACCACATCAGTATTGGTATTTTCACTATAAACAAGAAGAATGGATAGCCTGAAAAGTTCTTGCGAAATATCTAAAAAAAAAAACCTAAAGAAAAGCCTTTAGCACATTGGTTAGGTCCTTGATGGTGGAGTATTTGTGGAAGAATCAGGGACAAGAATTACACAGGATGAGAATATATGAATTAGATTAGTGACAGATTTGTTAAACTAGATTAGCCTTGTCTATAAAATGTAATGGTTTATTGCCTACATATTAGTTTTCTATTAGTATTTTATACGTGTGTGTATATACATATATATATATAATATATATATATGTTTGTGTGTGTGTATGTATATATGTATATACATATATACATACACACACACATACACATACACACACGTATATATTAGTATATATGTCCAAAAATAGATCTCACATTCAGCAATTGTGGGCAACCAGGTGGCTTAGTGGAGCTCCAGGCCTGGAGTCAGGAAAACTCATCGTCTTGAGTTCAAATCTGTCCTCAGACACTTATTAGTTGTGACCCTGTGTAACCCTGTTTGCCTCAGTGTCCTCCTCTGTAAAATGAGCTGGAGAAGGAAATGGCAAACCACTCCAGTATCTTTCCCAAGAAAACCCCAAATAGGGTTATGGAGAGTTTGACATGACTGAAACAACCAAACAACAAAAACAACAATGGTATCAAACTGAAATAGAAACAGATCCCTCTAGGCCATATGTCAACTTCGAAAACATTATCCATGTTGTATTATATTTTTATGTGTTTTGTTAAATGTGTCCCAATTATATCTGGTTAGCCTGCACTCAGAAGTTTTACTCTGTAGTGCCTTATAGGGCTGTCATTTTTACGTGATGTTCCTTTGTTGTATAGCTTTCTGAAGAGTGCTCTCTCATCACCACAGTCGTAGGAAATCTTCCTGGACATTAGTCTTTGAGATGTTTTGGTATCAAATAAAGGGAATCTAAATGATAAGCATAGGACCAATTTAAAGAGACTACTTAGATTATTTTTGGATCAGAGCATTTTCACCTTTTAAATATTCTTGTTACTATATGTCTGTTGTAATATAAGTTTATGAAGCATTTGGGGAAAAATTATTTTTCCTAATTAGTTACTGCATTTCTCCTTTCCATGATTATCAGTATACTTTTTCACTTGTGACACTAATATTCATTAATTTTGGTTCTAACTAATGGCCACATATTCTATTTCTGGCAGTGCTGTAAGGAAATATTAATTGTTTTTGTTTTAAACTATTTTGTGTTTAAACAGGTGTCCAACACTCCCAGCTCTCTAGTGAATCGCTGCTACTAGAGGTGGTGAAACAAGTGAAGGTCAATGATAGAGAAGAGGATAAATTGGACCTTCCTGAAGAAGACTCAACAGCCAGAGCAGACGTGCATGTGTGAGCATTTAGAAGAATATTAAAAATTATCTTATGTTAGGAATTAGACGTGTGCAATTTTAGAATTGATAATAATAAGGCGACTTTTTATTCATTACTTACATGGTGTTTTAACGTATTCAAGTTGTTTCACAAATATAATCTAATTCTTACAGAAACCCTGCGAGGTAGGTGTTCTTATCTCTATATTATACATAATGAAATTGAGGCTAAAATGGGATAAGTAACTTGCCTGGGGGCTCAGAGCTAGTATGTGTCCAAGGCAAGAATTGATTTCAGATCCCCCTGAACTAGGGTCCAGTCTGAAATGTTGAACACTTGCTCTACTTAGTACTGTTTGAGATGGAAAAGAAAGAGTTCCTACTCAAATCAGGGAGGTAAAGTCACTCTTAAAATAGCTATTAAAAAATGCAATCAATAAGTAAACAGTGGTTTACTTATCTGCTGTGTGGTAGATGCTGAGACAAAGACAAAAAGAAAATAATTCCTACTCTCAAGAAGCCTAAATTCTCTTGGGGGAGACAATGTGCACAGATAATTTTTTTTCAGAATATATGCAAAATACATCAATGGTAATTTTGAAAAAGAGGTTACTAGGAGTTGGGAGATCAAGAAAGAATTCTTGTATAAGGTTGTAATTGTAAAATTGTAAAATGTAAATGTAATTGTAAAAGGCTTGTTCTTCTAAGAGATGGTTCGATATGGGCATGGGGAACTGCCAGTACAAGGCCCAGGGAGGAGGGACAGTATTAGGAAGGGAATCACAAGCCCAGCTGGGCTGGACTTTAGAGGGTAGGAAGGAGAGTAAGGACTAATATGGCAGTAAAAGGAGGAGATTGTAAAGAGCTTCCCATGCCCAGCAGGAGTATGTAGTTTATTCTCAAGATTGGAGAGAGCCACTGAGATTTGAGTAGGGGTGTGATGGTGTCATTTTTAGGAAAATTGCTTGGGCAGTGGTATGTAGGATAGTTTTCAGGAGGAAAAGACTTAAGGTAGGATACTAAAGGAGAGGCCATTGTAATAGTCCACTTGATATGTGATAAGGGCTGCACAAGCATAGTGGCCAAGAGATTAGAGAGAAGGGATGAGGAATTGCAGCTCACAAGAGAGCCCATCAGATGCTGGAGATATATATATATATATAGATATATATATATATATATATATATATATATATATCTATATATATATATATATAAATATGATTAAAGTGAGAAAGGCTTGAGAGAAGAGGTTTGTGACAGCCTCCACAGAAAATGGGATAGAGAAAAGTAAAAGGAGGCCCAGGTGAGGTTAGATAATGTACATTTGTAGTGGACCCATTCTACTTGGTCTACTACTTTTTCCAGTTTTCTTCAGCACTATGTATGAGAGCAGGGAAGACAAATAGTGTTTTGTTTAATATAAGGAAATGCCAAGTTCGCACTTAAGAACTTAAAGTCTTGATGGCCTCTTGTTACTGTTCTTGTGGGCAGCTAGGTATATGTTGACCTGGATTGCTCCTGAGGACACTTGCAACTCTAGAGAAGAGCTCTTTTTTTTGGCTGAAATGACCTAGTGAGATTTTATGTAGGAAATATGACTCTCAGCTGGTCCTTAAAGGACTGGGAGGCTTTAAAGAGGTTGGGAAATGAAGATAGTAATTACAGGCAGTAAGAGCAGAATGAGCAAAGGTGAGGAGGCAAAAAAGATGAAATGTGCAGGAAAGACCCAGAGTAAATCTTAATTGTGTGTGGTTTTTCACGTTGTTACATATCCTACTTAGAACATATTAAAGTGATTTTTTTTAACATTTTAGTCTCTCCTTTTTTTTTTTTTTTGGCGAGGCAATCAGGGTTAAGTGACTTGCCCAGGGTTACACAGCTAGTGAGTATCATGTATTTTTGTTGTTTTTAATTTTTTAAGTTTGAGAAGGGAGCATGGGATGATGGAGTACAAAATAGCCTTGGAGTTAGAAAGATCTGAGTTAAAGCCCTTCTCACACATACTGACTGTGTGATGCTGGAAAGCCATTTTGACTTCTCATTATTCCTGACAACCAAGACTGTAAGTGGCAGAACAGGTGGCAGTCTGCAGTGGGTCAGATGGAACTTCTTTTCTTGGAATTGTCTACATTAGTGAAACCACAGGCCTTGTATCCAGAGTGAAATGAACAGAACTACAAGAACAATTTGTGTAATAACATTATAAAGAAAAGGCATTGGACAAGCAATCAAAAGACCCAACTGTAGTCCTGGCTCTGCCACTTCTTAACCTGGAGTAAGTCATCATTTGGGCCATGCTTTCCTTCTCTGTATAGCTGCGACTTTCCTAAGGGCAGGGACCGTAGGTTATTTATGTGTATTCCCCATAGTACCTAGCACATGTCTTGAACAACAATGTGCTTGATAAATGGTTCTTGAATGAATATTTAATGATGGATAACTGGAGAAAATATTTGCTATGTCTGCCTCACAGGACTGTTCAATAAATCAATCAACAAAGAATTATGAAGAGACTTCCTTGTTCTGGGTACTGTGCTAGGTGCTGGAGACACACAGCAAAACTGAAATGGTCTTTGCTCATATCATCAGGGACCTTACATTCTCGGAAGAAACAGAATGTTCATGTGTAACTATATACAAAATAGATAAAAAGTGATTGAGTTGGCTGCTTTGGCGATCGAGAAAGATAGTTAGAAGATTGGGCTTCAACTGAGTCTTTCAGTTTTTTAGTTGCTTGATACAGTCTTGAAAGAAACTAGGGATTTTGAGCCACAAATGACTCTTGGTGTAGGAGGTTTTTGAAATACAAAATGCTTTATAATGTAGACATAAAAGGTCTTTCAAATCATGTTTCATATGTTTAAATAGTGTCATTAGTTGTACTTTCTCCTTTTCTCAGTGTTTCTATGTCGTTTGCAAATTAAAACATTTCTCTTTGGGAAAAAAAAAGAAATAGAAAGTCTTGTTCACAGTAAAAGTAACCATGGTGAAAAGAAGAATAGATATTCAATTCAATTTGATGCATTTCAATTCAATGAACTTTGAGGAATTCAGTCCAACAAAGAGTTATTACAAGGAAGGCATTATGCTAAAGTCCAGTGAAAAAAATCTGAAAAATTCTGAAGAAATTTAATATGTAATGGAAAATTCAAACTTTTATTTGTATATTGCTTTGAAGATAATTAAGAATTTAACTTGAATATGACATCCGTTTCTATTTATGCAGTGTAATATCTGTTGTTTACTTTTGCAGAGATGAGAAAGGAGAACAGAGTCAAAAGGAAAAACTGGTGTTATCTGAAGACTGTGAACTTATTACAGTAATTGATGTGATTCCTGGCAGATTTGAAGTCACTACTCAACACATTTACTTCCATGATGGCAGCATTGAAAAAGAAGATGGTGAGGAGTTTTTAGAGTTGGGTTCCCCAGTTCCCGCAACCTCTTATACCAGTTCAATGATAAAGTATTTAGCTTATTTCAAATGGAAATAGAGAAAACAAAACAAACAGAAACCAGACACAGGGAACCTTATAACTTCGGGCAGTGCTTTCTTTGAAAGGAACAACAGAAGTAATATTTGAATTGGGAGAAGATGCTACAAGCAAAGTATTAAGATAGAATTTTAATTATCTCCTTGTTGTGCAGTTGGGTATCCTATATCCAATGATGTTGAGTTCTAAATTAAATCTCTATCTCTTATTGGAAGGAAAAATTTAACATGGTAAATTAATTTAAAGCAAAAAAATTTCAGAAATTAGTATTTGAAGTGTTGGTTATTTTATATTCTCATTGTGAGGCAGTACGATATCTGTAGATTTTTTTTGCCATTTTCTTACAAGGAAGTGATTTAAATACGTGAAATAGTAAAATTATTCTTACGCAGACTATGAAAACTGAATGATTTCTCTCTCCTTCACTTTCCTTACCTTTGTCAGAATCTATAAAAATAACATCCTAAATAGCAAGAGTAACTTTATATGGTACTTTAATCACAATAATTCCTCTCTCTGAAGGAATAGGTTATGATTTCAAGTGGCCTCACCCTCAAATTCGAGAGATCCACCTACGACGGTACAACTTGAGAAGGTCGGCCTTAGAGATTTTTCTCATTGATCAATCCAACTACTTTCTCAATTTCAAAAAGGAGGTATGTAAGGAGGTACTTCTCTGGTAGCAGGGATGCATAGATTAATGTGCCTTCTTAACTATTTATTTCTAATTGATTTTGTATTTTCATTAGTTAAGTAGATCAAAGTATAGCAGGTGATCAATAATCTCTACTTCCAAGGCCAAGCAATGGGGCTTTTAATTGTGCACATTTTAGATATATTGTTTGTTAAGGAAAAAGGGGTATGGAAACTATCAAATGCCTAAAGTTAATGTTGCCTAGGGTTGCCCACAGTTTCTGTGGCACAAAATAAATTTTCAGTTGACTGTCGATTGCAGCAAAACATAACCAAATGTCACTTTAAAAAAATTTTATAAAACTATCTTAATTTGAAACACTTTAAAGTCCATAGGTGAAAGATGAACCAAGCATTAAAAAGCTTAGTAATAGTTAATTTCCATTCCCTCTTTACTATCCATCTTCCAACCCCATGATGATCTGACCACCTACTGGTAGGTGGAAGCAAGAGAAAAATGGGGACAGAGATTTGGACCATGTTTTTGACAGTTTATCGTAATTGCATTTTAAAATACTTATAAATTTATAAGAGTTGAATATCCATATTAGAAAGCCATAAGGTTTGATAGCATCTTTTCACTGTCAGTAATATAGCCAATTTATTTATCACAAACAAGGTTGAGTAGATCACTTCCTGATTTCTGGTAGATAGAGCAATCATTTTCAGTGAATGATTAAACAACAGTGATATATACAATATGATATGATAAACATTAAGCATCTACTATGTGCCAGGCACTATGCTAAGTGCTGGCATGAAAATAAGAAAAAGAAAGACAGTTCCTTCTCTTGAAGAACTTGCAATATAATGGGGGAAGTCAGTTCACAATAGGAAACTGAAAAGGGAGCAGGAGAGGAAGGACAGTGAAAGGTGGGGAGTGGTGCTAGAAAGTACAGAGGGGCGTGAAGGTGGAATTGAAACCAAATAGAATAGCTGTTAAAAAATGAAAATATGCCTTGGATTTTGAGCCCTCTATAAAAGGAGGCTATGAGAGGAGTTTTTTTCTCTGCCCTGCTAGCCTCCAATCAGAGGGGCAGTTGGAGATGTAAGATCTGGAGTCAGGAAGGAGATTAGGGCTGTACATATAGATATGAGAATCTTCAGCATAGAGATGATAATTGAATCCATGGAAGCTGATGAGATTACCAGCTTAAATAATATAACAGGAAAGGAAGAGAGAGCTCATGATTGAGCTTGGATTAGTAGGCATGATCTGGATGAAGATCCAGCTAAGGAAACTGAGAAAGCGCAGTCATATGGGTAGAAGGAAAACCAGGCATCATGAGATCCTAAAGAGAAAAGTGTCAAGATGAAGAGAGTAGTCAGAGGTTGTAGAGTGTTTAAGGATGAGGAATATGAAAGGCCATTAGATTTGGCGATTTAAAGGTCATTGTTAACCTTAGAGAGAGTAGTTTTCAGCTGCATGATGAAGTAAGTATAATCTGTATAGATCAGTAAAGTAAATTCAGGCTTCTTGAGGATAGTCCATATTTATTTCTGGTAGTGATCTGCTGTTGAATTGCCATATTGCTATAAGCTCCCATTTCTATAAACTTGTTCACATGATCCAGCCAATGAGTTGGTGCTTCTTTATTGATATTTTGTTGGGTGAGTTCATGTAAATATTGCCCATGATGGACCTTTTGATTCCATTCTTGGATTTTAACCATTTTGTTGGTTTTAGATGAAGGAAAGCTATTTTGTTACATTCAGCAAATCCTGTGGTGTCCCTGTTATTAGATTTTATCATTGCTTGGGGCAGTGATGTCTCCATGTTTTAAGAGTATTTCTGAAAATATTTAACCTCTGTAATGGTTTCAGAAAATGTTTACCTAGTCCCTTTTTAATGAGGAAATCTTATTTATTATTAGAGCCTCCTAATATGTTGTTATTTTTCATTGTTATGTTCTGTTAATAACCCTGGTGATTGAAGGACAGGTATCCCACTTCTAATTTGTAGATAAGAAAACTGAGAATCATTAAGGTTAAAAGATTTGCCCAAGATGGTGGAGGCAGGCAGCTGGAGAGGCACAACTTGAACTTAAGTTAATTGAAAATTTTCTTAATCAAATTTTCATTGTATAATTGTACTTTATTGTAGGTCAGAAATAAAGTATACAGTCGACTCATATCATTTCATTCTCCAAATATTCATGGAACCAGATCACCACAGGAGTTATTTAAAGCATCAGGATTGACACAGGTAAAATATCTTTTTTAGCAGGTTTTGTTTCAGTAGCACACGTCACCAGTTTTTACATAAAGTAAATGTTAGAATAGGTTCATGAATACTTCTGTAGATGCTCATGCTTGTAGATTGAATTCTGGAGGGATGAAGATGATGAAAACTTACTGTGAAATCCTATGAAATATGGAGTGGGAAAAGCATTTAATATATCATGGAATTGGGACAAATATAAAGAATATCTCATCAGTGCCGGTCAACGAAATGCACAGATACAGGGAATTTATTTGTACTATCCCAGGAAAGTTAGCTTATATGATTTTAATATTAATCTTTCTTATACAATATAGAAATGGGTGAACAGAGAGATTTCAAATTTTGACTACCTCATTCAATTAAACACAATGGCAGGAAGAACCTATAATGACCTTGCCCAGTATCCTGTGGTAAGTTACATATTTCTTATAATTCTTGTGCTTTTTCAGTGTTTGAGGAATTAAACTGAATAAAAATACGTGATCACTCATTAGTGGAACTCTTGATGAGAAAAAAATCTAGCAAATTACCATTCTTGTTTTTGATTTTATGCATTTTTTTCAGTTTTCTTTCCCAGTCACTTTATATTTTTTAAATTTTACATTTTAGTTTTTCTCAGTTACATGTAAAAACAATTTTAACATTCTTTTTTTCAGATTTTAAGTTCCTGTGCCCAAAGAGCTATGAAACCGTGCATACCCTTTGATCTAACAATGCCACTATTAGGTCTCTATCGCAAAAGAGATAAAAAACAAAAAAGAAAAGGACCTATATGTACAAAAATATTTATAGCAGCTCTTTTCTGGTGGCAGAGAACTGGAAATTGAGGGGATGCCCATCCATTGGGGAATGCTGAACAATTTCTGGTATGTGATTGGGATGGAATACTATTGTTCTATAAGAAATGATGAGCAGGATGATTTCAGAAAAACCTGGAAACCTAATGCAAAGTAAAATGAGTAGAACTAGGAGAACATTGTACATAGTAACAGTAATATTGTAAGATGATCAACTGTAAATGACTTAGCTATTTTCAGCAATACAGTGATCCAAGACCAGTGTGAAGGACTTAGGAAGAACGCTATCCATGTCCCAGAGAAAGAATTGATGGTGTCTGAATACAGCTCAAAGCATACCTTTTTTTTTAAACTTTTTTTGTTTTTGGTCTGTGTTTTCTTTTATAACATGAATCATATGGGAAGCATGTTTTGCATGACTATACATGTATAACCTATATCAAATAGCTTGCCTTCTTAATGACCTGGCTAGGGAGGGGGAGAGAGAATTTGGAATTCAAACATTTAAAAACCAATGTTAAAAATTGCTTTTACATGTAATTGGGGAAAAAAATAAAATACTAAATAAAAAAAATTTTGTTCCAAATTCTCTCCCTCCATCTTCTACCTCCCCCCATTGAAAAGCATAGCAATTTGACATATGTTATGCATGTGTAGTCATGAAAAACACATTTCCATTTAAGTCATGCTGTGAAAGAAAACACACCAAAAACAAAACAAAACAAAAAAACCCAAACAAGAAAAATTTAAAAAGTGAAGAAAAAGTATCCTTGATCTGCATTCAGCCTCCACCAGTTCTTTCTCTGGAGATGGATAGCTATTTTTTTTATTGTTGTTGTCATAAGTCCTTCAGAATTGTCTTAGATTATTGTATTGCTTAGAATAGCTAAGTTATTCACAGTAGATCATCATACTGCTGTTACTGTGTACAATGTTCTCCTGATTCTGCTCATTTCACTTTCTTTCCAGGTTTTTCTAAGAGTGTCTTGCTCATCATTTCTTATAGCACAATAGTATTCTATCACGATCATATATACAGTAGCTTGTTCAGGTATTCCTTAATTGATGGACATCCCCTCAGTTTCCAGGTCTTTTCCACCACAAGAGGAGCTACTATAAATATTTTTGTACATACGGATCTTTTTCCTTTTTGCTTTTTATTTCTTTGGGATACAGACCTAGTAGTGGCATTGCTTGGTTAAAGGGTAGGTATGGTTTTAGAGCCCTTTGGCTCTAAAATTATTCTCCTGAATGGTTGAGTCTTCACCAACAGTGCATTAGTGTTTTAATTTCCCCACATTCTCTCCAACACTTGTGATTTTCCTTTTTTGTTGTATTAGCCAGTCTGATAGGTGAGGATTGGTACCTCAGAGTTGTTTTAATTTACATTTTTCTAATCAATTGTGATTTGGAGCAGCTTTTCATATGACTATAGATAGCTTTGATTACTTTGTCTGAAAATTGCCTGTTCATATCTTTTGACCATTTATCAACTGAGGAATGGCTCTTACTTCTACAAATTTGACTCAGTTTTCTATATATTTGAGAAATCAGGTCTTTATCAGAAGAAGTTGCTATAAATTTTTTTTCACAGTACTGATTCCCTCCATCCTATTTCCCCCTATTTATCCTCCCCTCTCTCTCTCCTTTCACATTGTCCATTTTCAAAAGTATTTTGCTTCTGACTTTTACCTCCCCCGATCTGCCCTCCCTTTCCTCAGCCGCCTGCCCCGCCTCTGATGCCCACTTTCTACTCTCCTGTGTGGTAAGATAGATTTCTACACCCCACTGAGTGTGTATGTTGTTCCCTCTGAGTCACTTCCAATGACAATAAGGTTCGAGTGCTCTTTCCCACCAATCCCCCCTTCCCCTCCACTGTAAAATCTCTTTTGGGTCAGATAATGTACGCCCTTCTACCTCTTTCTTCTCCCTTCTCCCAGTGCATGTAAGTCTTTCCAGATTTTTCTGAGAGCGTCTTGCTCATCATTTCTTATAGCACCGTAGTATTCCATCACGATCATATACAATAGTTTGTTTAGCTATTTGCCAATTGATGGACATCCCCTCAGTTTCCAGTTCTTTGCCACCACAAGCACAGCTACTATAAATATTTTTGTATGTATTGGTCCTTTTCCTTTTTGCTTTTTATTTCTTTGAGATACAGACCCAGTAGTGGTATTTCTCAGCCATTAATTTTATTTTTTTAGATAATCATCCCATCATATTCAACTCACACCCGTGTCCTTTGTCTATGTATACTTTTTCTAACTTCCCTAATAATGAGAAAATGTTTAGGAGTTGCAAGTTTCATTTTCCCATGTTGTTTCGAGGGAAACTGGGGAGAGCTCAGGTAACTTCCTGGTTTTTCTCTGACATCTTGGTTCTGCTCTCTTTTCATCCCAGTTCTGCTTTTTAAAGAGTTCTTCTCTTCAGTGAATTTTTATGTATCTTTTTCCATTTGACCAATTCTGTTTTTCAAGGCATTCTTCTCTTCTTGGATTTTTGTGTCTCTTTTACCATTTGGCCTATTCTATTTTTTAAAGTGTTGTTTTCTTCAGTATTTTTTATATGCCTCCTTTACGAAGCTATTGACTCCTTTTTCATGATTTTTTTTTTGGCATCACTCTTATTTCTCTTCTCAATTTTTTCTCTACCCCTCTTGCTTGATTTTTAAAATCCTTTTGGAGCTCATCCATGGCATGGGGCCAATTTATATTTTTCTTTGAAGCTTTGGGTGTAGCAATTTTGACTTCGTTGTCTTCTGCGTTTGTGTTTTGAACTTCTCTATCATCATAGGAACTTTCCATAATCAGGATCTTTTTCTGCTGTTTGCTCGTTTTCCAGCCTATTTCTTGACTTTTAACTCCATGGTAAAGTGGGATTGCGTTTCCATAGTGGAGGGGCATCGTTCCTCCCAACCACTTTAAAGAAATGTATAGTCATGTTAATATTGTGAAAGCTTCTTTTCTTTCTCAATTATTGAAAATTCCCCCAGAGATATTTCAGGAAATAAAGTTTTCCAGTATTAGAGAATTGAGTTAATAGATAATTATTCTGTTGACAAGGCTAGAAAATGAGACATCTCTTGAAGATGAAGTTACCTTTTTCATAGACATTTCCATTGTATACCAGTGTGCTGATTCTATGGAAAGAAAGATAGTTATGAATTTTGATTCTCTAGTTTCCTTGGATTCTGCGGGATTATACATCAGAAGATTTAGATCTCAATAACCCAGCTGTATTCCGAGACCTCTCTAAGCCCATCGGTGCAGTAAATGATAAGAACGCCAAAGCTGTGCAAGGAAAGTAAGTATGTTTTCGTTTTCGTTTTCTTTTCCTTTTAACAAAGGTTTATTTTTATCAGGAGGGCATGTCTCTCTTTTTTCTCCTGAGGAACTTATCTGTGTTCAGTAAAGGACAAGCAAATACTAACTGGTATTTCTGGAAGCTTCTATTCAGCACTTTAAAGCTACAAGATGAAAAGTAAGGGCTTCTTGAAGATTTCCTTCTTGGTCATTTTGGTTGTGAAATCCCTTTTATTTAGTGCCTGAAAAATAGCATTTTTTTTCTAATAGGGAGAGCTGAGTTCACCTCCCACCACTGACATATGGCTGTATGAGGTGCTGATCTGCACTGGTGCAGGGAATTTCCTTATCTGGGAGCACCCTGTACCAGTGAAATCACAGGTCTGGTCTTACTTCCTCTCCAGTCCCTAATTTGTTGAGTTTTAAGGTTGTCAAAGAGCTTTATGTGCATTTTTTTATTAGATCCTCAGAACAACCCTTTGAAATAATTCCTACAGATACTACTATTTCCATTTTGCAAATGAGGAAATGGAGATATGTGGAGTTTAAACTGACTTGTCCAGTCTCAGTGTAGTCAATCTGAGAAGCTTGATGCACATATGCATTCACACACCCTTTGTTGCAATAACTATAGGACCTTTGCAGCCCCCAGGTTGTGATGTAGTTTATTAGAGGATAGAAGTGAGTTGGAGGGCATCTGTGAGATCATCTAGTTCAGACCTTCATACTATAGATGAGGAAACTGAGGCTCAGAAAAGTGATGGGTCTTGTTCAAGGTTACACAGCTGTTTATTGGCAGAACCAACATTTGAACCTTGGTTGTTAGGTTCTTACTTGAGTGTTTTTCTTTCTACTTGCTGGCAGGTATCTGTCTTCATCCAGAGGCCAGTTCCCTAATTTTTAGGAGAACATTTCGATATAAACTTTTGAAGGTCAGAAAACATTTTGAACACTCCACCTAATGTTGCTTTTATTAAATCAAATTTTATCACATGAATTCTCTGTCTGTATTTACTGATCATAATGATATTTGGATAAAGTAGTCTCATTTCCTAATAGGCAGCAAGGTGGAGCAGTGGATAGAGCACTGGACCTGGAGTCAGGAAAACCTGATTTCACATTTTGCCTCAGTCACTTAACTAGCTATGTGACCTGAGCAAGTCAATGAACCTATGTTTGCTTCAGTTTTTTCAATATAGCACCTGTTTCACAGGTTTGTTGTGAGGATCAAGTGAAATAATATTTGTAAAGTACTGAACACAGTGACTGGAGCATAGTAGGGGCTATGTAAATGCCCGTTTTTTAAATATTGTTGTTATTTGGATTCCCTATCAGAAGAAAATCCCTTAAATTAAGTATTGGTGATATGTTGGTATGTAGTGAATGAAATTCACTTTAAAGAATGAATTCACACTGTTGAAAATTAAATACTTTCAAGAATAGAACATGATAATAGTTACTTTTAAAAGTATTTCTAGAATTATGTGAAATTTTGAATTAGCTTAACTGTCATCCGTTATTAGTTTTGAAGTTTGTGTTTTAAGGACATTTCTTTCTCAGATATGAAAATTTTGAGGATCCACTGGGGATTGTTGACAAGTTTCACTATGGTACTCACTATTCAAATCCTGCTGGTGTTATGCATTATCTCATTCGTGTAGAACCCTTCACCACCCTCCATATTCAGCTTCAGAGTGGCAGGTATGTTGTGAGGAAATAATGAATCTTTACTATGAATCTTTGGTTTTTGGGAGAAAATGGTACATAAACAGGAAAAGGTCATTTTCACTTTCTTGTCTTAGATAGAGTTCCAGTGTCAAGTGTCAGCCTAGCCTAAAATTAGTTTAACCAGTATAGTTTGTGGTTGGAGCAGACTAGTTTGTGCAAATAATTTTAAAGTAGATTCTTTTCCTCTATCACCTCACTATATCTTTCTGATAAATATAAAATCCAAACAACCTCTCAGTGGTATAGAGCTGGATCCTGGGATTTTGCCTAATCTGTTCCTCTGTTAGCCTTATTGAGTATGTCAAGAGAGCTAAGAAAAGGGGGAATAAATAAAATATATTATTACCTTGTAGAAATAGCTCAAGCAAATTTATTTTTTTTTAATTTTTTAAAATTTATTTTAATGTTTTCCCCCAATTTATTTATTTATTTTTAGTTTTCAACATTCATTTCCACAAGATTTTGAATTCCAAATTTTCTCCACATCCCTCCCTTCCCCCCACCCCATGATGGCCTACATTCTGATTCCCCCTTCACCCAATCTGTTCTCTCTTCTGTTCCTTCCCCTGACTCCCCCTTATCCTCTTCCCTTTCTATTTTCTTGTAGGGTAAGGTAGATTTCTATACCCCTTTGCCTATGTATCTTGTTTCCCAGTTGTATGCAGAAACAATTTCTAACATTCATTTCCAAAACTTTGAGTTCCAAATTCTCTCCCCTCCTCCCTCCCCACCCACCCTCATTGAGAAGGTAAGCAGTTTGAAATAGGCCATACATGTGTAGTCATGCAAAACACTTCCATAATAGTCATGTTGTGAAAGACTAATTATATTTTCCTCCATCCTATCCTGGTCCCCATTTATTCTATTCTTTCTTTTGTCCCTGTCCTTCTTCAAAAGTGTTGACTTCTGCTTACTCCCTCCCCGAATCTGCCCTCCCTTCTATCACCCCTCCCTCTTTTATTCTCTTCCCTCCTACTTTCCTATAGGGTAAGATAGATTTACATACTCAATTGGATGTGTATGTTATTCTCTCCTTAAGCCAAATCTGATGGGAGTAGGGTTCACTCATTCCTTCTTACTTCCTCCTTCTTCCCCTCCACTGTAAAAGCTTTTTCTTGCCTCTTTTATGTGAGATAATTTACCCCATTCTACCTGTCCCTTTCTCCTTCTCCCAGCACATTCCTCTCTCACTCCTTAATTTTTCAGGCAAATTTCTTTTGCTGTAACATTGAAACCATATCCTGAACTACCTTTCTTTTTCTCCTCTACTTTCCTGTGTGGTAATATTTTCCCCATTTACATGTAAAAATAATTTTAACATTCAGTTTTTAAAATTTTGAGTTCTAAATTCTCTCCTCCCTTATTGAGAAGACAAGCAATTTGATGTAGGTTATACATATGTAGTTATACACAACATATTTCCATATTAATCATGTTGTGAAAGAAAACAGACCAAAAGACCGAAAAAAATAAAGAAAATTTTTTAAAAAGTATGCTTCGATCTGAATTCAGACTCCAATAGTTCTTTCTCTGCGGATGGATAGCATTTTTCCTTATAAGTCCTTCAGAATTGCCTGGGATCATTGTATTGTTAAGAATACCTAATCTTCACAGTGGATCCTTGTATAGTATTGCTGTTATTGTATATACTGTTTTTCTGGTTCTGCTCACTTCACTTTGCATCAGTTCATGTAAGTCTGTCCAGATTTTTCTGAGAACATCCTGCTTATCATTTCTTATAATAGTACTCCATCACAATTATATACCATAACTTGTTCAGTCATTCCTCAATTGATGGACATCCCTTAAGTTTCTAATTTCTTTGCCACCACTAAAAGATCTGCTATAAATATTTTTGCACATATAAGTCCTTTTCCTTTTTATCTCTTTGGAATATAGACTTAATAGTGGTATTGCTGGGTCAAAAGGCATTCCCACTTCAGTAACCCTTTGGGCATAGTTCCACACTGCTCTCCAGAATGGTTGAATCAGTTCACAACTCCACCAACAGTGCATTAGTATTTCAATTTCCCTATATCCTCTTCAACACTTGTCATTTTCCTTTTCCATCATATTAGTCAATCTGATAGGTGAGAATTGGTACCTCAGAGTTGTTTTAATTTGCATTTCTCTAATCAGTAGGGATTTGGATCAACTTTTTATATGACTATAGATAGCTTTTATTACTTTGTCTGAAAACTGCTTGTTAATATCTTTTGACCATTTGTCAGTTGAGGAATGGCTTTACTTTTATAAATTTGACTCAGTTCTCTATATATTTGTGAAATGAGACCTTTATCAGATATACTTGCCATAAAAATTTTTCCATAGTTATGGTTGCTAACTTATTTCCCGTTATCCTGTTTTCCCCCATTTATCCTACTCTCTCTCTCTCCTTTCACCCTGTCCATTTTCAAAAGTATTTTGCTTCTGACTTTTACCTCCCTGTTGCCCTCTGTTCTATCAGTTCCCTCCACCTCCATACCCGCTTTCTACTTTCCTGTGTGGTAAGATAGATTTCTACACCCCACTGAGTGTGTATGTTATTCCCTTTGAGTCAGTCCAGTGACAGTAAGGTTCAAGTGCTCCTGCCCAACAATCCCATCTTCCCCTATGCTGTAAAAGCTGTTTTGGGCCTCTTTTAGATCAGATAATTTACCCCATTCTACCTCTCTCTTCCCCCTTCTCCCAGTGTATTTCTCTTTCTCACCCCTTAATTTTATTTTTTTAGATAATCATCCCATCGTATTCAACTCAAATCTGTATATTTTGTCTATGTATACTCTTTCTAACTGCCTCAATGAGAAAATGTTTAGGATTTGCAAGTATCATTTTCCCATGTAGGAATGTAAATAGTTTAACCTTATTGAATCCCTTCTGATTTCTCTTTCCTTTTAACCTTTTTATGTTTCTCTTGAAGCTTATATTTGAAAGTCAAAGTTTCTGTTCAGCTCTGGTCATTTTGTTAGGAATGCTCAAAAGTCCTCCGTTTCATTGAATATCCATTTTCCCCCCTTGAAGGATTATGCTCAGTTTTGCTGGGTAGGTGATTTTTGGTTGTAATCCTAGCTCCTTTGCCCTTTGTAGTATCATATGCCAAGCCCTCTGATCCTTTAATGTAGAAGCTGCTAAATCTTGTGTTATCCTAACTGTGGCTCCACAATACTTGAATTGTTTCCTTCTGGCTGCTTGCTATATTATTTTGTCCTTGACCTGGGAGCTCTGGAATTTGGCTATAATATTCCTCTTTTGTGATCTCTTTCAGGATGTGATTAGTGGATTCTTTCAATTTCCATTTTACCCTCTGGTTCTAGAATATCAGGGTGATTTTTCTTGATAATTTCTTGAAAGATGATGTCTGGGCTTTTTTTTTTGATCATGACTTTCATGTAGTCCAATCATTTTTAAATTACCTGTCCTGCATCTGTTTTCCCTACTCAGGGTTTTCATCCTCCTTCAGTGAAATGAGCAAGCCTGGAAAATGTTTAATGGAACTAGCTAACAGCAGATTCTCTTTCTTTTGTAGAGCACAGCCTTGCTTCTCCAGGCTTCAGAAGACCCTGAAAACTTAAATGAAAAGAAAAAAAATAACTCTGGCCCTTCTTTATCCCTGCCACAAAAGAGCAAAAGCTTGGGGGAGCTGCTAGGTTATATTTCTAATTGTCTACCTTTCTGTAGGCTCTGAGTTGCCTAGAAAGGAAATTAATATATCAGATGATATACAGCCCAATCACAAAGAAAACTAGTTACAGGCTGCTTGTTTGATTCTACCTTCACTTCTGTGGATGAAGATTTATGAAATTTTTCAAATGGGAAGGATTAATTCAGAATGCACATCAAATCTTTTAACCAACTGAAATTAACATTATTGACTTACTCATTTTTAAAATCTATTTGCATATATATTTGAAAGATGAGATAGTCTGTTTTTCTAAAATATAAATAAAAGTGAAACATAGAAAATTATGAATTTAAGAATTCTGGTCTGTTCTAATGAACATAATTAACTAATAAGACTACTATTGTGCTCTGCTTCATGTCAGTGGTATTATACTTGTTTGGATACTTAGACGTGTGATTTCTAGAACTTTCTCAACATTAACTAATATTTTTCCAGTAACCTTTAGCTTACCAAAGAAATAAGTCTCTTCAGAGTATATTCTTATGAATTCTGTTTATTCAGACTTTTGTCTAATATGATTTAGTTTTGAAATGTTTTAATTATATTGACTTCAGTAGTGAAAACTATAGTATTTAGAATTAACCAAGAAAACTAGAAAGATATAGTAGGCAAATCATAAAGAAAACCACTTTCTTAGAAGTGAGAGCAGAAGCGAAGAAGAAAGGTTTCAGACTTTTTTTTAACATAGTTTTTTAATGTTTTGAATCAGGTGGTGTTCTCTCCATCCTTATACACAGGTTTGATTGTGCGGATCGACAGTTTCATTCTATCCCTGCTACCTGGCAGGCTCTCATGGATAATCCATATGATGTGAAAGAGCTTATTCCTGAGTTCTTCTACTTTCCAGAGTTCTTGGAAAATCAAAATCGTAAGATTTCACAAATTATGAAGTTAAGAATTTGACCCCTTTTGAATACAGTAGCAAGGAGATATTTTCCATGGGGAAAAACATTCTTCTCCTGTATATTTTGCCAGTTGAAACTCATTCTTTCTATGATTTATTTTTGGGGAAGTTGATAAAATCCATGTTTGGGTTTTACCTCCAAGGCAGTGCTATAAGTAAGAGAGAAATTAGATAGATTGGACTTGGTGAGAGAGATCATTGAGTAGATGGCATTCATCTGAGAACAAGGTAGGGAGATCTGCTTTTTTCTCCTGCAACTCTTCTCATGTATTGAATGGGCATGGGAAAAGGACAAAGACATAGAGCACACAGAACAGTAATACAGAGTGAAGATTGTGGACAATGACTCGTTCAGCATTATAATCTTCTTAGAAGTGCACTGTGTGTTTTTAAAGCATAGCTTAAAAATAAAATTAGACTGTAAGATGAGATACTCAGTAGGTTTGAGGTTGGGGCATAGTGTTGTAGAAAGAGTGTTAGAGTTGACATCAGGAATCTGAGGTTCTCATAATATTTTTACATACCTTATATTTGTATAGCACTTCATAATCCTCAGTGTTTTGGCAAACATATCCTTGTAAGTGTGCTTAAAAGTATGTTAAGTAATTATTGTTATGTCTCCATTTTATAGTGTGGATTTTGAGGCTCAGAATTGTTGGTAATTTAGCCAGGGTCACTTGAACCTGGATCTTTTCCCTATTTGTCCAGTGTTCTTTCCATTGCTCTGCCCTGGGCAAATTACTTGCCTTCTTTAGGGTGAGTTTCCTCATCTGTAAAATGATGGTTTGGATAGAATGATTTCTGAAGGTCTATGAGTCTGCAAGGCACAAAGTACCAAAAACGCTTTATTGAGTGAGTTATATGCCTTAACCATCAGAAGAAATCTTTTCCCCTTATTTTTAATGTAAGAAGGAAAATATAGGTAATATTAATTTGAAGTGTCCACATGCATTGTTTTATCCTTAGAAAGGTGAGAATCAGAGCCTCCAGATATTTCTACATTCATTTTTCTCATCAGTCTAACTCATGAGACCTCTAATTTATTTCATAATAACTGTGTTATTTCATCCTTTGAAGTAGTGAAATAACTAATTTAAAACTTGATTCATACAGTAGCTACACTTTTCATATTTTCATATTAGTAAACTTCTAAAATGGAATCCATTCAAGAAAAATAATTTTATTTGTTGAATACGTTGTTAGAACAAAATGCATTCTGGTTTAATACTAAAGAAACTAATTTTCTGTTCATTCTCTAACTTTAACTTTATGCCAATGAGAAAAAAACAAAACAACCTAGTATCGTCATATTTTGATCCCAGGAATGGAGCTTATTTTTCCCTACTGATATTCCTTTTTTAAATTACTTTATTTTTCTCTGTTATGTATTGTAGATTTTAATTTGGGGCGCCTTCAAATCTCCAAAGAACTAGTAGGTGATGTGGTTCTCCCCAGATGGGCTAAATCTGCTGAAGATTTCATCTATAAACATAGAAAAGCTCTGGTAAGCCTTCTCTTCTTGGTTGCTCATACAGATTAATAAAAGAGGCCAAAAAATAATTATTTATTTTTATTGGTAAATCATTATAACAGTAAAGGCCTTAATGACAAATATATTGCAATCTGGTTGGGGCCTAGAAATTTTCTAGTGATATGGAATGTCTGCATATACTTTAAAATTTGATAGCGAAGTATTATAAATGTTAAGTTCTACAAGATGTTCATTTTATGTGAAACCACCTCAGTCATTAACACCATAATTTGCTTTACTTTATATTTCTTATAGTTGCTTTAGTTCTTCTAGACTTTGTTTCCACTATAGGTATTTAGTACGATTCAACCAAATGGGACAGTTGTGTTAGTATGCTTCACTACCTTACTGAAGTCTTTTTTGTTGCAAATTAAGTGAGCCTCATCATTTGAGATGGACAGATATGATGTTAATGTCATCATACTGGTAAAAGTCACCAAGCTGGCCCACCCAGTTCCTTATCTGAAAAGAAATATTGGAGAGTCTGGAAATTTCACATGATGCTCATGGTCCTTATGCTGTTACTACTAGAAATCAGTACTCTCTAACCATGACTTCCAGCAGTGTCAGGGCACTGATGCTATAATTGCCATTATAGGCATTCACAGTTCTCTCCTTTCTATGATTTGAACCCAAATAATGATTATATCTCAATTCATCATTCCCATGAAGGGCTGTTAATGAAAAAAGATAGTTTGAATTAGGTTTGAATGTTAACCTTATTACTCCAATATGTGTCTAAGGATATATTCTCATTAGTAAGCTTCTTGAGGGCAAAGACTTTTTCATTTTTGTCTTTGTATCTGTAGTGCCTCATAAATTGTCTCACAATATACTTACGTGCTCACAAGTGGCTTGCTGAATTGCATCGGATTCTCATTTATTACCTCATTTGGGGATAACTTGATAGTATAACAGAACTGGAGTATAGCTACACAAGTCAGCCTTCAAAAAACAACTTCTGTACAATTACTTTCATGTCTCCTCCCTTGCTTTTCTCCAAAAGGAACTTGAAATCCAAAGATGTGCTGTTTAGCTTTTAAGAAGATGGCATTTTTTCTAGGGTATTTTTTTCCAAGGACAGCTCCAATATTCAGTACAGTGTAGGGGCTTGGTTAGAAAAGCTGGTTAATTTTCTAGTTGTTCCTGAGTAATAAGGTCATGGTGATCCATTGATTATTTGAAATCATCTCCATGATCAGTGTGGGTGTTTCATGCAGAAATGCTGATCATAACCTACTTATGCCTTCTGATTCTGACTGACTCTCATCCATGTCTTATAAATCTTTTCTCCTCCAGGGGACGCACCTCATGTGCTGGGGGTCTTACCTCAGCATTTCACATGATTCCTTGAAAGGATTTGTTGCACTTGGTTCTCTTATACATCTGAAAACATGCTCTGCGACTTAAAAATTGACTCAAGGGAGAATGGCAAAAAAAATGTATTAGAAAATAAGTCACAGGAGGAAGAAATGCAGTCGAATAAAGGCTGCTAAAGAAGCCTGAATCTTACATATCATAAATTCTTTCTTCAAGAAGATAGTTTAGGGGTCAACTAGGTGGTGCATGGATAGAGCACCAGCCCTGGAGTCAGGAGGACTTGAGTTCAAATCCGGTCTCAGACCAGACGCTTGACACTTACTAGCTGTGTGACCCTGGGCAAGTTACTTAACCTCCAGTTGCCTCACCAAAAAAAAAAAAAGTTTAGAAGTAGTTTATGGGGAATAGCAGGAAATGATTGATCAATAATTTTTGAATCATGATCTTTGTGCCAACGGCCAAGTGACTTTTCAGAACAAAAATCAAAATTAATGCCAATTAAAAGGAAACAAAAATTAAAAGCTACAGCATGTATTTAAAACACCTTTCACTTGACTTCTAAATAAGCTATTGAGGCTAAAAGAGGTGACATGGTGTGCTGAGTAGAGAGTGGGCCATGGAATGAGGAAGATCTGGATTCATGAGTTCCTGCCTTCCCAAAAAACTTGGAAACTACCTTTGCCAACAATTACTTGTTCTCCTTGACACTAACGTTGATTTATGGTACTTGAAAGTTTGCAAAGTGTTTGACATTATTAACTCATTTGATCTCACAAAAGTTCTGTGAATGAGGTATTATTATCACCCCCATTTTACAGATGAAGAAACTGAGACCAAAAGAAATTAAATGACATGCCCAAGATGACAGCAGTTTATAAGGCAGGATTTGAACTCAGATATTCCTGATTCCAATTCTACTGCTCTGTTTCACTCTGCCATCTCTTTGCTGTGTAGAGACATGTGACAGTCAAAAGCAGCAGGGATTTAGAATATAAATTTGTTTATAATGTTTTACTGGGGGGGGTTGGGTGATTTTGAGTAGCTCCATCTCATTAAACAGCTAAAAGTCATGGAAAGGTAGGGGAGAAAAAACCCAAAAACAGTTATGGAAAGCTTGATGAGGGACCCAGTTAAACCATATCATCCCAATAACATTTTTTTGTGTGTGTAGAAGCAGATAGCAGAATCCAGATGCTTTCATTTTTTTTGTCCATTAATTTATTTATTTTTAGTTTTCAACATTCACTTCCACAAGATTTTGAGTTCCAGATTTTCTCCCCATCTCATCCCTCCCCCAACCCTAAGACAGTGTGCATTCTGAATACCTTTCCCCGAATCTGCCCTCCCTTCTATCTCCTCCCCCTTCTCTTATACCCTTCCTCTTATACCCTGCTATATGCCAGGCACTGTGCTAAGTGTGCTAAGGGAGGTGGCTACGAAGAAAGGCAAAAAGCTGTCTCTGCTTTCAAGAAGTTCACAATCTAGTGAGGAGACAAGGTGTAAATAACTATGTACAAACAAGACATAGACAAGATTAATTGGGGGTAGCCTAAGAAGGATGGCACTGAGATTAAGGAGGAAAAACTGGGAAAGGTGAGACTTTAGTTAAGCCTTGAAGGAAGTGCCAGGGAACCAGGAAGTAGAGCATTCCAGGCATGGGGGAGAGCCCGAGAAGGTGCCTGGAATTGAGAGATGGAGAGGAGTATGAGAAACAGCGGGGGGGGGGTGAGGGGGGTGACTCCTGAAGAAATAGGCTGGGGTCAGATTTTAAGGAGCTTTAAAAATCAAACACAGGATTTTATATTTGATCCTAGGGCGATAGGGCCTATTGGAGTTGATTGGATATAGGGAAGGAGGGAGGGGAAGAAGCAGGTAACACAGTCAGACCTGTGCTTTAGGAAGATCCAACAATGGGCCAGAATGGGGGGAGACTCTGGGCCAGCCAGCCCATCAGCAAGCTGCTACAGCAGTCAGGTGATGGGGGCCTGCCCTGGGGTGGGGGGGAGTGTCAGAAGAGAGGGTAGGGGGGTTAGAGAGATATGCTGAAGGTGGCAACCCCAGGAGCTTGATGGTGATACAGCTATTGAACTTTCCTTCCCTCTTCCACCTTGCCCAAATTGTTCTGGATAGTCAAGATGTCCTTGTATCTTTATTTCCTGAGCATTTTCTTTCTTCCTTTAAGAAGCATTGTGTGGATTTGTTTAAACCGTGTAAAATTTGTGGTTACAGCATACTAAGAGTCACAAATGAGGATTTTCATCTTGATTTCCAAACATGATATATAATTTTATTTATAAGGTGGAAAGTGTTTATAGTTAATGCAAATTATTCCTGTTCTAGGAGTCCGAGTATGTTTCTGCTCATCTTCATGAATGGATAGACCTGATTTTTGGCTATAAACAAAGGGGCCCAAAGCAGTGGAAGCACTCAATGTTTTCTACTATTGTAGTTATGAAGGTATAAATTTCAGTATTTTCTCTTTGTGATATAATAGTGACTGGAAACATCATTTGAAAAAGTTCTGAATGTGCTTCTGTTTTGTATTTGAACTTGACAACATTAACTGTATAAACTAATGCACAAAAATGTAATTCTGATGACTCAAGCACCCTTACAAGCACCAGGAATCTCTGGTTTTCTTTGTTTCTTTTTCCTTGATTACATTAAGGCCCAAAAGGTAGAATTTTAGCCAGATGGGTTCAAATCCAGCAAAATAAAGCCTCTGCAGAATAATATGGGACCATTCAAAACAAAGTTATTAGGGCAGCTAGGTGGTACAGTGGATAGAGCACCATCCCTGGAGTCAGGAGGACCGTAGGTCAAATGTGGCTTTAGACTTATAAGCTGTGTGACCCTGGGCAAGTCACTTAACTCCAATTGCCTTACAGAAAAAAAACAAAACAAAACCCAAGCTTCTTAAGGATGCATTGTATCTTAAAGGTGTCATTAATTACAAATAATTTATATTTTAATTCCTTCCAACTTTTGACCATATAAGCGTTTTTTAAGGTACAGTTTCGAGCAGGGGTGGGGAACCTGAAATTATTTGCGTATACCAATGAGAGGAACGTACGAGCTATTCATTGGTTATTTCTTGCTCTCACTATAGGGCCAGCCCACTTCATTTCCCAGTCAGAAATTTCCCTGATGACATCCTTTATGCCCACATATTGCCAGACAGGGTTGGTGTCCAGAGAAAGGATGGGAGGAAGCTTCAAAAGAGACACTGATTGAGGATAGTTTTTGGTGAAGAGAGGAAAAACAAACCAGGTCGTCTAGGCCAGTGCTTCCCAAGGGTTCTTAGGGTGAAAATAGTAAAAGTAGGCAAGATTATTCTTCACCATTTAAATTATGATCTATTCACATTATTGTAAGTGGTAAATTGAAGGGCTCATAATATTTCAAATAATATGAATTTAGAAATCTATGTCAATGAGTGACTTGTTGATTTTTCTTGCCTCTTTTTTTTTTTTAAACTTATCATGGCTTTAGGAGCAGTGGATCTTGATGCCTTAACAGATGAAAAAGAAAGAAAAGCTTTGGAAGGAATGATTAACAATTTTGGGCAAACACCCTGTCAGCTATTAAAGGTAAATCATTAAGAAATTATTGACATCAGGAAGTATCAAAATTTGAATTGCCAAAGATTGGCATTATAAATGTTTTGAGAGTCTTGTAGCTTTAAGCCCTTCTTCCACAAGACCATCCAAAACATTGGGGAAAAATATATATATAGTGCCACAGTCGTGGCACTATACAATATCTGCAGCTAGGTGGCACAGTGAATGGAGTGATGGGCCTGGAGTCGGGAATATTGGAGAAGTGACATTCTGTGAGGCAGAGATGAGGAGCCAGTGACTAGGGGGTATTATCCATATATAAAATTACCAGTTCTTTTGCTCTCCTTCAATTAATGAAATTAATTGAATGAATGAAAAAACGTTTATTAGGTGTTTTACTGTGTGCCAAGCACTGTACTGAGTGCTGGGGGTTACAAAAAAAAAAAGCAAAAGGCTATCTTTTATTTATTTTATATATTTTCTGCTTGCATTTATTCTGCATAGTTTGTGTGTGCTTAAGATGTACATATACCTTACTGCCCTAACAGGATATAAGCTCATTAAAAGCCTAAATTGTTCCTTCTTTGCCTAGTGCCTGGTAGCACAGTTCATTGCATCTAGTAGGTGCTTAATAAATTATATTGGTTGATTAAAAATACAAAAATAGTTACATTGGAATTTTAAAGACAAATCTGTAAGCATTTATTAAGGTCCTGCTCTGTGCATAATTAAATGCATAGTGAAATGTATTTTATATCAGACTTAACCTTTGCAACTGTTTTTTTTTTTGAATTGATGCTCACATTCCCTTTGCACTGATCTATTTCAATGGAAGAGGTCCCAAAGGATGACAAATAACTGAAAATATGCCTTCTCTTTAGATAAAATGGATAATACATGTATTAATAATTATGAGTTCAATCTAATTAATATTGGTGATTGGGAGTTAAATCTAATTAAATTGCTTATTCTCTCAGATAAATTTCCCAAGAAGTGCAGGATAGGATTGAGGGAGAAACTCTTCAGACAGATTTGTCTTCCTGTATTTCAGCTTTGGTACTGCAATATTAATGGGGTTTCTCTAATTATGTGATTTTATTTGTTTGTCCAAGTGATTGACTGTACCGTTCAGTTTCTCTCTGAGACTGAGTAGAGATTAAATGTTAGAGATAGGAAGTCCTGTAAGTCTTTCATTTAAGTTTCCACTATGGAGAAGGGAATGCAACAATGTGTGGATACTTTATCCTCCATGATTGTAGTAAAAATTCTATTCTTTTGGAGTTCTCAGTGATTGAAATTTTGGCTGAAGATTAAAGATTAAATTGTGAGTGGCACACTTTGTAATATATGTTGTATATGTACTCTGAATTTAGTTATTTTTCCCTTAAAATTATTCTAAAGGAACCTCACCCTCCAAGATTATCAGCAGAAGAAGTAGTACAGAGACAGACTAAAACAGACACTGCATCCTTGAACCTCTTCCAGCATCTCCCGGAACTCAACTCATTCTTTATAGAGGTAAAATTTCACTTTATAACATCACTAAGCATACCTAGTTTGAAATCATACCAACTTTTATTCAATTACATTTAATGATGGAGCGGGAATGGCTGAACACATAACAGAAAACCATAGCATAGAGAATGAAAAGAGTCCTGAACCTGGTCAGAAGACCTGAATTTGAATCCCACCTATGCTTCTTCCTACTTGTTTGACCTTGGTCTTAACCTCTCTGAGTCTCTGTTTCCCAATCTGTAAAATGGTGTTATTTACCATACCTACTTCAACAGTGTTGGGAGGATCAAATGAGTTGTGTAAAACACTTCATAAAGATAAAAAAGTATACAAATATGTTGTTTACAATAACTTGCAATTGGCTTTTGAAAACTTTTTCTTGCTTTTTACTTTGAAGTTATCTAATTCTGAGCAGAAGTCTGAACTGAGCTCTTTATTCTCCCTGAGATTACTTTATATGGGTCTGCAACCTCCAGTGGCTCCCCAGTATTTCCAGGATCAAATAGAGACTCTTTTATTTGGCATTTAATACTTTTCACAACCTATTTTCCTGTCTTTATGTCCCTTGACAACACCCTGTAACCCAACAATCTGGCCTAGGGGTAGGAAACCTATAGCCTTCCAGGTCCTTGGGTGCAGCTTTGTGACTGAGTCCAAGTTTTACAGAACAAATCCTTATTAAAGGGATTTGTTCTGTGAAGTTTGGATTCAGTCAAAGGATCGAACTTGAGGACCTTAGAGGGCCACATGTGGCCTCGAGGCCACAGGTTCCCCACCCCTGATGGCCTGTTTGCTGTTCCTCACAGACAATACTCTATCTCCCATCCCCTTCTGCTGACCTAGCTGTCTGTCTCTCAGGCCTAGTACTCTTTCTTTCCTTACCTTTACCTCTTAAAATCCTGGGCTTCTTTTAAGACTAATGCCACCTCTACAGGAAGTCCTGCCAGACTTTTTTGGCTGTTAGAGCCTTCCCCTTCAAAGCTACTTTCCACCTGTTCTCTTGGTATCTATTTATATGTAGGCTACCACATTAGAAAGTAAGTTTCTTGAGAGCAGCGACTGTTTTGCCTTTTTTTGTGTCCCCAGTGGTTGGCACAAAGTAAAGTGTTTATTAATTGATTGATTCATACCTTCTCAAAAGGGTGAGCAAATAAGTAGCCTGGTCTAAATGTGTCTGAAATAGAATTTTCCAAGAGAACTTTAGTCCCTCTCAGTGACTTACGGTTCTACATTCTTTTAAGTCATTGGTCTAGGTGAGGATGTCAGTGAATTAGCTGAGCAAATACCAGAGGTGATGTCTTTTTTTTTTTTTTGACTAGGCAATGGGGTTATGTGACTTGCTCAGGGACACACAGATAGTAAGTGTCAGGTGTCTGAGGCCTTATTTGAGCTCAGGTCTTCCTGACTCCAGGGCGCCACCTAGCTGCCCCTATTTTTTTTTTGGTGATGTCATTTTAATTTAATACTCTATACTGATCTGTGATTTCATCTGTGTGGCTATTCCTACCACTAATGCCGATTGCAACTTGTTGTACTTTTTTTTTCATTATAAGCTTAACAAGCATCTACAGACACAAATACATTTCAATTTACAAATAAAAACAGAAAAGAGGATTATATATGAAATTGTACCAAAACTGCTCTGCGTGTCTGTGTCTTGTTCCAAACTTCCTTCTTTTCTATGTATTTTTTAATGCTTCATTAGTGCTTTTTTCTTTAATTTCTTATTTTCTTGGCATCACTGCATTACTAGCTATCAATTCCTCCCCTTCAACAGAAGCCCTCTCTTATTTTTTATTTCACTTTTCTCTTACTAATCTCTCTCCCATTACCCCTACCCCCACATTGAACAAGTAAAAAAACCCTGAGAAATGAAACCTTCAGGATATACATACATAATCTAGCAAATAAAATCCCCTCACTGGCCATGTCTGAAAATATATGAATTGTATGTCTCCTTATGCCTTTCAAGTTTATCACTTCTCTAGTAGGAAGTGAGTGGCATGTTTCATCTTCATTTTTTCGTATTCATTTATTGTATTCATCATTTTGTATTCATCTTAATTTTTTGTATGCAGTTTATCATTGCACTGAACAGTGTTTTAAACTCTTTAACTCTGAAATGCTATCATTGTATGAATTGTTCTCCTAGTTCTGCTCACTTTGCTCAGAATCAGTTCATAAAGGTCTTCTTGGTTTCTTCTGAAACTGTTGTGTCACTTATTATGGCACAATACTGTCCTTACATTTATATACCACAGTTTGTTTAGCCACTGACCATTCCCTAGTAGGGAAATACCCCCTTAGTTTTCAATTTTTGATGACAATGAAAAAAATGATTAGAAATAGTTTTGTACGTAAAGATTCTTTTCCTCCTCTAAAACATTTCCTTTTGGAGTACAGCATAGGCCATTAATAATGTCAGTAGAGCTGGGTTAAAAAGTATGGACCGTTTGGTAAACTTCTGGGCATAGTGCCACATTGCTTTCTTGAATGGCCGGAACAATTCCCAGGACCACCAATAATGTATTAATATACCTGTTTTCTTGCAGCCACTCCAACTTTTGTCATTTTTCTATTTTGCCAGGGGCAACTAGGTAGCTCAATGGATAGAGCACCGGCCCTGAAGTCAGGAGGACCTGAGTTCAAATCTGGCCTCAGACCAAACACTTAACTAGCTGTGTGACCCTGTGCAAGTCACTTAATCCCAATTGCCTAAAAAAAAATGGACTTGGGCATTTTTCTATTTTACCAGTAGAATGGGTGAACCTTAAAGTACCTCAGAGTTGCTTTAATTGCATTTCTTTAATTATTAGTGATTTAAAGCATTTTTTCTTATGGTTTTTGATAGTTTGACTTTCTTCCTTTGAAAACTGCCTGCCCTGAAGAAATTACCTGTCAGATCTATGCATAGGGAGAAGAGTTCATCACCAAACAAGATAGGCGTTCATAGGAGATAAAATGGATAATTTTGATTTAAAATAAAGTTAAAGTTAAAAGTTAAAAATAAAGTTAACATTTTGGATAAAAAATAAACCAGTGCAGCTAAAATAAGAAGAAAAGCAGGAAAGTGGGGGGAAAATCTTTGTATAAAGGTCTCATTTCTAATGGTATCATTTGATAAAGGTCTCATTTCTAAAATATATAGGGAACAGAGTCAAATTTACAAGAATAAGAATGATTCCTTAGTTGATAAATGGTCAGTGCATTTGAGTAGGCAGTTTTCAAAGGAAGAAATCAAAGCTATCAATACCCATATGAAAAAAATCCTGTAAATTGCTAATAATTAGAGAAATACACATTAAGACAACTCTGAGGTACCAACTCATACCCATCAAATTGGCTAAGAAGACAAAAAAGGAAAATGCCAAATACTGAGGGAATGTAGAGAAGTAGGTACATTGTTGGTGAAGCTATGAACTAGTCTGTTTATTCTGGAAAGCAATTTGGAACTATGCCCAAAAAGCTGTTATACTTTGCTTGCCCTTTGACCCAGGAATATCACTACCTAGTCTATACCCCAGAGAGGTCAAAGAAAGAGGAAAAGCACCAATATATATAAAATTATTCTTTCTTTTTTCTTTTTTCTTTTTTTTTTTGATTAGGCAATGGGGTTAAGTGACTTTCCCAGAGTCACACAGCTAGTAAATGTTATGTGTCTGAGGCTGGATTTGAACTCAGGTCCTCCTGACTTCAGGGCTGGTGCTCTATCCACTGCACTACCTAGCTGCCCCTACAAAAGTATTCTTAACAGTTCTTTTTGTAGTGACAAATAAATTGAGCCTGGGATGGTGTCCATCAGTTGGGGAATGATTGAATAAGTTATAGTATATGAATAATGAAGGAATATTGTGGTGTAAGCAATGATGCAGAGCATGGTTTCAGAAAAATCTGGAAAGACATGTATGAACTGATACAAAATGAAGTGAGCCGAACCAGGAGAACAGTTTACATAATAACTGCAATAATGTAGAGATAATCAACTTTGAAAGACTTAGTAACTCTGATCAACGAAATGACTAGCCACAATTCCAAAGGACTTATGATGAAACATGCTCTCTACTTCCAGCTAGACAATTAATGGACTCAGATTTTAGATCGAAACTTCCTTCCCTCACTGCCTCCTTCTTTCTTTCCCTCCTTCCCTCCCTCCCTCTTGCATTTTTTTTGGGGGGGAAGGGGAGAGGTATGATGAAACATAGCTAATGTTGAAATTTAGTTTGCATAACTATTAAAAACAACCAACTGCCTGCTCACATCCTTTGACCATTTATCCCTTGAAGAATGGCTCTTAGGGGCAGTTAGGTGGCACAGTGGGTAGAGCCCTGGCCCTGGAGTCAGAAGGACCTGAGTTCAAATGTGGCCTCAGACACATAACACTCACTAGCTGTGTGACCCTGGGTAAGTCACTTAACCCCATTGCCTAGCCAAAAAAAAAAAAAAGAATGGCTCTTAGTCTTACAAATTTAAATCAGTTCTTGGATACAAAACTTTCCTAAGTTAAATTTGCTTCAGACATTTTTTTTCCTAGTTACCAGTTTCCCTTCTAATTTTTAATACATTAGATTTATTTTTGCAAAACCTTTTAATTATGCATAGTCAGAATTGTCCATTTTCTCTTGTGTGGTTCTCTCTGTTGCTGGTGAACTCTTTCTCTATCCATAGATCCGAAAGATAATTTTATTTCTTTGCCCTTCCAATTTGTTTGTGATGTTTTATGACCATTCAGTTTGGAGTAACAGTAATTCATAGTTTTCTAGAATTTTTAGTTGCATGCCTAATTTATTAATCTGTTCTTTCTTTTTTGTTGTTGTTGAATTCTGCCTTCTAATTCATCCAGCTATTTTTCTCCATGTTATGGATTACTTTATCCCATTCACATTCATAATTATCATTCTTAATTGTGAATTTTCCTTAAGGATAGCTCTAATCATTAGATGTTTTTCCTTGCATCAAGCTAGAATATAATTCTCTGCTGTTTCCACGCTGTTGGTCCTAGTTTTGCTCTGTGGTATCCAAGCAGTACAAGCCTAATCTCTCTTCCACAAGACCATACAACATTCATTTATTAAGTGCCCACTATGTGTACCAAGTATTTTGACCAGGTACCAGGGACACAAAGACAAAAGGAGAAGTTTCTGCCTGTGAGGATCTTAAATTCTTTCAGGGAAATAGCATATGTATATACAAATACATTTTTTTTAAAAAAAAAACAAAAAAAATAAAGGTAATGACAGAAGTGGAGAACATCAGCAGCTTGGGTGATCAAAACAGATATTGCATAGGAGTTACTTTCTACAGTGGGCTTTGAAGGACATTTTTGATTCTAAGAGATAGAAGTGACAGACAAATTTGCAAAGCACTTTCTTCACAATAATCTCACAAGGTAAATTGAGTAAGGAAGTCCATTGCTCTTTCTGTCTTTTAACTGGATTTGGGATTTTTCTGATTTAAATTCTAGTATTTTTCTATCTTCCTATTAGGGTATCAGTGATGGTGTTCCACTAGTAAAAGCTATTGTTCCCAGAAATCAGCCTCGTTCTTTTATGACTCAGGGTAGCCCAGAGATACTGGTGAGTTGGCTTTTATCTTTTTTCAGACCCTTTTGTACTCATGGGACTAGTGAAATGCAAAAAAATGTAATAAAGCCACTTAAACATAATAGAGAAACTCATCGCTTGCCATGTTATCAAGTTAAAAGAAAAAGTCAAGTTTGATATATGTAAAGAGAACATAAATAGATTAGTCAGAGGTATTTGTTGCTTACAAATGCTGCACTAAGTAAAAGCCATAGCAGAGTACTTTATTGTTGATTAATTTCTGGTCCTAATTTATGTAATAAATAATATGCCTAATAGCGTGAGCCCTCAGATTACCTGTTGTGAGTACAGTTATACACTAATGATTATTGAGAAGTTAATGGAAAATGACATATTTTTAAATTTAGCAACCAGTCAGTCATATTTGACAGCTAGTCTTGGGTGAAAGTAAAGGACAGAGTTCTTGTTAGACCATATGTTGAGAATTTCTTTATATTTTACACAGTTAAAAGACAGTTTCTCTATCAGTTATCTAAATGTTAAAATGTTAGATCTGGAAAGGCGAAACTAATTCATCTAATTTCATTATTTTTCTGTTGTTTGCCAGTTAACAGTAAGCATGAACTGTGTAATTGGAACCCATGGATGGCTGCCTTATGACAGAAACATTTCTAATTATTTTACATTCATCAAAGATCAAACTGTGACAAATCCTAAGTAAGTAAATGAATAGTATTGATAGCCACAGGTAGACAGTTGCATTCCATCCCTTTACCTTATTATCTGATAACCAGATTAATTTAAATTGTCTTCTTGATTACCTTTGGTAGCTGAATGTGCCTGCACTTCTGCTTGACTGCGTGGTTTGATTCTCAGCTTTGCCCTGACCTTCACTTCATATGTGCCCTTACACTCCCAACTTCTTGCCCAGTTGTTCATCCACCTTTTTCTCTGAATTAAGAATATTGTTGACTCTTTTGCTTGTCTTTTCACTTCAGTGATTCAGTTACATCCATTGTCTTAATGCTAACATTGTTGGTATTAGCAGGAAAAAATTATTGCCCACCTACCTTAGCTTCTTGATATTATCTCTTAAAAAACTATTCTTCATGAATAACATCTTATCATAAATGATATTAGTGTGGTAAAATGAGTATATTGCCTTTAAAACTTTTTTGTCCTGTAGTGACAGATGAGTTGCATTTAATTAAAGAATATAAAATAACAATGAATTTCTGAAAAAAGCTAGTAAAACCTAACTTTATGTTTCAGTTTATCCAGTTGTTTAGGAGAGTCCTTTTTTGTTAATGTGTTTGCAGAACTCAGCGTGCCATAAATGGTCCTTTTGCTCCAGGACTGGATATTACTTCTAAGCTATTTGTCATATCACATGATGCGAAGTTATTATTCAGTGCAGGACACTGGGACAATAGCATTCGAGTAACATCACTCACCAGAGGCAAAATGATTGCGCAGCACATCAGGCACATGGGTGAGTATTAACTTTAATCTCTGGAATAAAAACATCTTTTATACTTACCGTGAGCAGTCTTAGTCTAACCGAAGAAATGGTGAAACATATTTCCCTCCTCTTGGTGGACAGATGGGGAACTGCAGGTGGAGACATATAATGTCAGAAGTGTTTATTCTTTCAATTGGTTTTACTTATTTTCTTTGTTATGAGAAAAGGCATGGTCCTGAGCATTTTACAGACATTAGTTCATTTGATCCTCACATCAACCCTGGGAGGTAGGTGCTGTCATACCCATTTCACAGTTGAGGAAATGGAGGCAGACAGAAGTTAAGTGACTATCCTGAGGTCCCATAGCTAGGAAGTATATGAAGCAGGATTTGAACTCAGGTCTTCCTGACTCCAAGCTCAGCACTCTGTGCTCTATGGCCCACTAGCTTCCTCTCTTTTGAGACTAGAGTTATAAATGAGACCAGTACCAAATTTAAGTATTTGGTCACTTTACCTTAACTTAGTCCCTTTTATAGTTTTCTTTTCTTCCAGATATTGTGACCTGCTTATCTACAGATTATTGTGGAATACATTTGATTTCTGGTTCGAGAGATACTACATGTATGATATGGCAAGTAGTACAGCAGGTAAGTACACTTGCCTAAGGCAATATCAGTATTAAGGAGCAGAATCAAGGTTTGCTCTCCTAGGACACCCAATCCAGTGACTTTTCCAGTGTACCACGAAATACCGAATTCCTTATGTGCAATTGAATGAGCGTGGGCAGCTTTTAGACAGTAGTGAGTAACCTCAGTTTTAACAGCTCTGTCATATTTGTTCATGATTTGAAGGTTAATATCAATATGAACTACATTATTACAAATATAGCCCTTAGGAAGATGACCTTACCCTCAATCTGTTGTTTTGTTAATAGGGAGGTATTCCTGTGGGCTTAGTGCCCAAACCCCTTCAGATTCTTTATGGACACACTGATGAAGTATCTAGTGTTGGCATCAGCACTGAACTAGACCTGGCAGTGTCAGGCGCAAGGGTAAGATTTTTGCCTTTAAAAAAAAAATCCATTATCTTTATTCGAAGTGACAGGAAAAAAAGTCTAAAATTCATTTTTTATTTTTAGGGCTCTTAGCCAGTGGGTAGGTAGAACTGTATTTATATGTCAACCTTCAAAGAAAGATGCATACAGAAAAAATTAAAAGCCATTGTGATTTGCTGCTACTTGAAAAAATTGAATTCCTACAGTTACAGATCTGCTGGACAGTGGTTTGGAGGGGTTGTAAAATCTAAGCTCTTTGAGGGCAGGGACTGTTTCCTTTTAGGCTTTTCATATCCCCAGTGGCTGTCATCATGCCTGGAAAATAGTAAGCACCCAAAAAAAATGTTCATGGAATTGAAAGAAATGAGAGAAAGATCAGGATAGAATCTCAGGACAGGGAAAGTACCAGAAGGTATGTGATTTTGTTGGAGTAGTCTTCTTTCTATTTTTATTTATGTCTACCCTCCCCAGATTACTTCTCCTTCCCCTTCATACAATAACCCTTCCCTTTTCCTTTTTTTATCTTTTCTTAGCGTCTATTATCTCCTCTTTGCAGGATGGCACTGTGATTATTCATACAATTCAGAAAGGCCAATACATGAGGACTTTACGACCACCATGTGAGAGTTCTCTGCTATTAACAATTCCCCACTTGGCCCTATCATGGGAAGGACATATCATTGTCCATTCCAGCATTGAAGAAAACACCAGCCTCAAGGTATTTATATACACTTACTATGTTCATGTAATCATCCTGGACTATCTATAGTGGCAGCTGTTCATTTAGTCTCACATTGTATTGGTGTTGTGTGGGTATTTTGAGGAGAGCAGGGAAGTCCTTATTTCAGGAGGATAGATTTCTTCCACTGTTTATGTCCACACCAGGCGAACTTCATGTTAGAGCTGCATATTAATGATCTGTGTTATACTTTATTAAAATACACATGAAAAAGGATGGTTTTTATTATACTGGAATAATTAAGCCTAAAGTGGAAGTTGTATGCAGTGTTTCTTTTCTATCTTCTATATAGTAATTTTAAAAATTAGATTCTTGTTTTATGAAGAAAATTGCAAATGACATTTTTGGTAATATGAGTCCTTGTCAAAAGTGCCTTTTTGTTTCTCAAAATTACCTGGAGGTATTATTTTAATGTCTATTAATACATTCTCTGTCAAGTAATTCTTATTGAATCTTTTTTTGTAAAAAGGAGAAGATGTTAGTTCCTACTTCCTTGAGCTATTGCGAGGATGAAAGGAGATAATGTGTATATAAATGCTTGGCAAACTGTAAAACTCTATGTTAGTATGCTACTAGTATTATTCTCCTTAAACTCCTGAATTATTTCTCTCACTATATTTTTTATTTAAAATTTTCTGAGCCTCAGAAATTATCCTCTAATATATATTCCAAAATCTTCCATATTTTAATTTCCACAGGATAAAAATGTATTGCATCTCTTTTCTGTAAATGGAAAGTATTTAGGGTCTGAGACCCTTACAGAACAAATATCAGATATGTGTGTAGCTGGAGAGCACATCATAGTGGGCAGCTTGCAAGGATTCCTGTCCATACGAGATCTCCACAGGTAAAAAACTAGAATTATCAGCCAATCACTTAAGAAAAATGTGGTGTGATTAAAATAATCAACTATATATGTCAAATGCAGTTTGATCATCTTTCAGTAATTATCACAGAAGCCTCCTTTGGCATGTGTGACAGGAATGTTGAAAGCTAATGTCATGTTCCATGTTTAGAATTTGAAAAGCTCTGTCAAAGTGACACTTAGAATAGACCAGGCAGTTTGTATAGTGCTGTGACAGAGTGTAAGGACTAGGTAAGGAGAAATTTCTAGCACATTAAAATATTTTTTCCCAGTGTACATAATTATCAGGAAAAGTGGCACCTTTGCAATAAAGAAGCAATAAATTTAACTAGAACACTTTATCTTTAACATGTGACACCTTGGGACTCTCAGGATGTTAATTTTCTTATTGTAGAATTTTTAGGGTTAGATGACTTGATTTCTTTTTTTTTTAATTATAAATTTATTTATTTTTAGTTTTCAACATTCCCTTCCACAAGTTTTTGAGTTCCAAATTTTCACCCCATCTCCCCACTCCCCCCACCCCAAGATGTCATGCATTCTGAATATCCCTTCCCCTAGTCTGTCCTCTCTTCTATCTCTCTCCCCTTCTCTTATCCCCTTCCCCTTCTATTTTCCTGTAGGGCAGGATAGACTTCTGTACCCCATTTCCTGTATTTATTTCCCAGTAGCATGTGAAAACATTTTTTTAAAAATATGTGTTTAAAACTTTAGGTTTCAAATTTTCTCTCTTCCTCCCTCCCCACCCACCCTCATTGAAAAGGCAAGCAACTCAATATAAGTTGTACATGTGCAGTTTTGCAAAACACGTCCATAGTAGACATGTTGTGAAAAACTAACTCTATTTCCCTTAATCCTATCCTGCCCTCCCATTTATTCTATTCTTTCTTTTGACCCTGTCTCTCCTCAGAAGTATTTACTTCTGATTAACCCCTTTCCCAATCTGCCCTCCTCTCTATCATCCCCCTGCTCTCTTGTCCCCTTTCCCCCCTATTTTCCTGTAGGGTAAGACAGATTTCCATACCCAATTGAATGTGTATGTTATTCCCTCCTTAAGCCAAATCCTGTGAGAATAAGATTCCCTCATTCCCTCTCACCTTCCCCTGTTTCCCCATCCACTGTAAGAGACTTTTCTGTTTTTTTTTTTGTGAGATAATTTACCCCATTCTACTTCTCCCTTTCTTCTTCTCCGAGTATAATCCTCTCTCATCCCTTAATTTCATTCTCCAGATACGACCCCTTAATCTTCAGCACACCCTGTGCCCTCTATCTATCTACATATACATATATATAATTTTTTTCCTCCAACTACCCTGATACTGACCAAGGTCTCATGAGTTATAAATATCATCTTTCCATGCAGGAATGTAAACAGTTCAATCTTAATAAGTCTCTTATGATTTCTCTTTCCTGTTTACCTCTTCATGTTCCACTTGAGTCCTGTATTTGAAAGTCAGATTTTCTATTCAGCTCTGGTCTTTTCATCAAGAATGCTTGAAACTCCTCTATTTCACTGAATGACTGTTTTTTTCCCCTGAAGGATTATACTGAGTTTTGCTGGGTAGGTGATTCTTGGTTGTAATCCTATCTCCTTTGCCCTCTGGAATATTATATTCCATGCCCTGCGGTCCTTTAATGTAGAAGCTGCTAAATCTTGTGTTATCCTGATTGTGTTCCCACAGTACTTGAACTGTTTCTTTCTGGCAGCTTGTAATATTTTCTCCTTGACCTGGGAATTCTGGAATTTGGCTATAATATTCCTAGGAGTTTTCCTTTGGGGATCTCTTTCAGGAGGAGATCTGTGGATTCTTTCAATTTCTGTTTTGCCCTCTGGTTCTAATATTAGATGACTTGATTTCTAAGAAATTCCTTCCACCTCTATCATTATATGCAAAAGTCTTAGTGCAGTTTGAAACTATTATTTTATGATTTTTTCTTAATTCATTTTTCTTCTAGCTTAAGTTTGAGTATCTCCCCATTAGCCATGAGGCTGCCCATCTACTGTGTTTCTGTTACCAAAGAACATAGCCACATCCTCGTGGGACTGGAAGATGGCAAATTGATTATCGTTGGTGTCGGCAAGCCAGCTGAGGTAATGTTTACCATCAGAATTTTCTGTCTTGAGCCATTGAAGATCCTCTTGTTTTTCCTTAATTCCACCTGAATTAGAAGCTAATGCTATCCTGTCTCTTTCCAAAACTAGAGTTAGGTCTGTTAAGTAATTTCTAAATACAAAGTGGGAATTGTCTTGATTTCATTTTTAGAAATACCCAATATGTCAGTTGCCTTTCCTTAAAAGCATCATTTCTCACTTAATTTCACAAAGAACAACCCTATGTAACCCTGCTGACAATTTAGCTCCCTGTGGCTAATGTAAATTTGCAGGCATAGGCTTCACCAGTTCCTGAATATTTAGATATCAAATAACCACCTGCTTCTGGGACAAAGAGAGATTGTACTTTGTGGGTTATAGCAATTATACTCAAGAATTTGAGTTTCAATACAAATAGAAAGAAATAAGATATTTTTAACCTCCAGTGCTAGAGACCTTACAGTATGACACCCTCTCATAATTATTTCACAACAAAAAACCTTTGTAGAGACTCCAGTTGCTAGGATTTGTCTATTATAGCTATTAACTTTTTTGTGTGTGAAGATTCTTTTAGTCAACAGGTTGATTTTATTTCTTTTAATATATGTTAATAGAAGTATTAGATTTATGAAATGCAAGTGGTGGTAGCATTTCTGAGCCTTAATGTGTCTCCAAACATTTAGATCATGTTTCCAGTGTAGAAGCTTTTCTTGAATGCTTAATCTCTAGCTTAATACATAGCCTTCTTGCCTTTTCTTGTGACAGAATTCTGTGAAACCTTAAATTTTTCTCAAAAATATCTGTCTCTTACAAGTCTCCTTTTTAGTTGTTTCAAGTAGCCTGCTCAGATTTTCTTTTAAAGTTTGCTTTCCTCTCTCTATATCTCAGCATTTCATTCTCAAAATACAGAGATATACATATAAGATGTATAAATTATTTATGGTAATTGTTGTTATTGGTATAAACCAACACAAAGAAAATAAGATTAACTTTGTTTTGCATTTATTTTCTTAATTTAGTAATGCTTGACCATATGATTTATGTGTATGTGTTTCAAACTGTCAACAAGGTATGTGCCACTGGTATCCATCTTTAAGTAATTCTGCACATCCATTTAAGAAACCATTTTTTTATGCTGCCATCTTCACAAAATGTACTATACTTATACTCATGCAGTATTAGCAAGGGTCTAGAGATTCCAGAGTTATTTGGGAAGGTAGAACTTCATTTGGACACTGTGCTGCTGACTTAAAATATGCCCATTTATTCAAGATCTAAGCACAATATAGATTTTGTTATATATTGAGTAAAAGTCTCAAGATAAAGAAGAGTTTATTAATTTGTTAACACCTAGAAATTTCACTCAGTAATTTAAAATGTAATATAGGAGGCCCACAAATATGATTCAGGGCATCTAATATAAGAGACATAAGAAATTAAAGTTACATATTTCTATAGATCTCCTACTATTAAGAAAGCAAGCTGTTTTGTAACTTAAAATATTCTAGATGAATTCTAAATAAATTTAATATCTAGATATAAGTATGATCTCATTTTATAAAAATAAGATTTATCTCTGCTTTACATAATATAATAGATCAGTGCTACTCTGTATTTTGGGGCACAGTATTACAGGACATATACTTGACTCTTTTAAAAAAAAGTTCAGGTTTTGATGTTCATTGACGCCTCCTTCCCTAGCCCTAGCTTTTTTCCTCTGCTGATGGTCAGCAGCAGAACTCCCCGTCTCCGTTTGGCGAGTACAAGTATAGGTGCATTTGCAGTCACATTGGTTAGTACAATAGGCAAGGAAATAAACATTTATATAGTTACTTAGGTTCCAGGCACTGGGCCGAGCCCTTTAGAGATATTATCTCATTTGATCCTCACAACAACTCTGTGAAGTAGGTGCTATTATTATCCCCATTTTCCAGTTAAGGAAACTGATGCAGAAAGAGGTTACATGACTTGCACAGGGTCACACAGGTAGTAAGTATCTGAGACTGGATTTGAACTCAAGATTTCCAGACTCCAAGTCCAGCACTCTATCTGCTATGCCACCTAGCTGCTTTAAATGGAGTAGGGATGATTCAGGTGCCATAATATTTGTGGTAATATTTCACATTTTAAATAGTGCTTTAAATTTTGCAAAGTGCGTTTATTACTATGTAATTTGAATATTTATTGCATAATTTGGCCTCAGTTTTCAGGGGTAGAGGACTGGAAATAAGTTTTTAGTTTTATTAGGTCAATTTATTCACTTCTGTATACTGTATTTAGAATATTTCATCTTTGTAATTGGTTTGATAACAGGAATCCTTATAAGTAAGTAACTTCTAATTTCTGATGATTGGGCATCTGGAATCCTGTATTTTTCATTTTATTTTAAAATTTCCTTTTAATTATAAACTTAAACACAAACATTTCCATATGTAAAGAAGAAAAAAGAAGGTTATATTTGAAAACATGAATCTCTATTATATACAGCTTGGTTTTATTTGAGCATATAATAAATTTAACTTGGTAGCACCAGCACTGTACCACTTGTTTTGTTTCCCTTTCTGAACTTTTTTCTTCTGTGTATTTTAAATAATGTTTCATTGACACTTTTTCTTTTGGCATCGCTATCACTGTTTCCCTAACTCTATTCCATAAATCCACCCCCCTCATTCCTCAGAAGCCACCTCCTATAACAAATAGACATAGTAAAGCAAACAGATAAACACGTTTGCCATGACTGAAAATATCTATCTCATTCTATATCTCTGGTTTATCTCTCTGCCAACAGAGTGGGAATTATGATTCATTATCAGTATTTTAGAAATGTGATTAGTCATTGTGTTGCTCAGAGTTCTTAAGTCTTTCAAAGTTGCATTTCCTTACAATGTTGTGGATAGTCTCTAAAACAGGGTCATAGTTATTACGTAAAACAATGTTGTAGTTATTATATAAATTGTTCTCCTGCTTCTGCTCACTTCATTCTGCATTAGTTCATATTAGTCTTCCCAAAATTCTCTAAATCCTTTCCTTTAGTAATTTCTTAGAGTAAAATGATATTTCATTATATTCATATATCATAATTCTTTAGCCATTATTCAGGTGATGGCCACCCAATTTGTTTCCAGTTCTTTGCTACAGCAAAATGTCTTGCTATGAATATTCCCTACATATGCATCCTTTCTCTCTTTCTTTAAGGTTGCTGGGTCCAAGATTGGCCTATTCAGTGATTTTTGGAAGTAGAGTTCTAAATTGTTTTTTTTTAATGATTGGTTCTTCACTTGCCCTTTATTAATTAAAATTTTATTGTGATTTAGCCAGATGTGTTTAATATGTTTCTGCTTTTCTGGTTTTGTTTATGGCATTTTTATGCCTTTGCACATGAAGGTGCTCTTTTATGAAGGTGCCATGCATAATTGAATATGCACACACATGCCTGAGTATGCATGCATATACACACACACACACACACACACATTTGTACATATATGTGTGTGTATATGTATAACTTTTGGTTCTCATTTAGTATTTCCAGAGATCTATCATATCTAGCTTTTCTAAAATTATACTCGGGTCTCTTTTTCATTTGTCTTTTGGCCAGATTTGTCCAGGCGAAGTCTGAAGGGGACACATCAAAATCCCCAGCAATTATAGTTTTCTATTTCTCCCTGTAATTCAAATAACTTTTTCTTTAATTTACTTCGATGCTCTGCCATTTGGTGCCTTTAAGCACAAGTAGTTTCACTGCTTTTCTCTTTTAATCTTGTCTATTTTTACTGTTGTCTTGCCTGAGATCATGATTGTCATCTTTGTTTTGAATTTGCCTGAAGCATAATAAACTTTGCTCTAATGTCTCATTTTAACTCTTTGTAACTCTTTATGTTTCAACCCGCTACAATATATTGTTCAATTCTTTTTTTTTTAATCCATTGTAGCCTGACAATTTATTAATTGCTTATTCTGGGCAAAAAAAAAATACAGTCTTCAAGGGGCTTCTTTTTTTCAATGAGTAAAAGGGTACTGGAAAGTGAGGGGTGGGTTACCCACCAAGGTCTTGAGTGACTTCAGAAGAGAAAAGCAATATAGAAAAATTTGGAGAGTCAGGAGTAGAGAAATGATGGCCCATAGATGGCCTGGGCTCTTTATGAAGTAGGGTTACAAGTAAGAACTCACCAGTCAGAAATGCCAGTAGGGCAGAGGTGAAAAAGACCAGAGAGAGAGGCAGGCACAGAGCTGGGAATGAGGTTGTCCCATTCATATTCATGGTTATAGCTGAAAAAACTATTTCTCTCTTTATATCCTTTTCTTTTTTCCCCAGCCCTTCTTTACAAAGAAGAAGGTTGTGAAGGAGAAAGGATGTGACCAGTACTAGTAATTTGTAATTGAAATCATCTGCTCCCACTTCTCTGCCCTTCTTTTCTTTACCTAGCTCACCTATTCTTACATTTCTTTCTCTCCTTTTAATTCCCCTGCAATCTACCCTTCAAAGTTTAAATTTGTTTTGCATATATTCCCTGTTTCTCCTATACCTGGCCTTGCTTCTTTCCCCATTGAGTATAATGTTTTTCTACACTAAACTCTGTGTAAGTTCCTCTTCCTTCTCCACATCTTTTCTACTTACTTGTCTGTCCTCCTTAGCTCCCTCTGGGACTGTTAAGCAGTGTTTTGTAGATGCTTCCTTCTTCTGGGTTAATCTTCTGGGGTTCTCTTAAACCAGAGTATTCTTCACTATGTTCAATAGTTTCTTCTTTTTACTCATTTCTTTAATCTCAGTTTCTGCATTGGGACTTGGTGCTAGGGCCAGTTTGAAATTCCTACCACAGTCTTAGATGAGGTGGGAAAGCTCTGTTTGGTCCTCTCCTCTGTAGTCTAGATGTTGATGAAGTTCTGGGAGATATGTGGGACCAGGCCTCACTCTCTGCCATAATCCCAGCCCTCTGGTAGCATGACGCAGGCCTCAGCTTATTCCTGACTCCTCTGTCTGCACAATCCCTAACCAGGAGTTGGTTCTGTCCCTTGATATTACCCTAATAAGCCCCAGTTGGGTATTGAAGGTTGTGCTCAGTCACAGAGCTGCCTTCTTCTCTTGCTATAATACCAAGTGTGCGTCACCTTGTCTCGTCTTTCTGCACAGTGACCTGTGGAGGCTGGCTGGGACTCTGACAGGCCAGGGTCAACATCCCTCTGGCTTCATTCTCTGATTACTGGAGTTCACACTGGCATCCTCTGAGACCATGCTAGATACATTTCGCCCTGGCATGGACACTGCTCAGAACTTCCAACAGGGTTTGGAGCCAGCCCCTACCCCGGGCATCCTTTGGCCTGAGAACATTGGCAGACTTTGGAGCCATTCCCCTTCCTGTCCCAGCTCTTTTCTCCCACAGGTTTTCTGGCTATCTTCTTGTACAGTCCTGGTCCGAACGGAAGAGTTTACTACATTTTCTCTTTGATGTTATTGATCTTTGCTCTTTCTGGTACCCATATCAGTGTGTTTGGAGTGTGGGTTGGGAGCTGTGACCTTTTCATCACCATCTTAACTATAAATCCTCCTAAATCGCTTTTAAAGCCTTCCTTTATTACATTTTTAATTTAGGTCTGTGAAAACGATGTTTGAGGGTTAAGTGTTCTTTCTCACTCTGAGGGTTTACTCAATTTACAACATAATCTGTGTTGATTAATAGTGTTTCTTTTTACTTGAGAACATTATTGTTAGAACAAAGTCACTGTGTAGTGTTTAACTCTCTCTTTCCAAACATTCTAACTGAAACTTGAAATATTATTGTATCTTTCTAAATGTAGTACATTCTGTGGTGACAGTCGTATAATTTTTTTTCTTAAATGGATGAGTATTTATATTAAAAGACAGATTTATATTTACCTAAGTCTAACCACATACTAGTGGCATAGAACTTCATATGAGTATTGTTAATCAAAAAAAAAATTTGCAAGTCCATGAGATTTGTGTTGCAACTGGATTTATTACAAAAGAAATAAACATGCATGTGGAACTCCTATACCAAGTACCAAGGCATTCTCATTGCAGATAGAAGCTTGCATATCTGTGCCCTCCCATCTAGAATAGGGAGCAGTAGAGATGGGGAAGAATTAATCTTCTCCAAAAGGGTGGAGAAAGGTAACAGAAAGGGAGGGGGAACACAAGTAAATAGGATAGCAAAAGGAGCATTCTTTTCCCTTGGGAACTGCTAGACCATGAAGATATGATGGTCTGCTTATCTACAAGGGTCCCAGCAGCACTTTCTCAGTCTGGTGCAGACTGACTGGTGCCTGTCTTGTAGCTAGTTGGACCCTCAAGGACACACAGGGAGTCCAGCTCTGGGTAGAAATAACAAACTGTCAGCTGGTGGGGGGTGGGGGAAGAGGAGAATGTCATCCTTGACTTGTGCAGGATCTCCTGTGTGTCCTGGATGTACTATGGCAATTCAAGAAGACAGGTTAAGTTGGTTTCAGGGCAACAATATGAATACACTCAAAAATCATACTTTCAGACACTAAAAGTGTTATGAAAATAATTTAAAGAAGAAAAATATCTCATTCCATAAACACAAAACAAATTAATAACTTACCTATAGAATAATTATTTTAGGTTATATAAGTATTATATTTAGAAAATAATTCCTGCTGGCTGTTGGAAATAGATATAATTTTAAATTTTCTATCTTATTCTCCTTCCTTTGTTCAGTCTAAACACTCTGAAAGGGTAATCACAACTTTTTTATTTCTATTTTTTTCCTATTGTTAAATTGTATTTTCCTAGAAATTTTATTTAGGAAAAATGCTCATATGTGAATGCTATTGATTTTTTTTTGAGACAAAAATAGAATTTTATCATCTTCTTTCTACTTCTGTGAATGATTTTAAATGCTATTCCAGATAAAATATAAGCAAAAGGAAAAAAATAATCACAAAATGTGGAAAATTTAGACGTGGGGGCAGAGAGGAGTGGGCACCAAAGTAAGTGCGACAGGAGGAAATTCTTTACTGATTCATGTATGATTTTTTGACAGTTGTCAAGAAAGTGTCAAATTTAATAATTTTTGCATAGCAAGACTATTCAATTTATTTTCTTAATGTGGTACCTTTTAAGTTTGTGAAAAAGAGACAGTGAATATAGTCATTCATACCTTTATTGATGTGTCAACCAAAAGTTATGAGAGTTAACTACATGAAAAACAGAAGTATTTGTTGTTTCCAAATTTCCCACAATCATCACCTGACATATCAATTTAATTTATACCTTTTAAAATAGCTTTTCACACTTTCTCTGAATTATTTTTAACAGATGCGTGCAGGTCAGCTGTCCCGAAAGTTGTGGGGAGCCAGCAAACGGCTCAGTCAGATTTCAGCTGGAGAGACAGAATATAACACGCAACATTCCAAATGAGTACTGCTTACCGCTGCTACCACTGATCACCAAAACTTGATTCATTTTTTGTCACTTTAACCAAATCTCTCAATTTTATAATGACTCATTTTTAATTATGAAAATTATTGGTAAATTATAAAATGTATTGTATGTGTGCTGTATTTACAAAGGTACGGAGTCTTGTCTTCATCATTTAAAAAATTCTTTTCCTAGTCCCAATGAATTAAATGGTATTACTTCTCTTTCTTATTCTGCACCCAAGTTGAGAAAAATACAAGGGATTAGATTTAATGCTCATTCTGTAATCTGTTGTTTATAGTCTGTAAACCATTGTATAGTCCAGATTTTACTTCTGAGAAAACTAAGATAAAAATCAAAGAAGATGAGACTTATTTATTTTGGTTATATTTATCATTCTAAACAGCATAAGATAAGGTACTTAACTATAAAAAGCTTATTTTAGAATATTGGAGAAAGGTGGCCTTTTACATGAACTTTTTAGGCCCTTCTTCTATTTAAGCACCTGAATTAATTTCTTTTCTGGAGCTCCTACTGAATTTAAGAATTCTTCAAGTCGGTTTGTTGCACTGCTGCTGGATGTTCCAAAGTCATTTGTAATTAAAGTACAAACCAAAAAAACCCCAAATTTGGTTTTGATAAACCAAAAAAAAAAAGTATAGAAATTGCTATATAACCCTTTTTTAATAAAACTCAGCACACAGACCTCTGAGAAATTCCTCAGATGTATCTTTATCTTAAAATAATAAAGGCTGGGGGAAAGTAGAGAGACAAGAAGTACATTTTTGTCCTTTTGATTTATTAGTAGTTGAATAATTTAAATAAAATTTAATAAACTAAAATACCGTATCCAGTTTTGACAGTCAGATCCTTTGAAATGCATTTGGAACATCACAATTCTTTATCTGCATGATTTTATAATATGTAAGTTTTACTATTTCTGAATTTTTATTTACTAAGCAAATTGTTTTCCTAGGAAGTTGCTAGAAGTCAGCAATAATATCCCAAGTTGAAATTGTGTTCTTTTTTTTACCTTCCTTTGATGTGTAAGTCATGTGTTAATTGGAAAATGTATACCATTTAAAAAGCAGTCATTGAGATATAGTTCTTTTAAAAACACATATATTTCCAACTGATAGTTACGAAACTAGTTGGTTTAGGCTGATGGACTTAATTCCTGTTCTTGTTAAATGCTGAAAGTCCAAGCATTTATTGTTCAAGACTAACAGGAAAGGATTGGTTTCATTTTAAAAGTAAAAGAGATTGTTAAGCACAATGTTTTTATAAGACCATCTTCACACTTTTAATGTAATGGATTGAACTCACAACTCTTTGAAACAATAATTTTTCATTATATTCCGCAAGGCATAGTTTTCCTACTTGATTTAATTAAGGTCTATATGTGTGCTTGTGTTTATTTATTTTTAAAGTTTTATTGATGCCTTCTGTTTTTATGTCACAGTTTAGTTTTCTTTTGATTAGATCTTTTCATTCTCAAATAATTTGACTAATCCAGGTAGCATTTAATATTGACCTCTTTATAACTTTGTTGATTGGTGAGAAATTTTAAATAAAGGATTCTATGTGGAAGTTTTTAAATAGATAAGATGTAATAGGAAGGATTTGGTGTTAAGGAATGTTACAAGAGAAGGATGTGTTTCTGTGGCTTATCTCAGTTCAAAATTCAAAAATTAAATACACTAGCAAAATAAGGTAAAACATGTTTAAGAAGGGTATTACAATAGAAATAAACTGATGTCCCAAGGATGTGTACCATACGTACAAGGATGCTGTACAGTAGAACAACTGTGAGAGTAAAATTATGTGACAGGCAAAGGATTTTGTAGAGGTCTCAGAAATCACTGGATAATCACCATTTTGGTTTTGTTGTTTTTATTAATTTCATTCAATTTTAATAGAATTTTTATTGTTAGAATTAATCAGATAACAGAGGAAGGTTTGGAGATATATATATACATATACATACACACATGTGTATTTTAGTTTTTCCATTTTTGAGATTTTGTCAAGTGAGATCAACATGAGTGTTTCTAAATGTACTGAAAAAAATTGAGTTTATTTAACTCAAGTGAAATTAGAACTTTTGTTTGAGATTTTTCTTAAGATTTGTACAGATTCAGATGGGGTCACTTTTTAGTTATTTAAAAAATATGCAAAACTGAGTACCAGATATTATAATTGGAGATTAGCACCTACACAAAATGCCATTTGAGTATATCATTGGAATTTACTGGTATGTTTTGATTTACTTAAAAAATTGTCATATTGTGCTCATTTTCTAAATGGAGAAACAGTGAACTTTCTCAGGATTTCTATTGTTTAGAGAGCATATTTATTTTGTGGTACAAATGCTATAGAGTTTGATCTTAATAGGAACTAAATATCTAAGGTCAATTATATCACTAGATAATTATAACCATAGGATTCTAGTTTTCTGTAATCCTATTTCTACCAGAGTTTTTAAAAAGTATACAGTGCACTAAGATACAAAGAAAAGTTAATACCACCAAATTTAAGATAAGACCTCTTTTTACAAACTGTTTTGGAATTCTAGAATAATCCAGAAAAATACAATTGTAAATTTTCTACCTTTGATGCATTAGTCAATATAGAAACAAAGTAACCAACATAAAACACAAAGAAAAATGATGGATAAAATCCAAGAGAAGTAACATAAACATTTTGGACTTCATGTAAAAACTTCTGTAGTCTATAAAGGGAGAAGCCTATCTGATTAGATGTGTGACTCTGGGTCAGTCAGATCACCTCTCTGAGCTTTCATTTCTTCAAGTAAAATGAGGAATCTAGATCTTTTCTGGCTCTAAAATCCAAGGGCTATTAACAATTACTTAAGGAACAGAATCAGAAGATTTGCAATGGATACTAATAAAATCTAAAATGACTTTTAAAGTACTTATAATTCTGATGGAAGCAGCCTGAATTGGTGAATAGAAGAGAGTAAAGAGTAGATACAATAGTATGTATCTTTATCTTAAAAAAAAAATCAAAAAATCAGGGAAAAAGCTTCCAGCCCATTATTGAACATTTGCTTTGTGATTTTTAAAGATATTTTCATATAAAGTCTCCATTTACGTTCTCATACAGAATTCACAATCATGTCTTTTTTTAAACATATATTTAACTGGAAGTGGCCGCGAAAATCGCCTAGATTTTAGTTTTTATACTTCATTATTCAGCAAGGTGCTTAACACACCACAGGCACTTAACACTTGTTACATTGAATGGAATCTAATTCAAACCTCTCATTTCATGAATAAAAAAACTAACGTCCAAGGTGATGTTGTTAGTAAGTAACAGGACCTCCAACAACATATTCAGCTTACCACCTCTCTCCTTTTGAAAGTCATTAGGTTCAAGTAGTGTTTCTTATTAGAAACTAGAAAATATCATTTTGGTACATTTGAAAAGAAAATAATCTAGTCTGCCTCTTTTATTCTCATACACTATTTTTATCTTGAGCTTAAAAAATAGAATGAAGTTAGGAACTGGACCTGTGATTTCACTAGTCTGGAGAACTCAGTTGAAGAAACCAAATACAGGTTGACACCTTCTCTTCAATGTATGGTCTTAGAGTCAAGTCAGCAAACATTTGACCAGCAACTAGTATGTAGCAAGCACTCTGCTAAGGACCAAGGGTACAAAGAAGGCAAAAATAGCCCCTGCTATAAAGGAGCCCAAAATCTAATGGGAAAGAAAACAATTATGTACAAACAAGGTTATGAAAATGCACAGATGGACAGTCTCATTCAATGAACACTGAAAGGTTAACTATCATGCCTGGGGCCACACAATCAGGCAAGATTTGAATCCAGGTCTTCTGACTTTGACATTAGCTTTTTATCCACTATGACCTGGCTGTTACTTCTCCTCCCAAAAGAATAATTTTTTTTACACATATACACACACACATAATTACTAAGTCTTTAGGTAGATTTCATTTACAACTTAACAAGTATCTCCCACACATCAGTATTTGAATTTATTTCTTGTGATCATCATCAGTTAGGTTCTTCCTAAAGGTGTTTTTAATAAAAGTGTTTCCTTGGCTAAGATGCTTAGCACTTAAGTAGATCTCAGAAGAACTGGGAATCAATTTTTCTTAGTCCCCTTTCTTTCCTTAACAATTCAACCCAAAAATTATGGCTCATTAACTAAGAAACCTTATTGCCTAAATTCTCATTTCATTTTTTTCACTTCACTATTAGATAGAAAAACGATTCTCAAGGCAGGAAGATGTGTTTCTCCTTTCCCCTGATACAGTATCTCCTTTCAGAAATTTGGGGCAGTAAAAAAAATGAGCAAAATTGTAATCAGGATGTGGCCACCTTTCTTCATTTTTCTGACTCTTGTCAACCCTCCTGTCAGTCTCTGCTGTGGGAATAAGGCGGGAAAAGCCCAAAGGTGGTTTATCTCATTTCTCACTTTTTTTGTGAAACTTCTATTACATTTTCAAGGGGTAGTTTTAGTCCTCCAAGCAATGATAACCTTGCATGTGTCTATATGTACACACATGTTCTTTGAGTTTCAGTACAGAACTGTATTTAGAGGAAAAACAGCGACTTTGTCCAGTATCTTGGAAACTGCTGTTGCTTAATATGCTAAAAGTAGCAACTAAAGTAATTTTAAAGTCACATAAAGTAATTTTAAAACGTACCTCAAAATTTGCTTAGTTTCTTGACACTAGAAAATAGGCCAGTAAGCCTTAGAACATTTTTCATTGTGCAGATGTGACAATGGATTTTTTTCCTTATGCCAAAAACAAAAAAAGCCTTTAAATTCAGCCAAGTCTTAAGTGGGATGATAAGTATCTCACAATTTTGATTATTCAATTATATGAATTGTTATTAGGTGCAATATCTTCTTTCCTTGTGCTTTTAAAGTTGTATATGGTGTATTTTTTTGTTGTTAAATCAAGTGCATTTTAATTATTTTAAATGTATATGAGCTGATATTTGATTTACTTCTGTACAGCATGACTGAAGATGGTCTAAAAATTTTTGCACTTTTTTAGTCTCTTTAAAATTTGTAATCAGTTTCTAAGAATGTACTTATTTTGTATATAAAATGATAAAATTAGCTTTGTATATATCATATACATACACATGTATATATAGAGATATAAAAATGGGTTTGGATCAAATAAAAAACTGGATGTTCTTTTCCTGGTGTTTCAGTGCACATCTGCCACGGATAAATTAGTGGTACATTCGAGATCAAAGTTTAGGCAAAGTTTCTTGTGTGCCCTCAAGACATAAGCGATACCTTTTCCCAAATGCCTACAGGTATGTTAACTTTGGTTTTTAAATCACTTTATAGCAACTGAAAAATGTAGGCAAAAGTTTATTATAGAATTTATTTTTAAAAAGTTGTATTCTGTAGAGCCAAGTGGTTATAGCTACAAAACTGATATTGCCAAATTGCACATGGAGCATTGTGACTTGTATTCAGTTTAATGTCTTACGTTTGCTTCATTTATACTGGCAATCTTCTTTTGATTGTTTCACCACTGACACCATTGATTATCTTTTTCTGGCAAGGCTGGTAGCTTCTAAGAACTAGTAAGGAGAAAACTGAAGTCGGCTCCAGGCTCGTGTTCTGTTGGTGTCTGACCCCTGGATTCCAAACAGATAAACAACAGTAACATAGGTCTGAAGACAAGCTCTATCTAGCCTAGGAGTACTGCTTTATCTGGCAAGACTTTTAGGATCTAAATCAGTTAAGGACAGTAAATTAGTACCTATGTTAATAAAAATCCAAATATGGTTTTGAAAAATTAATGGCTGGGCCTTGTTTTTAGGACCGAATCTAATAAAAAACCATGCCCTACAAGTACAAGCAAGTCCAAAGACTTTCAATTAAATGAAACTTACTGCAATATAAATTACAATTTATTAACTAAAATTGAAACAGCAGGAATAAATAGCCCATTATGGTTATTTTTATCCCAATAAACTAATTTATCTATCACAATGGACTGTGAATTAGAGAGAACCTTGGATTGTGGCTTCTGCTTTTTAGATTTAATTTTCAAGTGACGAGAAATAAAGCTTGCAAGTAAAAAGTATTCATTACTAATGATTTATTAAAATCCCTTCCATAAGCAGTGTTTTTGCATATCTCTTTAAAGTTTCATATGTATGGAGGTAGGTTCCCATTATGAATAATTACTACCTAATTACTGACAGCTCCATCCTAACTAGGTATCCATAGATAAGCTCTACAGATACATTAATTTATTTTCACTAATTATCTAACTTATACTTGACTGATAGGTTTTTGAAAGTAACTAAATGTTGCCAAATGAGCTAACTGCTTTCAGGACTTACTGAACACTTGCCTACCCAATCAAGGAAGGCCTCCAGCAAAGACCCGTTCTATGGGGCTCCTTCCTTGGGGCCAACAGTCTATAGCCAAAAGGGGGGAGGGAGTAGTGTCACAGAGGTACAACAGCCATGTCTTTTTGCCCTTATAAGCACTCTGGGAATGAGCAGTGACCAAGAACCAGGTGGCATGGAAACAAAGTGCAAGTCTGGGGACATTAGAATCTAGTCTTACACCCAGAACTATTCAAAGAGCAGACAGACTTTAGACTTTACTATTTGGTGCCCCTGGTACCCACCCATCCCTTTCTCCTGCAGAAAGAAGGGTTTCAATTTCTTCCAGCAACGTGATTTTTCCATCAGAATCAAGTTGTCTAGTTATAGCTTTTCCTAGAACAATGGTGCTGGTTGCCAGGCACCATGGCATAGAAGAGGCAGTATGGACAGTAAATCTGAAAAAGTGCCAGCATTTCATGAGTGGGCTTTGCTATCCCTACAGTCATATGCCACTATATGACACTGTGACAAGTTGCTGATCCCTGGACTAGTTATTTAATGAAGCTATGTAAAATTACTCTTTGTACTTAAAAATAAGCATTTTCTAAAATTAAATTTTAACCGTACCTCAGAAAAAGCCGAGCTTTATTTCTTCCTAAAAGTGTAGCTTTGTTTCCTTCCACCAGTAGCATCGATCCTTCGCGTAAACCCTTCATTAAAAAATTTTAATATGGTAAGTTTGACAGTGGTCTCAATTTGGGGAATAAACTGTGGCTATTATATTGCAAAAAGATGAATAATTTTTATTATGGTGATGATAGAATACATCACCAAATTACCATGTACCTAGCCATGGAAACCTCAGACTCCTGACAATGAGAGGGAAGGAGGGAAAGAAGAGAGGGCGGCAGAGACAGAAAGAGAATGGTTATAAGCTTGTGAGATGTTCTGCTAAAGGAGGGCTCCTGGCAGAAACAAGGAATCCCTATAGAGCCAAAGTTTCCTCATCCAGCTTGCAGCTGTTCTTGGATGAGATACACCTGTTGACTTGGTACAGGACTCTCTGGGACCTACTTCATTGACAAGAGTATCAGTTGGGTAAAAAATGACTTCGGAATATAGTTATGGTGGCCATAACTTTATGTCTTAGCTTTACCCCTAAGTTTTTTTTTTTTGGGAGGGGGTAGGCAATAGGGTTAAGTGACTTGCCCAGGTTTACACAGCTAGTAAGTGTTATGTGTCTGAGGCCAGATTTGAACTCAGGTCCTCCTGAATCCAGGGTGGGTGCTCTATCCACTGCACCACCTAGCTGCCCCTTACCCCCAAGTTCTTAATAGAATGGTTCTTCAGAATAAGTAAAAGAGAAGTTGCATTCTGTTTTTTTGTAATCATTATGGCCCTTGTTCGGTGAATTTTTCATTAAATTCCTACATGGCAGCCAATTCTAGAACATATCAATGCTCCATTTCTAAAATTACAACCATGAAAGCTCAATGAAGGGACAATCCTAAGGAAAGAATGACCTTAATTCATAGAATTTCTTCATGCCTGCCTGAAAAACTATTTCTCCATTTAAGATAAGTACCTTTAATTTGAAAATATGTACCTATGATATGTACCTATATGGATCTGCTATCCCAGTTGACTCCTAACTTTACAAAAGTCTTGTCATCAGCCACATCTTGCCAAACCCTGGATCATCCCTACAATCTTCCTTTGCTATACCTGCTCACATACTGTGTCACACTCCTGGAGAAAGTCACATGAACATGCAGATTTAGTTCACTACAAAATTAATTTCACAGACCCTCACTACTGCATAGCAGTTTTCATTTCTTACTTTACCGAAAAACAAAAACAAAAAAGCAGAGGCCATGTATCATGAGCACTCTTTTCTTTTCCCATCTTCTTCTTTGTTTTTGTCTCTACTTTAGAAAAGGGCCTTCTCTTTATCAAGGCCAACCACTCAACTTGTGTTCTTGATCCCACCCCCTGGGAGCTTCCTCCTTCTAATATTTCCTCTTTTCTCATCTTCAATCTCTCTTTAGCCTCTCGTTCCTTGTTCAATGGTGACAATCATAAGTCTCTTCTATCCTTAAAAAAAATTCACTTGATCATGGTTAATATGGAAATATATTTTGCATGACTTCACATGTATAAATGATATGTTGCTTTCCTTCTCATTTTTAAAATCTTTAAAAATGAACTTCAAAAACATACAAATATTTTAAAAAGCTGACTTGATCCTGCCATTCTACCAAGGTTATTATTTTATATATCAGCTCATTTTCACATCTAAATTCCTAGAGCCCTACCTATGCTAACTGCTTCCTCTTTACCTGGCTTCCAATCCTATTTGAGCTCAAACTGCTTTCTCAAAAGTTACCGATCACCTCAACTGCTAAATTTAATTGTCATTTCTCAAACCCCATCCTTACGGACCTCTTTGCAGTATTGTCAGCGCCTCCTTTTCTGAGAGCCCAGGATCACCCCGACGCTACAGTGAGGCATCAGAGGAGTAGACTTCACGAAGGGCAGAATGGAAGCTATAATTTTGTTCAGTGGACACATTTCAGGGATACCTTCATTTTTACAACGTGTTCTCTTAAGGTGAAAGGATAACTGCAGATATGAACTAAAGTATGTATTAACCTAAAATATTGTATCTGGCTATAGTACTTAGCTATAAAAAAGTTCAAGTAATGAGATCTGGCATAAGGAAAGATACAAAGGAAGAGATTCAAAAGACTGATGTATAACATAAACCTTGCTTTTTTCTTTTAAAGGGGATTTTTATAAGAGGAATGGTCTGAGATGAAGTTCTTCATAACGACCTAAGTAAGCCGGTATATCGCTATTCAGCGCGGTGGTTCAGCTTCCCCAGTGCCTTTACATGCCAAGAGTCACCCTGGTTTCTGAGGGTGGTTCTTCCTGAAGCCTCTGCTTGCTGTTTTCTTGCTCCTGCTTCCCTTCAGTATCTCATCATCACTTGCAAAGAAAACTGATTTTCTTCCTGCAGTGTAATCTCAGGTGGCAGAGGGAAAGTGGAGCGGCACAAGAAGGAAGAGAAGGCAGGGGAAAGAGCAGAAAAGCTAAATCAGGCAAAGCCCTGGGATGGGTAGCTGCGTGCAGGGTATCATCTTTAGCTTCCATGCTTGTGATTAGCCATAGACGTTAAGTGTGGATGATACCAGCACTGGAGGGGTGTCTGGCTCCTCATGATACTGAAGAATCCGTTCTTCACGTGTCTCCTAGGAAGAGGAAAGGTTTTGAAAAACTAAGACAAAGGAATCCCCAATGGATCCAATGAGTGTTTCCATTCCTAACTTTTCCTTCCCCCAGCAGCCATGAGTTTCCTTAGCAGACCTTTTGGCTTACAGGACCAAAAGGCCACAAGGGTCTGAAGTGAGGGACTGTCATCATCCCACTCATTGAAGGACGCCTGGAATCTGAGAAAGGTCGTGTGAAAGCCTTCTGAAGTCATTCCCTTCTCGTTATCATCTTCAGATGAAGCTTGCTTCATCATATGCTCTGGCCTAAGTCAGCCCCCCCACAGAACTGAGTGGCTGGAATGCCACATGCAATGAAAAATAAGGCCCTCGTGCCTTGTTACGGAGCTTTCTTCACTTGCCAACTAGTTTTAGCCTTGCTATCAATTAAACAAGAACTAAAGTGTGTTAGTGAAGCACCTGTGGAGAAGTGGCAGTAATGGAAAGGGAGACTGGGCTGAGAGTCCTGACTGTAAGAAAGGTACCTGCCATGTAGCCTTGGGCAAGTCACTCAACCAGAGTCTTGATTTCTCTTCCGTAAATACTTTGGCTTTGATAGGCCTTGTAGTGTTAAATAAATAAATTCCGTCTACTATTACACAAAGCCCTCTGTGTTATACACTTCTCTGTATTCCTCTTATGGACCACTGCCTGTGCTAATGTGTATTCTCAGGATGCACTGAGAAGGTTTTTCGGCTTTAACTCGATCAAATGAAAACATCCTAAGGAAGAGCATTATATGTCCCTAAAGGTCACCAGTTTCCACCAAATGCCAATTCTCTTGGTAAGACACCATGTCTATCAGATGAAAATGCTTATTAGCCTGCCATCTATGGAAAGAATCTAGGAGAGAAACAGATGCCACTGTGGGGTGTGGCAACCTCTGTACCTGTGTACCTCACTCTGGGAGATTAGTGAATGTTCTTCATTGAAGTCCTGACCTATATGTTATTTACTGACTGCTAACTAAGGGCTGAGCACCAATGAACTTTGCTCTTCAGGAGAGAGTCAATGATTACCTCAGACAATCACCCACTTTTTTTGTTTGTTTGCATAGTGCTCCTAAAGGCAAGGAATAAACACCCAATTTCTGCTCATGTTTTGTTACTTTTAACTTACAGTCATCTAAGAAACCGTTTCTGATTAAGAAATGTGGTACACAAATGCACCACACTGCAAGCTCCCCAGAATAACAGCAAATTCCTCAAAAGCACTTTGAAATTCTTTAAGGACAGTTATTCTGCTTTTCTTTAAATCTCCCTGAAGAGCTTGCTTATCCTTCAAAGGGCAAGGGGAAGGGATTGGAGGCCAAAGAACACAAACTCATTTTCCTTATAATGCTTTTGTGGGATAGGCTTACAACTCCATGTTTCAAATGCCATCTCTTCTCATTTGCACTTCAAGCAATATCAGCAAGTGTGAATTGTATATGCAAAGATCTACATTATGGTTGCTTTAGCCAACATAAGTATCTGTCATGGAATACTTACACCCATATGTGTGCTATTAACATCTGGATCCAGGTAGTGGGGATTGATATTAAAAGGAACAAACCCCAAAGCCTCCAAGGAAGGTGGGAATACAATTGGCATATCATTGGTTGTACTGATGCTGATGGTGGCTACGTTCGTTCCAGCACTAGATCCCATGTATGGAATACCTGCCTGGAAGATACACATAACTGAGGTAAAAAGACAAGTCATTTAAGTGAGGGGCCAGGAACAAATCAATGTCAACATCGACTTTAGAGCACGGACTCCTCAAGAAGTTTAGATGCTGAAAAAATTCCGAGGAAGGAGAAATCCCTCTAAATCCCTGGCCAAACGTATGATGCTAAAATAGTTGGAAATAAGGAAGGAAGACTCCCTTTGAAGTGAGGCACTGGCAGCCCAAAAGGAGAAAAATCAAACGAACACAGGCATGGCACATGTAACTAAATGAGAGGTGGCACTGATCACTGCACTGGAGAGTTCCTTTTTTTCAAGCCTGTAAAGCCCTTCATTGCATGAAATGCTCTGAACTGTAGATCAGAAAGGTAAATACCAATTATGCATTCTTGTCTCTTCTGCCACCGGTGCCTGATGACACCACCTGCACCATGACACACAAGATGTTGTGGTCTGCTGCACTTTTGAGTCAATGTTCATAGAGCCTGCGCAGTAAAAATTACATCTACATTTGAAATGATGGCACATCCCATTTATGGAACTCTTGTTTTTAGGTGATATGGAGCGAAAATGAAAGTGGTACCTCCTGGTGAACAGTCTGGGCTCCACCAAGAACCAGAGGGTAAGGTGGAGACTTTTGGTGTGTCTAGGAGAGGGAAGGTCTCTATGGCCTGAGTCTCTGGGTTTACAGTTACCCCGAGGCAACAAATACACAACAATCATGATTTCAAAGCTAGATGAACCTTGTGTCATATCACATTTTCCACAGCTGTTCGTGTTGGTACAAATTAAAAAGAAGTATTTGTCTTAGAATTTTAAAAAAGCACACCAGACCCACAGTTATTCACAACAATCCTGAAGGGTAGGAAAGAATAAATATCAGCTCTCCCTAGTTTCTACAAGGTGTGATTGGAAATACAGGAAAGATTTAGGTTAGATTATCACAAAACTTGACAAACTGGCTTGCAACAGAGAAAAAAGATATCTTAAAGGGCCCCAAGAAAGCTAGACAAGAAGTTCCCTTTTTTTAATTGCAAAAGTACATAGCTCTTGGGTTACAATGCAAGGCAGGAGCTTCTGGGGCAATATTTTTATTTATGAAGGGAGAGAGAGAAAAGGAGACAGTGGAAAATCACATGTCTTGCTCCTTTTCATTATTTTCCAGATATTCTTATTAAGACACCAGAAACTTTTAAGCCCTTGGCAAGCTTAATAATAGACCTCAACTCGGTGGAAGTGATTATAAGATTCACACAAAGTCTTTTTCAGAGCATTGGAGGTCTTTGATAACACAGCTATTCCTGGGCTAATCATATTCTTTTCTCTTCAGCCCTTCTTGGCCTGAGAAAATTATATTCTGTTTCATACAACACAAAAATCAAGGTAATGCAATCCTGCGCCTGGAATTCTTCACAATCTCATTTGTGTCACTTCCTACCTCAAATATAACAAATAGGACACTCTGTCAACAATATTTTTCAGTTCATCTAACACTTTATTTCCTAGAATTCTGGAAGTGCCTCTAAACAAGTTCATCAACACATTGTAGTCAATATCAGCAAGCTCTGGAAGGCCTTTCTAAAAGGGTATTCACAATTATTCTTAGCTTCTATCATCTCTTAGATCAGTCTTACCTCCATAAGTACATAATAAATAATGCCACCATCTATCATCAGTGCTAGAATAGCCATAGATTTGGCTGGTGATATCTGATTCTGCCTACAGGAAGAGATTAAAATGTAGCAGCTAATTTATTTTTAAAGGGAAAGCAAGACATAGGAAAACAAATACCAGGACAGCCATTGAATCACTTAATTGTAACCTCAGCAAATCGATTTAGGTCAACTTACATGTAGGACTCTTTTCCTGATCTCAGGAATCAGATTTAAGTCATATAAAATCTTTAGAAGTCTGAAAGTATTACCACCACCTGTAGGAGAAGAACACATTTTACTTTGCCTAAATAAAAATACTCCAACCGTGATACTCTCAATGAGCCCTCTTTAGTCTGGAGGGTGGCAGAGAAAACAAAAATGGTTACCAGCAATAAACATCTGAATGCCTATTTCACACAAGCCTTGCCCAATCTGAAGGAAAATCAAGAAAAAGAGTTGGAGTGGGGCCTAAGAGAAAGAAATAGGGCTGACAGGGCTACCAGAGCTGATTCAGACTGTTTCCAAGAGCAAGGTAAAGAAAGGATAACCACTGACACCACTCTTTTTTAATATCTAGTTCTAGAAACACTATATAGCAAGTCAAGGAAGGAAGGAGAGAAAGGACTAAGCCTTCATTAAGTGCTACCTGTGCCAGACATTGTCCTAAGAGCTTTACAAATATTATTTCATTTGATCAATCAATCCTCACAACTCCCCTGTGAGAAAAAGAAATTTCATCCAAAATAACTAAAGAATGTATAAAACTATTCAGTTACTGAGCAATATGAAAATAAAACATTCTACAGAAAGAGAGACACAAATAATTGGTGAGATATTACTTGCTCAGGGTTGGGCAAATCGATAAACAAATTTTGATGCAGTGACATACCAAACTACCAAAGGGCTACTTGATAGAGCTAGAAAAAGTAATAAAATTCTCTGGAAGAACATCTGGTCAAGAACCTCAAGGGAAATAATGGGAGAAAAAGGTAAGAATAAAGGGGACCTAGCAGTGCAGATTTCAAAGTATACTACAGAGCAGTAATCATCGAAGCTACTGGCTAATTGTCAATAATGGGAAGTCACGTGGCATGGTGGGAGAGAGCACTGGGCTTGGAGTCAGGAAGATGAGTCTTGCTGAGTTCAAATCCAGCCTCATACACTTACTAGCTGTGTGACCCTGGGCAAGTCACTTAACCCAATTTGCCTCAGTAAAATGAGCTGGATCCCAAATAGGGTCACGAAGACTCTGAACAATAATAATGGTTAACAAATAGCTAACCTGAACAGAGGAACCGCCTAGTCGCCCAAGACCCAGAAGTAACTGAGCCTCATCACCACAGTGTTTGATATTCAAAGACACTAACTACTGGGGTGTCTCTGAATTTATCATGAAATCCACGGTGTTTTCTTGGCAAAGATACTGTATTGGTTTGCCATTTCCTTCTCCAATGTGCCCCCATTTTACAAACAAGGAATTGAGGCAAATGAGTTAAGTGACCTACCCAGGGTCACACAGCTACTAAGAGGCCAGATCTGAACTCAGATCTTCCTGACCTCAGGCCCAGTGCTCTAAAACACTGCACCACATAGCTTCCCCCTACTGGGGTGTTACTATTCAATAAAAACTAGTGGGAAAACTAGAAAGCCTTCTGAAAGAAATTCAATGTAGATCAACTCACTACCACATGACACTCCAAAGGGGGTTTCCTGATGATCTAAATACAAAAGGTCACCTTATAAACAATTCTGGCTTTCTCACTTGTCCTCACATACGATACTGCATCTCTGAGCTTTTGTGCTGGCCTCGCCCCTGCCTCAGGTGCACTACTTCCTCATCTCAATCTCTTAAAACCCCCAAACACCATCTGATACATGAAGCCTTCCTTCTAATCACCTTGTTTTTAACTTTATATTTATGCCGTATATATTTTTGTGTGTTCTTGTCTCTCCCTTCAGAATGTAAGCTCCCTGCGGGTAGGTATTGGTTCATTCTTTGCACCTGTATCCCTGGTACCTTGTACAGTACTTGGCACAGTAAACACTTAATAAATACTGATGGACTGATTGATTCTTCACCGGAGAACGAAATTATCACTATGAATTTTCCATTTAATTGAAATTTTTTAATCCTACTAAAATATCTGACTTTAAAATGCTGAAGAGTAAAATAAATTCTTAGAGAACTATTTAATGAAACAAGTACCCAGGTAAAATCTGGGACATTCCCAGTGATCCCCACTATCGATCACAGATAGCTTAACATTCCCATTATCTCCAGACTTTGATTAGGACATACCTTTCTATCTCAACATGAATTATAGTTTATTCAAAAGGTTCTTCCCAGGATGTGGGCCAGCTCTATGGCCTTAGGTCAACTAGTTCCTTATGGTTCTTCTGTGGTAGAACAAGAAGACCTCTTATACTTTCTTATACTGTAAGATCCCTTTTACTGAACTTCCTTTTGTTTTTAAATTTTTTTTTCCTATCAACAAAAATCTGCCTTTTCTCCCTCTCACCTACCTCTCTAGAAAATCTGTACTCCAAGTCCATCACTTCTTTGCTAGGAGGTAGAAGGCATTTTTTAAAAATTCTTTTTTATTTTTATTCCCCCCAATCAGCAAAAATTTATCCCACCCCACTGAAAAAGAAAAACCCCCTACTACAAACATGCGAAACAAATTTCCATATTGGCTGTGTTAAGAAAAAAAAGTCTCATTTTGCACTCAGAGACTTTCATCTCTGTATCAGGAGGTGGGTGGCATGTTTTATCATTAGTTCTCTGGCATTATGGTGGGTCAGTATGCTAATAGGAGTTCCTGAGTCTTTCAAAGTTGTTGTCTTTGTGTACATCGTTCTCCTGGTATGCTCACTCTACTCTGCTTTGGTTCATACGAATCTTCCTAGGTTTATGAGCCAACCTTTATCATTTCTTATAACACAACATTATTCCATCACAACTTGTTCAGATATTCTCCAATGTTTACATACCTCCTCCACCCCTTTTCCCATTCTTAACTACACTTCTACAAAGCTTAAATATTTTTGTATATCCTTAGAGTCTGTTGTACTCCCTCCCTTAATCTCCCCGTCTAATTTCCCCTTCTCTTTCCCTCCCAATTCCCTGTTGAATGAAATGTGTTTTTTTACCCAACTCTGTGTATGTGCATTGCTTCCTCCTTGGATCAGTTCAGACAAGAGTAAGGTTCCAGTGTTAGCCACTTCCCTCACTCTTTCCTCTTTTACTTGTATAGCCTTCTGCTTATGCAGCCCAGATCATGTGAGATAATTTCCCCCTAACTTTCCTCTCCTGCTCCTGTATATTTTTCTTCCTGCCCCTGTCCAGTCTTCTTCTAAATCAACAGGGCGTAATAGAACCACTCCCAGGAGTTGTCTAATTAGACTCCCTCGAGGCTGCCCTAATAAGGTTTAGAGGGGGGTCATATACATCATCACTCCATATTAGAATGTAAGTACTCTATTTCATACAAAATCCATTTTTCTCCCTGAAGGATTATACTCAAGCTTTGCTGGATAAGTTATTCTTAGTTATAGAGTCTATATCCTTTGCCTTTTGGAATATCATATTCCAAGCTCTAAGTTAAAGGTATAAAATTTCTGTTTCTAATAAGCAAATAATTTTACATTTTACTCCTACCGGAGACCGAAACCACCTAATACCTTTCTAGCTAAAAGCTGCTGGCTAAGTATAACTTGAAATTATATACAATGGTCTTCTTAGTCATACCTCAGCAATGGTTCCAGATCTCCTGTCTCAAATATGTAACTGTCTTCTTAAATATCTATTATCATTTAGAACTTTTGAAAACAAAATTTAAAAAGAAAGCTTAAGCTTTTGAAACTATAGATTCAAAATTATTTCACCAGACTTACCTACAAATATGGCTTCAGATTTTCTTACAGCTTCCACAGGATCAGAAGATTCATGAATACTGTCTAATTCATATCCTTAAATTCAAAATAGAATTTGATTTATTCACATATGATACAACTTCTGCTTAAATAGGCAACATTTTCAATCATTAGAAATTGGCAGGCAGAGGGGGTAGCTTTCTGATACAGCTGAAGTACTGGATCTCAGTGCCAGGCCTTCTGGCATCTCTGGGCAAGTTAACTCCATAAGGCCTTAGTGTGTTCATCTATAAAATGAATTATTAACAAAGAGATGATGGACATGAAAGTGCCCTGAAAACTGTTTTTATCTTCTTTTGGGTGTTTTTTTTTCCCTTTTTAACTAGACCTATGATTTCAACTACTTGGGGAACTCCAAAATTCTTTCTATTGCCTGGCAACCCATCTTTAATTTACATAGTCTTAGAAGATTTCCAGGGGCTCTGAGCTTACGTGACATACCTGTAGTTACACAGCTAGTATATGTCAGCATCAGGCTCCCTGAACTTGGCCCTTTCTGATTCCAAGGTGACCTCTAGTCACTATATATCCTGCCTCTCAAAGGCAATATTATTTCTAGCAATTCTGAGATCTGAGGCCAAAATGATTGCCTAGGAAAAGTCCCCACCTATATTTTGGAATAGGGAAAAAACCAGGAACTAAAATGCTATTACTAGATCAGTTCAATTCTTAAAAAATTGTGCCAACTATCTGGGGTCTAAAGGTGCTCTGCACAGGCATGATACATGGTGGATTTGTTAATTGATAACTGAATTACTAAAATTTAGTAATTACTAACATTCTGGTAAGTCTACAATGAGAGAAATAGATTGTTACCTAAGCTTTCAAATTTTTCTCTTGCAGTTTTGGCATAGGCATCTTGATCATGAAGTGCATATGGAATAAAAAGAACTCGATTCACTTTTCTGGGGGAAAAAAAACAAAAGAAATTTTCATTGTCAATGATATTTTTTAGTTCTCACTGTGACTGGATTTGACTTATGGTTCTGTCCTAAAAGTATATATATCTTGGGTGTTTACAGGGAAGTCACTTTACCAAACTCAAAAAAACCAGCCTCTGCTTCCAAGTTCTATCTTATGCTGTTTGACCTTGAAAGCAATATGAGATCTTCATCACATGTAAATAATTCTTAAATGCAAGAGTGTATCAAAATTTAGGGGAAGATTTTCTCTTATCCCTAAGTGAAATGAATTATTGCTTCTTTTTTGTAAAGACTGATTTTAGGATTTCTTCTTCCCAACCCATCTGGGAAGATGTGATAGTGGTCCTTCCCTAGCTACCCTCCCATGGTTGCTCTGTGGATAATACAAAATACTCTATGTTAAAGTGCTTTGCAATCTGTCTTCAAACCTTAACTGAAAGTGCTCTCTCCGAAATCACTAATAATCTCTTACCGGCCATATCTAATGGTCTTTTCTCCATCCTCAACCTTTGCACTTGTTCAGGGCTGGTAAGAAGTTCCCTGAACTTGTCTTTTTGAGTTGCCACACTTTCCAGGAACACTGGACCCTAGAGCATGCAGGATGCCCTGAATGAAGCTCCCATAACTTGTTATCTGCATCCCAGGCTGGATCCGGTGTGCTGTGGACTCGAGGCAGACGCAGACAGTCCGTGCCACACTGGCTTGCTCAGCTGGGGTCCTTTGCAGCCAAGCAGACACTTCTACCTTTGTAGTCTAGTTCCCAGGGGTAAAGGATGTGACTTTCACTTACCTAAGCTCCTCCCCTGCAAGAGAGCTCTTGTCCTTTTCCTGCCTTTACTGCACCTTTCCCCTTCCATGCTGGGCCCCTGTAGGTGGAAATATGTTTTCTGCTCCTCCTTTTGTTATACTGTCATAAATATGCAAACTTCTGTGAAGACTGTGAACTCTCTGGGTTCCACATGTGTGCTCATTTCTCTTGTAATAAACCTGGTTTTCACATAAGTCTCATGACATGACTGCCGTCTATCCTTTATCCATAGGATGTTCTCTTTTCTCTGGGTTTTTGTGATTGCTTTTTCTCAGTTTCTTTCCCCAAGGGGCTGCTCTTTCTTGGACTTCTTTGCTGTATCTTCATGTCCTGTATTCCACCCCTCTTCCCCCCATAGTTGTACCCCTTCTATTTTCTTTATTCTCTGACTGGACAATCTCACAAGTTCTCATCAGTTCAATTATCTTCTTTATCTAGATGACTCCCTGATCTATCTACTGCTCTAGGCTCTCTCCGAGCTCCAGTCCCAAATCACTAACTGCCTAATGTTTACTTTCAAACTGGATGTCCATAGACATCTGAATCTCAACATGCCTAAAATGGAACTCAGCTTTTTTTCCCACAAACCCACTCTATCTGCAGAACATACATGTGAAGGTAATCTGTCTCTTTTGCAATCACCTTGGTATGCATTGCAACCTTGTTGTCATCCTCAACTTCTCACATATCTAACTGATGGAATCCTAATAAAGCTGCCCCCAGCCCCAATATTCTAACTTCCTTATGGGTCTCACTCAAAAGCAGATATGTCCTGATTTAACCACACAATCTGGATTTAACCACAACACTGCCCCCAGACTCAATCATAGGCCTCACTAAATAGCAGACCCAACACCCCTACCTAGCCTCTACCCCTCCCCCATCAGCACCCAATATCCTAACTTCCTCATATATGCCTTACTGCCTCACTAGGATAGCAGGCATGTCCATACGATGGAAGGCTAGCCACTGCCCCCAGCCCCATTCCTCATATTTCCCATAGAAACAAGTGTGTCCACATACTCAGGCACATACACATTAATCTAATCTCAGACTGGACCACAACAGCCAGCCAGAGAGCAGCACCACCAGGATGCCAGAGCAGGATGTGAACCCTAAACAAGAGAACAGGCCTTTTCCTAAGTAGGCACCTGCCCAGTAATAGCAAAAGCTATCCTTTAGGTGAACTTATGACATAGAGAGGCTTATTATCATATATCAATCCCCCCCCCTTGGGCTTTTCTGTATGCATTATAGGTAATCGAATACACAGTTCCACCAAGGCCAGAACCCCTCCCCTATAAACTGAGCCCTTGACAAACTGCCTTTTTAATATGCATAATTTTTGTTGCATAATCAGCATCATTACACTATAAGATTGCCTGTCTTGTCTTACAGAAGTTGCTGGTACCTCTTGGAACTCCGCCCGCTGGAAAGTGTAACCCTCAATAAATGCTTTCACTTGGAAGTGGTCTGAGTCTGAATTTTTTGAGGCAATCCCCACAACACACCGTGCAACTGCACCATAATCAGCAGTTAAATCCTTTCATTTCTCTCTGCATAACACTTCTCTTATAATTCTCCTCCCCACTCAGTCACAACACTACAGCAGGTCTTCATTTCTTTTTGTTGTTGTTGTTTTTAGGCAATTGGGGTTAAGTGACTTGCCCAGGGTCATACAGCTAGTTAAGTGTCAAGTGTTTGGTCTGAGGCCGGATTTGAACTCAGGTCCTCCTGACTTCAGGGCCAGTGCTCTAACCACTTCGCCACCCAGCTTCCCCGGGGTCTTCATTTCTAATCTGAAGCAACAGCCTCTAAATCTCTCCCTTCTCCAATTCATCTGCCATTGAAGCTGCCAAAGTGATTTTCCTAAAGCATAGATCTGACTATGTCAACACCCTCTTCCCCCCCACCCCAATCCCATAAACTCCAGTGGCTCCCTAGTACCTCTGGAAGCAATAAGGACTCTTCAGAACAGGGCCCCTCCCTATCTTTCTGGTATTACACATTACTTTTCTCAGTGTACTCTAAGTACTTGCCATATTGACTTACTTGCTATTCCTCACAAAATGTTCCACCTCCGGAGCAGCTAGGTGGTACAGTGGCTAGAGCACCGGCCCTGAAATCAGGAGGACCTGAGTTCCAATCTGGCCTCCGACCAAACATTTGACACTTACTAGCTATGGGACCCTGGGCAAGTCACTTAACCCCAATTGCCTAAAAAAAAAAAACCCACCAAAAAACCCCAAAATGTTCCACTCTCCTATCTTTCTGCCTTTGCACTGGGTTTTACCTATGCCTAGAATGCTCATCTTCCTTTGCTTTTTTTTTTTTCCTTTTCAGGCAACTGGAGTTAAGTGACTTGCCGAGGGTCACACAGCTAGAAACTGCCACGTGTTTGGTCTGACTCAGGTCCTCCTGACTTCAGGGCCTGTGTTCTATCCACTGCGCCACCTAGCTGCCCTCTTAACGCTCATCTTCCTCACCTACAACTGGTTTCTTTCAAGATTCGGCTCAAGCATGGCCTTCTGAAAGAGGCTTTTCCTCCCCGCCCCCAATACTTTCCCCTCTAAGATGTCCTTGCATCTACCCATCTTGCTTGGATTTTGAACATAATTTTATATGTACAATTTGTCTTCCCCCATAAGTTCCTGAATAGCAAAGAATCTAGTAACACCGTCTCTGCATTTCTGAATGATCTCTCTTCTACATTCTAATTATTGTCTGAAATTCTACTTGGGGGTCCCCTTGTTTTAAATTAAAATGCAGTCTTACCAAGAGGACCTTATCCTGGCACTAGTAATTTATAACTCCAGCGTAAAGTAGTTTCAGATTAAGCCCAGGAAATTTTTTTTTTGCGAGGGAGGTAGGAGGAGAGAGGGAAGACAGTATGTGCTCAAGAGGAAAGTGAAAGTAGGGGAGAAAAGTAAAGAGTATTAAAAAGACTTCCAATACTATCTTCGTGAATTTACCTGGCCCTAGTATCTCCAAACAAGGTTTAAAGATTCTCCTATTTTAACAGGTCTGATACAGGGACCAATCCTTAAACTACTGGAGTACAACTCCAGTTGTACAACTTCTGGAAGGAAGATATAAATTCTCTTTCTCTATCAGGAATTCACACTATCAGCTGGCATCTAAGATGCAAGGACATTTATGCTCGTGCCATAGTTACGTGTCCTAAAAGTGCAAGGATGAGAAAAGAGCACTGCTACTCTGTGCCAGACCGTTCAGTTACACCCTTCCAGGACAGGTGAGGGACCCTCCTGGGACCGGCTGCGGGGAGCTTCTGGGCTAGGCTGAGACCCCCCCGGGCTGCCCGTGAGGCTCTGCTGAGGCGCGAGGAAAGGCCACGCAGCTCCAGGGGCGCCTCGCGCTCCCTGGGGAGGCAGGATGGGGGTTCCTTCCACAAGCTCTCCCGCCCGCCTCCCTCATTCGGCCGACCCTCCCCGACGCCCCGCCCCCAGCCTCACCCCCCGAAGAAGCTGCGCATTTGCTCCTCGCAGTGCGCCAGGTAGCCCTCTCCGTGCAGCCGCGAGTTGGACACCAGGAGCAGGCGCCGCGGGATGGGAAATGCCATGATGCTCGCCAAGGTGCTCGGCGATCGACTGCTCGCCCTCCCCTCGCGCAGGCAGCTGGAGACCAGCGGCCCCGCCCCCAAGCAGACTTCCCGCGAGGCCCCACCTCCCTGGCCCGGGTCTGGCTCCGTCAGGTCGCGGACCTGCGGGTCTAGAAGGATAATCGATCACGGCCTGGGGTCCCGGGGCTGGGGGGGAGTTGAGCCATGTTGGACTTCGCTATCTTCGCTGTCACCTTCCTGCTGGTCCTGGTTGGAGCCGTACTCTATCTCTACCCGGTAACCGGCCGTGCCCCCGGGGCCTCGCCCACGCCTCGTTCTGCCAGCGCGGCAGCGGGAGGAGGGAGGGAAGGAGAGCGGGATACTCGGGGCGGGGCAGCCATGTTGCTCGCTTCACCGCCTTGCCGGGCCTTGGGAGAGGGGCGGATGCGGCCCCGGGCTAGGCGCGGTGACCTCCCCCAGCTGATTGTAATTTCTCTCTGGCCAGCGCAGGCGCGTGGCCTCACTTTCCCTCCTCCGCCCCGCCCCTTTGCTGAAGTCGAAGCGGGGCGGGGAGCACGTGGAGCCGAACACACCAGTCCCCACACCCTTCGGCTCTGCAGGTGGCCCCAGTCCCACCCCCCTCCCTATCCCCGGGCTGGTAAGGGGTAGCTCTCATCCTGCCTCAGAGGAGCAGTGAAAAAAATGCAGGAAAATTCCTTTGAACCTTTAGGAGAAAGGTGTCATAATTACAATAATTATTATTATAGCAACTCACAGTCTGCTTTTAGGTTTGCCAAACAGTTTCCTTACCACCTGCCTTATGAGAGGGTTTTTATCCCCATTTTACTTATTTATTTTGGGGGGTAAGGCAGTTGGGGTTGTGACTTGCCCAGAATCACACAGCTAATTAAGTGTTATATGTCTGGGGTCGAATTTGAACTCAGGTTCTCGTGACTCCAGGGCTGGTGCTCTATTCACCGCGCCACCTAGCTGCCCGTATTTTACAAATCCCCTTTTTACAGGTGAGGAAACTGAGCCTCAGTTTCCTCCAGCGACTTGCCCCTAGTCACGCCGTGAGGAGGATCCGTGGGTATGAAGCCAGGTTTTTCCTGACTTCCAGGCTAATTGTTTTTTTCCACTTAGCCAGGCCGACCAATCTCATTCTACTATTGTTCAGTAGTTTCAGTTGTGTCCGATTCTTCCTGACCCCATTTGCGGTTTTCTTAGCAAAGATATTGGAGTGGTTTACCTTTTTCATCAGTTAATCAACATTTGTTAAGCGAATTCTTTGTACCAGACATCCTACCCTAAGTGCTGAGAATAGAGACAAGCAAAAGACTGAGTGATTGGGGCAAGAGGGTACTAATAGTTGGGGAAATCCAGAAAGACCTTGTTGTGTTACTTGAGTTGAGCCTTGTAGAGTTGTTTGTTTTTTCTATTTTTAGTAATTTTCTTCTTCCACAATAAAATGAAATTGCAAATTGCTAATTTCATCAATTTCCATGTGGCAGTGCTTTCACCTATCTACTCTTTGGAGTTAACATTTGCTGAATTTTGTTAAACCAAACCAGAGTATGATGTATTCAGTTTATTTTAGACATTTTTTTCATTCATTTCAATTCAATAACTGTTTTTCAAGCTCTTACAATTTACAAGTACTGTGCTAAGCACTGGGGATACAAAGGTAAAAGGAAAAAGCTTCAGCCTTCAAGGAGCTTAAATTCATTAGTATCCTTGTACAGAAAAATTCTGACTGTAAAACTGCTATGGGCAGTACTGTTGTGAATATGTGGACAAGAAATGTATCTTATTATATACATCAAAATGCAATATGAGAAGCAGAAAGATTGGAGACTTGAACTTTTTTTAAGCCAAGCAAATGATAGAAAATGTTTTTTTAATTTGGGCAGAGAGAGAAATTTAAATCCCTTCTTTGTTGCCAAAGTGTGGATCATGTAAGTCAAAGGAATTGTATACTTTTAAAAAAGACACTTGTCTGGCTTTTCTTTTTGACATATCAATTACTTTCTAATAAACAACCCAAAATAGCTTCCCCTTAAAAGTTAAGAAAATCTGTCGAAATTTTAGTTTAATTGTGTCATGACAAAGTTAGCAAGTGACATCAAGATGAACTTTTTTCTTCTGCACAAGAAAAAAAAATTGGGGAAATAAAAATCTTATCTTCTATTCAATTAACTGCTGTCTTTTTAAGCTTAGTAAAAGATCTGAAGTATTTGCATCAGTCAGAGGAGAGAGCTGTGATTTTGTCTTCAGCTCTCTTCTCTTGTCCTATACCATCTTAGTTGGTGATAGCATCAGTTCCAAAGGGTTCATTTATCATCTCTCTGCCAGTGATTCCCAAATCAATATTCCCAGCTCTCTCCTGAGCTCCAGGTTCCCAAATACCTTTTTTGACATCTCCAACTGAATTCCCTGTAGGCCTCTCAAAATCTATATGTCCAGAACAGAACTCATCTTCCTCTCCAGATCCTCCCCTCTTCTGAACTTCCCTATTCCTGTTGAGAGAAATCACACAAGTTGGCAAAGTCAGTGTCATCTTCAGCCCCTTTGTTGAACTCACTCCACCTATTCAGTCTGTTGTTATGTCTTGTCATTGATACTTTTTTTGACTTCTCTCTGATTCGTCCCCACCTCTCCACTCATACAGCCACCAGCCTGTTTCAGGCTCTCCTTTCCCCATGTCTGACTATTGCAGTAGCCTTTGAGTTGTCTCTTCACTTCAGATCTCTTCCTACTCCATCACTTAGCACAGTACCCGGCAAATGGACCATCTCCAGTTGTTATGATCTGTATCTGTCCACTGGACCCAGATGGCTCCAGAGGAGAAAGTGAGGCTGGTAATTTCTCACTCCCTCACTTAAATCTAATTCACCTGCATGTCATAGCATCCCCTCCCAAATGTCATGATCCTCTTTGAGAACAACAGCCTGGCAAATAGTCGGTGCTTAATAAATGCTCGTTGATTTGACTTGACTGGACTCCAGTCCATGCTTCACACAGTTGTCAAGAGTGATTTTCCTAAAGAATAGGCTTGACTATGTCACACCCTCTCCTCCAACTCACTAAATCCCAGTGGTTCCCTATTACCTTCACTAAGAAATAAAAAATCTTTTTAAAAAATTTGGTATTTAAAGTCCATCACAACCTTTCCTTTCTTTCTGTTCGTCTTATGCTTTACTCCCCTCCATTTACTATATGATCCTGCCACACTGGCCTTCTTGCACATGGAGTCATTTTCCAGCTCTGTGCCTTATCTCTGGCTATCCTCCATGTCAAGAATTCTCTCCTTTCTCATCTTGACCTCCCAGCTTCCTTGGTTTTCTTCAGTTCTCAGCCCAGCCCCTACCTTCTGCAGAAGGCCTTGTTCAGTTACACTGATATTAACCGTTGTCCACTCTGTATCTCTCATAGATGTTCATAGTTATTTGCCTGTTGTCTCCCCTGTTAACATGTGACCTTCTAGAGGGCAGGGGCCATTTTTACCTTTCTTTTCATTCACAGAACTTAGTGCCTGACAACACAGTAAGAGCTATTAAGCATTTATTAAAATGCTTGATGTTCATCAAGGGCCAGCAATTATTATGCAATCTAAGTATAGTAGTTGGTTGTACTTAAGCAATTACTTTTATTATTTTTTTTAGGCTTCTAGACAAGCTTCAGGTATTCCTGGGATTACTCCAACAGAAGAAAAGTAAGTACTTCTTTCTTTGGCATCAGATATAGTCAACTTGTAGTCATTACCTGCAAGAGAAGTACGTTGCTGTGCAGCCCATTTTCCTTTCAGATTCTTATTAGCTCTGTAGATCACACTACTCCTTTGTCAGTCTTTCTCTTTACTCTTTTATCAGTTAGCGAAATGCATCCTAGAAAGACCTGAAGAGGACCGTCTGATAACCAGAGGATATTACTTCATGCTATCCTTCTTCCCTTTTTCTCTTACTCAGGGTAGTGGTTATGTGGAAAAGGGAAAACATTAGAAGAAAGAAGGAAAAAGAACTTCTCAGGCTAATGCTCATTTTTCTTCCCCAGCATGGAATACACAATAATAAAAATTGGAACAGGATAGGGAAGCTTAAAGAATTGTGGGGTAACTTTGTTACCTGGTTTTAATTTTTGAAATTCCCAGAATATCAGACCTGCTCCAATTGAATTATAAATAAAAAATGTCAGTACCTTGGACATAAGTACTTTCAGAGATGGTGTTCTTTAGTACATGTGTAGCATTCTGCTTGGCCATCACAGGCACAAGATAGCTTATCAGGAAAGCCTTGTGGAGTACTGCCCACCCATTCTCCTGAAAGTAGCTTCCATAGGAACTGGCATGTGGAGTCAGTTGCCTCCTGTGACAATCCCAGAATCTCAGGACTAAAGAGAAATTTCATAGGCCAGCCTTCTCATTTTATAGGTGAAGAAACAAGAGTGACAGAATTAAGACTAAACCCAGATCCACTGATGCCCAGGCCAGTGCTCTTCCCATTACACCACTTATTCTACCTGATGTGTTAATGTGGGTTATGGTGTTTCATAGGACCATATCACCCAAGGAGATTACCCTTGTAGTTGTAATTGTTTCACCCATTGCTCTCCTCCAGATATCACTTATATATGCCCCTTCTAAGGCCAGAAACTGGTTCAGGACAGGGTTAAAGTGCTAGTCTGTTCTTAGTAGACTAGGGTGCTATTGTGATCTGTATCTGTTTAGTGGGGCTGGAGGTCTTTGGTCGGAAGGTATTGTGTTAAATACAGCTGTTTGGTTGTCTGTAATGATCTGTAGCACAAAGACCATGTCTCAATGGGAGTGAAGGTAGACTGAAGTAACAAAGACCAGGTTATAGTCAATTTATTAGCCAGGCTAATAGTAATCATAGTCAGAGTGAGGGTGAGGGCTGTTAGGATATTTTATGGTGTTTTATAGGATGACAGAGCAAAAGCCCAAGTAATATAGGTATGCCTTCTTCTGATTGGCTAGAAAGTAAAAACCTCTGACATCAGCTTGACATTACATCATTTGGACCTCCCCTTCTAAAACCCTCTTAACCATAAATAGACATGTGATTGGGGAATTTGGGAGTGACTGCAACAGCTTTGATTGAGTCATCGTGACATTTAGGTTAAGCAAGTTTCTCTGGAATGTAGGTGAGGGAGTGAAGTTACAAGGCAGGAGTTACAAGTCAAAAGACAAGGGTAGAAGTATAGTCCCAAGAACAGAATTGTGATTCAAGTGACCTCAGGTAAACTTGGCAAGGGTAAGAAACAAGGGGGAATATTAATCTAGCTGAAGTCTTAACAAAATAGAATTAAAAATCAGTTGTCAATTTCACAACCATTATTTGAGGCACAGTAACCTGAAACTTACACCTTTACTTACAGATAGACATGAGAATATAATAGGGGTACCAGCTGCCCCAGGATACCAAATCATGTCCTGAAGCCAATTGATGTTGAATTGTCTAGGCCTTTCTTATGTTTTGAGAGCATAGAAGGTGCAGAGTTGGTTACATTACTTTTTTTAATTAAAAAAAATTTTTTTAGTAAATACTATTTTATTTTTTCCAATTACATGTAAAGATAGATTTCAGCATTCATTTTTTGTAAGATTTTGAGTTCCATCTTTTTCTCCTTCCCCTTCCTTTCCCTAAGACAGCAAACAGTTTGATATAGGTTATATATGGACAACCATGATAAACATATTTCCACGTTAGTCATGTTGTGAAAGAAGAAACAGAACAAAAGGGGAAAAAAAAAAGAAAAAAAGTGAAAATAGTGTGCTTTGATCTGCATTCAGACTCCATAGTTCTTTCTCTGGGTGTAGATAGTATTTTCCATCATAAGTCTTTTGGAATTGTCTTGAATCATTGTATTGCTGAGAAGAGCTAAGTCAATCATAATTGATCATTGTACACTGTTGCTGTTACTGTGTACAGTGTCCTCCTGGTTCTGCTCACTTCACTCAGCATCATTTCATGTAAGTCTTTCCAGATTTTTCTGAAATCTGCCTTTTCATCACTTCTTATAATACAATAGTGGTTATGTTACTTTTGCAATTCTTCTGAGACTAATAAGTAAAATCAATTGTTTTTTTCCCCAAAATTTTGCTTTTCCACCAGAGATGGAAATCTTCCAGATATCGTAAACAGTGGGAGTTTACATGAATTCCTGGTTAATCTCCATGAGAGATATGGGCCAGTAGTGTCTTTCTGGTTTGGCAGGCGCCTTGTGGTTAGTTTGGGCACCATTGATGCACTAAAGCAACATATCAATCCCAATAGGACATGTAAGTTTAATTTTCTTTCTCATTTACTTTTAACCCATAGTTAAGTAATGAGTATATATTTACATTAAAGAGAGAGCTTGGTACACTTAATTAAAACCAAAGATACATGACATTGCACATTAGTTTGGTCATTTCTGAAAACGGGAGGAACAGTATTAATCATACTCATAGTTGTATTTTAAAAAATTAATGTTATTTTAAGTACTTTGCAAATATACTTTATATTCATTATACTAAGTTAGTATATGAATAGGTGCATCCTAGGAAAGTTATCTAAGAAGTAAATTTCTTGTCTTTTATAAAATCAGCGGGGAAAATTCTTCAATATGTTGAGCTGAAAACTTTTGGGAAGAAAAAGGTTAAAATGATGGCCAAGTCTGTGGTATGCTGTGTGAGAGACTTCTGGCCATGTTTTTTGCATCATTTTTATAACTTTGAAGCATTCACAGATATCTGCTTTTGTCTTCTCCTTTCCTTCTTCAAATCATGGGAATTTTTCTTATTTAACATCTGTAATTCTCAGAACTTCTGTCTGCCCTTCTGTTTTTGTCTGGGAATTTATAATGTCTAATAGAGAAAAGCTGCACTTCTCTACTGCAATCTGAAAATTCCTTAACATCACGTTATCCAGTTGTGTGAACAAATTAGTGTCCTATTTTATTGATCCTTAATTTTAAAGTTCTGTGAAACAAGTTTATATAAAGTGAATGATATTGTAATTGATCCTGTAGTGGTTATTTCAGCATACTAATCACTGACGTTAATGAGGGTAAAGATCATCTACCCACCAAGAGCAGTGTCCTTGGAGACACAAAACAAACTTATAACTTTGGGTTAGGTTTAAGTTGGGTGAGATCCATAATTGTAATTTTAAGTACAGGTAAATTTGGAAGCAGATGAAAGATAAATTCTTCATTCAGTTTTGAATTGAGGCAAATCCTTTAGCGTTTGCATTCAGATTTATCCAATTCCTTTTAAAATCTGCAAAGCATTTTTGTTTTTTGTTATTGTTGTTTTGCTACAGTGACTTCTCAGTCACTTGTGAAGAAAATTTAGTACATTTGACACAGCTCTCATAAGTGGATTCCTAGTCAACATTCCAATAACCTTGCCAATTTCCATTCCATTTTGAGCTCTTCAGTCTTGGGAAAGTAAATTGAGAGAACTGACAGAAAAAATGGTTGTGTTATAACCTGTAGTATTTTATCTTTTAAGGTTTCTGTGTATGTAGAACTGCAAGTGAGTATCTTGATTATTTATTTAAAAGTATTATGTTTGTCTATTTCAGCACATCCTTTTGAAACTATGCTAAAGCCTTTATTAAGGTATCAATCTGGTCTGAGTGGGGATGCAGCTGAGAATCACATGAGGAAAAAACTTTATGAAAATGGTGTGAACAAGTCTCTACAGAGTAATTTAGCTATCATGGTCAAGGTAAGGTGGCATATAATTGGGCTTAGGTTTTACAGTAGATATAAGTTGTATAACTGCACAAATAGCTGTCTCTCAATAGTTGAAATTTTAAAATAATTGCATTTCTAATCCATATAGGTGACTTTTTTGTTGTAATTATTATCATTCCCTTTCATTGCATATCTTAATCTTTGTATTTATGAAATATATATTTTTTCAATCTAACACTCAAGTACACAAACTAAAATCATAAGATTGGGAAGGGCTTTATCTCTGTTCTAAATAAGAAATGTAAAGAGAATTAGGAACTGTAAGAATTTGTCATTGATGAGTTTGATAAATGGTCACTGTTGAAGATGTGCAGGAATGCTTTATTTTTGTGAACTAGCTAGTTTGCTCAAGAAATAAAATAAGAAAATGGTAAAATGTACATGAAATTCCATAAGGAGCTCTAAGAAGCAAAGAAAATGTAACTTTCAAGGGGGAATAAGAGATGGGTTAGAGCATCGTTCTTACTTTAAAAAGTGCTTTGATGTAAATGTACCTCTCAGTTTCTTTTCATAAACAGAGTAACATCTTGTATTAAGCCAGTGTTATATAAGTTTGTTGATTGTATACTCCTGATAAATGCAAGAGCAAAAATGTGATATTTGGAAATGGACGGGGGGTAAGGGAGGAGACATTTCTTTAGCTCAGTACCCAGTTTCGTTTTTGAACAGTTGCCATTTGAAAAAAATAAATTCTCTGTTAAAAAAATGTTTGTCATGTACTATGAAGATAGGAAGGGTTACTATCCTTAATGGCCTCCTGATAGTAGGAGTTTGTAACTAGTGTTTGGACCTGACCAGATATGTACAGGAAAAAAATCTATGCTATAAGCAACACTTTAAAAAATAAATTAGTGACAAATTTTTGAAAAATCTCAGAGAAGATTCCAGAAGAATGGGGAAAAAATGATACTTTTTACAATAATTTAAAAAAAAAGATGGAGGGACAGAGCCAAGATGGCAAAGTAAAAGCAGTGGCTTGCTTGAGCTATCCCCCAAACTCCTCTAAATACTTATAAAAAATGGCTCTAAACAAATTCTAAAGCAGCAGAACCCACAAAAAGACAGAATGAAACAAATTTACAGCCCAAGACAGCCTGGATGGTTGATCAGAAAGGTATATCACGCCAAGTAGGGAGAGGAGCATAGTTTGGCGTGTGCACGTAGGCCTCAGCAAACCTGGACAGGCCTTAGAGGACTGAATTTCAGGAGGCAGTTGCGGTTTCCAGACTTCTCAACCCATGAACGCCAAAGACAACTTAGAAGGTCAGTAGGAAAAGTCTGTGTCTGCGGTGCAAGAGAGAAGCACAGGGTCCCAGCCCCAGTCCCTGAATTGCGGCCCTGGGGCAGTGGCTGCTTCCTGAGCTTCCAGCCCACAAACTGGAATCGAGGTGGAATCGAGTGGCTGATCAGAGGGGGATTGCAGGGCTCTCTTTGCTGGTGCAGGATTCTCTTGTTTTGCCCATGCTTGGATCTGGATCACAGTTCTAGGTGGCGGTCCTGGGGGGAGGAAAAGTGCTGGTGTGGTGGAGCTTGTAGTGGCTGTGGAGAGGAAACCTTCCTCACAGTTTCAAGACAGAAAAGAGTGCTTGTGGTCACTCATAGACCAGAACACAGGCCAGGAAAGGAGTGAACACCTAGTCCTTGACCATACCACCTTGGAAGAACTGAAAATTTACAGGTCCCTAGAAGTATCTCTGAAAACAGCTGCACAAAACCCCTGAAGCTTGGGGCAGTACATTCTCCACACTGGAAGCAGATCCCTACCTTAACAAAGAGTTTATAACTCAAGTGATTGGCTGAGATCATGAGCAAGCAGCGCAAAAAGAGTCAGACCATAGAATCTTACTTTGGTGACAAAGAAGATCAAAACATACAACCAGAAGAAGACAACAAAGTCAAAGCTCCTACGTCCAAAGCCTCCAAGAAAAATATGAATTGGTCTCAGGCCATGGAAGAGCTCAAAAAGGATTTTGAGAAGCAAGTAAGAGAAGCAGAGGAAAAACTGAGAGTGATACAAGAAAATCATGAAAAACAAGTCAACAGCTTGCTAAGGGAGACCCAAAAAAATACTGAAGAAAATAACACCTTAACAAAATAGCCTAACCCAAATGGCAAAAGAGGTCCAAAAAGCCAATGAGGAGAAGAATGCCCTAAAAAGCAAAATTGGCCAAAAGGAAGTGCAAAAGCTTACTGAAGAAAATGCTTCCTTAAAAATTAGAATGGAGTACTTGGAAGCTAGTGACTTTATGAGAAATCAAGACACTGTAAAACAAATCCAAAAGAATGAAAAAATAGAAAACAATGTGAAATATCTCATTGGAAAAACAACTGACCTGGAAAATAGATCCAGGAGAGAGAATTTAAAAATTATTGGACTATCTGAAAGCCATGATCAACAAAAGAGCCTGAACAGCATCTTTCAAGAAATTATCAAGGAAAACTGCCCTGATATTTTAGAACCACAGCCACAAAATAGAAATTGAAAGAATCCACTGATCACCTCCTGAAAGACATCCCCAAAGGAAAACTCCTGGGAATATTGTAGCCAAATAAAAAAAAAAGATGACCCAGAAGATACTTGAAACTACTCACCCATATTCTACTCTCTAATTTCTGTAACAAATTTATAAGATTGGATAATACACTCTTTGTGAATATTCCTCATGAAAGGTATGCAGGCAGATCTTCGCAAATGATTTTCCAGTAAATCACATCTTCATAGAAATAAACAGAGATATAAAGAATCCCTATTTGTTGATTTAATTTTTTTTTTACTCCATTGACAAAATGCAGTTTTCAAGGCTTTCTTCAAATAATTGTCTTCCATACATATGTTAAATTCATGTAAGATCCTGTAATAGAAATGATTATGGAAACAACTTTCTTCGACAATCTACTCAGTTTCAGCATCAAGGGGGAACAAAACCCATCAAGCTGAGGTGTTCACCAGTCTCCTGGAGGTTGTGCTGTGCAGAATCCAAATAGAAGAAGATTTGCTGATCAATGGCAGTGTTCTTTAAGTGCTTCGTGGATAATAATGTCTTTTGATTTCATTGTGATCGTTATATCTAGCCTGGTTAGGCTATAGAGCCCTCCTAAATTAGGTGTGTGATTTTTTAAGGCATATAACATTTTGTTGCTTTGGCAGTCCATTGAGTTAGTGTCTGTCTCTGTTTCTTTCTCTCTTCATTATGTTATCTTATCTATCCATCCATCTATCTGTCTATCTGTCTATGTTTTTTTTCTTTTTTCTTTTTTAAGGCAGTTGGGGTTAAGTGACTTGCCCAGGGTCACACAGCTAGTAAGTGTCAAGTGTTTGATCTGAGACCAGATTTGAACTCAGGTACTCCTGACTTCAGGGCTGGTGCTCTTATCCACTGCACCACCTAGCTGCCTCTCTTGTCTATCTGTGTTGAAGTAGCTGTTTTAGTATCATCAGTATCTAGAATAATAGGCCTGTGGCCCTCTAGAGTTAGTCAGTAAACATTTACTAAGCCTTTACTATATGCCATGCACTGTGCTAAGTGCTAGGGATACAAAGAAAGGCATGTCAGTCCTTGCCCTTAAGGAGCTCATAATCTAAGTGGGGGAAGAGAACAAATAAAAAGAAATTTTTAAAAAGCAGAGATTACCTAGTTTGGGATGCCTGATTAAGTCATGCAGCTGGGGTGGGAAATGATCCGAGAAGCTGAGAGTTTCAGAGTTGATTTTGTCTTGTAGAGTGACTAGTTTATGGAGATCTTGAAGTCCAGGAAAGCAGCCAGGTGGGAAATGATGATCTGAATTGTCTGACAGCCCTCCTTAAATGGTGGAGGATCAAAAAGAAGCTCTCCATTGTCCACCCTCCAGTCTCTCCAGTCAGGGAGGGAGGGGCTCCAGGGTCAGAAAAGGGGGAAAGGCTGTCTGCTCAGGGTATATGTGCCCCATTTTTGTGTCCTTTCTATATGGGCCCTATTTTTTTCTTTTCTTTTTTTTTTTTTTTGGGCAATGGGGGTTAAGTGACTGCCCAGGGTCACACAGCTAGTAAGTGTTATGTGTCTGAAGCCGGATTTGAACTCAGGTCCTCCTGACTCCAGGGCCGGTGCTCTATCCATTGCACCACCTAGCTGCCCCCTATATGGGCCCTATTTTTGCCTAAATACTAATATGCTTCCTGACTTCTGGTATTCGTATAAGGCAGAAGAAATGAAAGAAATAAGTGTTTCAGTTTTGTCTCTTCTGTTCGGAGTCAGCTCATTGTCCATCTGCAATCAGCATATTACATGAAGACTGAGCAGCATAGAAGTATTTAGGCAAAATGGGACACATATGTAAAGTAAGGAGTGCTATCTTAATCAGTCTACTTTTCCCTTCTCTTCCTGTTTACCATTGTTTGTGCCATTGTGAATTAATGAATAGATGCTGTCCTAAAGAGCTACAGGGCTCTGTGCTATAGAAAATTCTTTATCATTGATTGGTACCAAGAGATAAATGGCATATATCTCAAATATACAGATAGCAAGCTGGGAGGGAAAGCTACTAATATACTGAATGACATTTGAGATCCAACAAATATTTCAATGAGCTACACAGAGACTAGATCTAAGTGGAAGAGATATAATAGGGAGAAATAAGGAGTGCTGTGCTTGAGTTCAAAGAATTGATTCACATTGGTGGAGGAGAAGTGACTAAATGGCAAGAAATTCAACTGGGGGAAAAAAACTGGTGATTTTAGTTGACTATAAAATCACCATTGAACGGCAGCGTAGTGTATTGGAGAGTAGGCTGGTCTCCAAACAGAATGGACTGGGGTTCAGATTAGACTCTTGACACATACTGATATGATCTTAGGTATGAACCTCTGAGTGCCACTGGTAATTTCCAAAATGATCAAGTTGCAGCAGTTTCAGATCTATATTGGTAGAGAGTTTCTTCACTGGGAGCTCCCTTTGCTGATAAAATCATGGGTCCAGCCCCTTCCAAACTGAACATGTAGTCAATGAACAGCAAAAAGCACTAGTGCCATCTTAAGGTGCATTAACAGAAATGAGGAAGATGGTGGACATACTTTGTTCTGACTGCATATGAAGATTATGTTTACTTTGAGGTGCATATTTAATAGAGAAAAATTATTTCCAAGGTATCATTCGTCTTGTGGAAGTTGACCTATGTGATAAAAGAACTTGAATGACCAATTGATGATATTATGGGTGTTTAGCCCAGAAAAAAGAAGAGGACATAATTAATTGTAACCTCCAAATATTGGAAGAGTTGTCATGTGAAAGATCGAACTTATTCTGCTTAACCCAGAGGATGTTTTTGGACCAATAAGTGCACATTACAAGAAATCTGAATGAAATAATGAAAAAATATTCTCAACAATAGAGCTGTCTAAAAATTAAGTGGGATGCGTTATAAGATAGTAGGTTCCCTATCACTTGGAGGTGTTAAAAAAGCTTGCCATTGAAATTATAGGGAATATGTATGTTTCAGGTAGGGGTTAGAATTGGTGACCATTGTGGTCCCTTATAATTATAACATTCTATTATTTATCTGGTGCAGTTTTATAAAAGAGATTCTAAATAAAAGGAATTGGAAAGATGTAACTCCTCATTTACCAAGAAACAGACATCCTTAAAGGACATATGAGACCATCATCATTAAATTCTGTATACCATAATATTATTATTATTATATAGAAATGCTGTTGATTTTTGAGAGTTTATTTTGTAGCCTGCAACTTTGTGGAAGCTGTTAATTGCCTCAATAAGTATATATGCTGATTCCCTTTAAAAAATTCTGTACATCAAGCATTTGGGTACTATTAGATACTTTAACTCTAGCTAATTGACCTTGACAACTTCAGAAAGAACATTGTATTTGGAGGCAGAAGACGAGTTCAAATCCTGGCTCTCTCACTTAATAGATGTATTTAACTCTCTGGGCTTCAGTTTCCTGAAGATGTTGAAGAACCCTGACAGCTCTGAGTCTTTTAATTTCATCAGCTTTTTCCCGCCCCCCCACCCCAGGCTTTGGATTTTATATTTACATTACTTACATTGATTTTTAGCAGTTGACCCATTCCCCAACTGCTCTGCCCAACTACTCAGCTTTGCTGCATAAAATAATAGTGTATTACTGATTTTAGTACTATTTCTGCTGCCAGTATGTGCTGATATGTTTTTTCTCCACATGTTATCAATCCAGTTTATCCTGTCCAGGGCCCATTGATTTACAGTCATGCGCACTGCCTCTCTTTTCCTGGGGCTGAAGGGTCATATTTGATGTGACCCATGAAGCATACCATCTTTTTAGCATCAGCAGAGTAGGACCCCAAAGATCCACAGAGCTGAAAAGGCCTAACTCGTTGGCCAAATGGAGCCTGCATCTTCAAAGTTGGGCCTCACTCATACAGTGTGAGGCTGGGAATGAAATTTGTACCATGTGACTCTATTGAACAACTTGTAAAAAAGGGATGCTACCTAAATGCTTTTTCAATTACAGTGTCCACCTGAGTGAATGCTACAAGAAAGTGAAAAAATGGAAAAATGGCCCCAATCAGTAGTCATATATCAAAAGGTTTATAGTAGCACTTTTTATAGTAACAATTGGAAACAGGATGGATGCCCATTTGGAATCACAAATTATGGGATACAAATAATTGAACATAGTGGATAGGAAATTGATCAGGACCTTTGACCAATTGTTTTCCCCCCAGTCCAGATATTGAGTAAGTAATAGAGACAGCAGAGTTTTAAAGTGCAAAGAAGTGTGTATGTGCTGTTACCCCTTTAAGGATTGGATGGGAAAGAGATTGGTCATCCCTTTAAAAAAAAAAAAGCCAAAACACACTTCTCTGGGAAATGAATTGAGACAGGAGACAGCTTTGAGAAGTGACTGTCACCCACATGTACAAAAATATACATAGCAGCTCTTTTTGTGGTGGCAAAGAATTGGAAATTGAGAGGATGCCCATCAGTTGGGGAATGGCTGAGCAAGTTGTGGTATATGAATGTAATGGAATACTATTGTGCTATAAGAAATGATGAACAGGCTGACTTCAGAAAAACCTGGAAAGACTTATATGGTCTGATGCTGAGTGAAGTGAGCAGAACCAAGAGGACTTTGTGCACAATAGCAGCCACGTTATGCAATGACTAAGAATGTTAAACTGAACCCTTCTCAGCATTACGAGGATCTAAGACATCTCCAGAGGCCTCGGGATGGAAAATGCTGTCCACGTCCAAAGAAAGAACTATGGAAGTCGAATCACTCTCACTTATTTTTACCTTCTGTTGAGTTTTGTTTCATCTTTCTGATGGTTCCTCCTATTGGTTATAATTTTTACTTACAACTTCACTAATGTGAAAATATGTGTAATGGGTATATAAATGTAAAGCCTATGTCAGATTGTGCGCCGTCTTGGGAGGGTGGGGGGAGGAGAAAAAGGGAGAAAAATTTTCAACTCAAACGCATATGGAAAAAAAAAATAAAAAAAAAGAAGTGACTGTCAGCAAGAAAGCCAGGTACAGAAGAATCCAGTCCTTGGCAGGGGGAGGGAGATTCCTCCCCCACCTCCATCTGCCATGGTGTTTTTACTCACCTAGTAGGGAGACACTGTGTCCAACCAGTTCAGGTTCAGAAAGCCCAGGAGAGACAAGGCATGAAATTTGAGGAGCTTTGTGAGTCAGGAGAGGCCATTGAGGGTTGAGCTGCAGAGAACAGGGAGCCCTGCAAGGACACTAAACTGAGGAGACACAGCTTGAAGACACCACAAGGAGAGAAAAGGCAGCGCTAGGGTCCTGTCAGAAGTGTAAGGACCAGGCCACCTCTGTTCCCTTTGTGTGTGCTTCTCCTAGTGTCCTCTCTATATAATCCCTCTTCCCACTGACACTGTGTATTTGTAGTAGAGTGTGCTCCAAACTATAGGAGGAATAATTTGTTACTATGATTATGTTATGCCCTTTCAATAATGCCTTTGCTTTGAGCTAATTGTTTCTGCTGGCTGATGAAAGGTAAATACCCTGAGAGCTCAGGAGCTGTGATGTTAGAAATGCTGACTCAGAGTACCTTGAGCCCCTGGGAGCTGTAAGCTGGGGAACTCAGTCTTCAAGTATAAAGTAGGATGCTCCCCACATAGAAGGTGCTATGTGAACAGTATTGTGTAATAGCAAATTGCAACTATAAGGAATTTGGAGAAACATAGGAAGTTTATGTAAACTACCAGAAGAATGGTTGGCCTGTGCCTGTAATAATGCTAATGAAATTTACTCACTGAAAGCCAGCCCAATTCCAAGTAACTGAAAGACCAGTTATGGCCCAGAGAGCTGTCAGCAGAATGGGGAGGGTTTGGAGGCATTTTGCCTACCTTGTCAAACTAGTGCATCAGCAGTTTTTGCTGCTTTTATTTAATTCAAACTAGGATGGGGTGGGAGGGTGGAGAGAAGATAATAATAAAAAATGACTGATTGTCAAACCAAAAGGTGTCAATAAAATTTATTTTTAAAATACTTTAAAAATTATCAGGAAGAGATAATTAATTGTTATAGTTTTCTCTTCTGTTTTCAGCTTTCAGAAGAATTATCAAGAAAATGGCTGTCGTACCCAGAATCTCAGCATGTGCCTCTTTGCCACCACACACTTGGCTATGCCATGAAGGCTGTTACACAAATGGCTTTGGGCAGTAGCTTTGAAGATGACCAGGAGGTCATTCGCTTTCAGAAGAATCACAGCACAGTAAGTAGAGGGTCAAATTCAGAATTGTTTTTGTCTATACAGATGGGGAATGTTTCTTATTTTATCTCATGGTAGACAGAGGAGTGTTCTTAAGCTCTGATGTGCAGAAAATCACTGTGTTCATTAAAGGGAAATGGGGGTAGGGGGGTGGGAGGGAGAAAAGAAAGAAACCAAATTGCCTTGTCTTTTTGTGCAGAAAAGAACAATTCAAGCCCCCCCCCCCAATCTTCATTACATTCATATTTTAAAATGCAAAATTGAGGGTAACTTTTAAAACGTAACAAGTACCTAACTTTGTTTCTGAACAAGGTGAATTGCCTTGGATATTCTGAATTTAGTCTGGATAGATAGTGTCCAGGTCAAACACAGTTCGGGTCTTTTCTTAGACCTCATCTTTTTTGACATCTGTAGTTTTTGACCCTGTCAGCCATTCCTGCTTGGCTTCTGAATACAACTCTCTCTTGTGTCCTTTATGTCTCTCTTTTTTTTTTATAATTAATTTTTTTCTTTTTAGTTTTCAACATTTACTTCCATAAGATGTTGAGTTTTACCTTGTTTCCCCCTCCCACTTATTCCCTCCCCCAAGACAGTATACAATCTGATGTAGGCTCTACATATACATTCATGTGAAGCATATTTTCCCGTTAGTCATGATATAAAGAACAATTAGAGCTAAATGTGAGGAACCACAAGAATGAAGCAATAAAACAAAACAACAAAGGAAAAGAAGAGCAAATAGTATGCTTCCATCTGCATTCAGACTCCATAGTTCTTTCTCTGGGTGTGGAGAGCAATTTCCTTTGTGAGTCTTTTGGAGACGTCTTAGATTTCTTGCATTGCTGTGAGGAGCCAAGTCTGTCAAAGTCAGTTATCCCATAATGTTACTGTTAACTGTATACAGTGTTCTGGTTCTGCTCATTTCACTCTGCATCAGTTCATGTAAGTCTTTCCAGGTTTTGCTGAAGTCCACCTGCTCATGATTTCTTATAGCACAACAATATTCCATTACATTCGTATACCACAACTTTTTCAGCCATTTCCCAAATGATAGACATCCTCTCAATTTCCAGTTCTTTGCCACCTCAAAAGGAGCTGCTATAAATATGTTTGTGCATGTGGGTCCTTTTCCTTATATCTTTCTACCTGTTTCTTCTCCCTCTCCTTTGCTGGATCACCATCTTCCCATCCACTAAATGTGTACATTTTTGAAGGCCCTGTCCTAAGCTTTCTCTTTTCTCCCTCTACTCTTTCCCTTGGTGATCTCATTAGATCCCATTGATTAATTTATCATCTCTGTGCAGTAAGTTCTCAAATCTACATGGCGTGTCCTATCCCTCTCCTAAATTCTAAACCCTAAATACCTGAATGTAGTGTTGACAACTCAAACTCATCTTATCTGAAATAGAACTTATCTTCAATCCCAAATGTCCTCCTTCAGAATTGTCCATTCTCTTGAACTGGGCCATCCTTCTAGTCACCCAGGTTATTTATTAAATGTCTGCTATGAACTAAGTACTGTGATAGGCACAGAGGATAGAAAGGAACAAAATATACCCTGTCCTCAAAGAGCTTACCTTCTATGGGGAGAGACACATCATGAGCCCAAATTAATAAATATAAAATATATGCAAAGGAAACTAAAATTAATTCCATTTCATTTCAAAAAGAGCATCATGAGAGCAGACCCCAAAACCTAAAAATTTTTTTTTTTTGCTTTTTGGTGAGGCAGTCAGGGTTAAGTGACTTTCCCAGGGTCAAAAAACTTTTAAAAATACATTTATTTGGTCATTTGGCAGTGGAGAGCAAATTGGAAAGTATATGGCTCTCTCCCCCTCCATTCTGGAAGGTTTACATTATGTAGGATTTTGACAAGGGTATTCATTACATTGATCATGGATATACACTGTTTACTAGGGCAGCTTGTAAACAAGGTTGATTGAGATGGATATCAGTAAAGTAACCATTCTACAAAATTTAGGTGGGAGCCAAAATACAGGCTTGGGTGGACCCAAAGCCAGACCTGGATGTGATAACCCCAAGCATCAACATTCTCGGTGGGTCCAGGACCTGAGCACCAAGATTCCTTATAGCCATCTCCTACATTCCTAGATAGTTATTGAGGTCAAGAAAGTAGTCTGGGTACAAACAATTTCTAGTCACACTAAATTGGATTTAAACAACTTACTAATCAGTAAGTTTTCCAAACAATATAATAAAGCATTTCCCAACACAACTAAGGAGATCAGAATAGGCCTCCAGAATAGGGATTCTGAGAGGCAGGGGGTGGCAGGCGTTGGGGCAGCCAATGAAAAGAGAAGGGAAGGGGAATGGCATGGGGGCCGGTTTGGTTGCAACGTAAGAGCGTGAAGGATAACATGCAAGTAGCCTGAAAAAGGCTGTTACCTGGTTTGTGACATTTTAAAATGCCAAGCAGATGAATTTGTGTTTTGTTCTGGAGGCGGTTGGGAACCATTATAAAGGCAGGTCAGAGATTGTACAAAATTATTTCTAAGGCCACTCTTAAGAGCCTGTGACTCCCCTACTAGACAGTAAGCAGGAAAATTGAAATTCTTTTCTCTACAACTTTTGGCTAGGGTGAGGAGGGAAACCAGGGGTGTCTTCCGTACTCCCCCACCTTTGCCCCTACCCACTCTTTGTTGCTGTTTTTAGTCATTTTCAGTCATGTCCAACTATCTGTGACCCCTTTCTGGGGTTTTCTTGTCGAAGATACTGGAGTGGTTTGCCATTTCCTTCTCTAACTCATCTTATAGATGAGAAAACTGAGGCAAATAGGGTTAAATGACTTGTCCAGGGTGACTCAGCTAGTAAGTGTTGGAGGCCATATTTGAACTCACAAAGATGAATCCTCCTGACTCCAGGCCTGGCACTTTGTGTACTATGGTGCCACCCAGCTGTCAATTCCCCATTTTAAACCCCCCCCCGAAATGCTTATTCTTTTTTTTTACTTTTTTATTAATTTATTTTGATTTATCAGCAATCACTTCCATAAGCTTTTGAGTTTTAAATTTTTCTCCCCCTCACTCCTCGCCTCCCTGTCCTAGATGGCACATAATCTGAGATAGGCTATACATATACATTCCTATTAAGCATTTTCACGTTAGTGATGTTGTAAGGAAGAATTAGAACCAGTAGGAGAAACTACAAGAAAGAGAAAACTAAACAAAACAGAAGAAAAAAAAGCAAATAGTATGCTTCAATCTGCATTCAAACTCCATCTCTGGATGTGGATAGTATTTTCCATCATGAGACCTTTGGAAATGTCTTAGATGCTTGCCTTGCGGAGAAGAGCTAAGTCTATCAACGTTAGTGATCACACAACATGGCTATTACTATGTATAACGTTCTCCTGGTTCTGCTCACTTCACTCAGCATCAGTGTCTATGAGTCTTTCCAGGTTTTTCTGAAGTCTGCCTGCTCAAGAAATGCTTAGTCTTTTTGTTTGTTTGTTTTTTGGTGTGTTTTTGGCTAGGCAATTGGGGTTAAGTGACTTGCCCAGGGTCACACAGGTAGTGAGTGTTATGTTTCTGAGGCTGGATTTGGTCAGATCCTCCTGACTCCAGGGCTGGTGCTCTATCCACTGAGCCACCTAGCTGCCTCTAGAAATGCTTATTCTTAGAACAAGGATCAGACCACGTCATCCCCTACTCAGAACATCTTCAGTGGTTTCCTATTGCCTTTGGAACAAAATACCTAATCCCCAGCCTGCCATTTAAAGTCCTCAAAACTGACTCCCACCCGCCTTTCCAGTCTTGACCCATGCTACTCCCCTTCACGCGCTGTGCATTTTAGCATGACTGGCCTTTTAGCTTTCCCCCTTTGTGACATTCCATCTTTGGCTTTCCTGCCTTCGCACGTCTGGAGCTCCTCCTTTGTTGTCTTCTTGTTATGGAATCCCTAATCTCCTTCGAAGCATAGCTTTGGTGCTTCCTCCTCCAAGAGGCTTTCCTGTCTGCCCTTCCCCAGCTCTCTCTCCCTCTTGAAATTACCTTGTGGTGCTTTGTATATACTTGAATTCTGCCAGTGGATTGGCCCTGGAGGGCAGGGATTGTTTTGTTTTTATCTTCATATCCCCAAGATGTAGTACTGTGCTTGGAGCCCAGTAGATGCCTAATAAATGTTAATTGAATTGAATGACATACGAGTGATTAGGACTGGCACTAAACCAATTGAAAACTAGGAAATGAATTGAAATTTTCTTTGAATATGTAGAGTGTTTATTCACTGTTTTTTTTTATGCTACCTTTCATCACTGGGTGAACTGTTACTTGTTTTGAATTTTATTTGTGCTTTTTCTTATTTACTTTCTATCATTGAGAGGACATGCCTTGTCTTCTTCAATAACTGACTTAGCATTCTAGATATTGTGCACTGACTACATTCAGCACAGCCCATGTCAGGCCTCAGCCTCATGTACTCCCAGATGTTTTATGCATTGAAAATGTAGTGTGTGGGTTTTTTTTAGTGATGATCTAAATCTTTTACTGCTACCGCTACTCCCCTTTCCTCCCCTCCTGCTCCCTCTTTTGCTGGATATTTGGCTTCAAAAGATAGTAGCTGTGGGGAAAAGGCTTTATGGGAAAGAAGTTGAAATTATGTACAGAAATGAGAATTTGTGATTATGTATAGATTTCCTTCATAGCTCACAAATATTTGAGAGGTCATTGTATTGTATTTGATGAGTAGCTTAACTGAGATTTAAAATATATTTGCAAGTTTTTTCACAAGCAAATTGATTCTGCTTTGCTTTAAGCTGACTTTCTATACAACTTATTTTTCTCATCAGGTGTGGTCTGAGATTGGAAAGGGTTTCCTGGATGGGTCACTTGACAAAAGTACCACCCGGAAAAAGCAGTATGAAGAAGGTAAGGTTTTTTCCTTTGTTCTTCAGATGCATTTACAGTGACCAGATGAAATTACATTGAAGGAATACCAATTGTAGTTTATACTTCATCTGTGACATTAGGCGCAGTGTTAAATTAGAGCCTTTACTCAAAATGATGTTATTTTAGATTTAGAAAATCCTTCCCATTACTTGAGCACTGCCTCCTTTAAGTACACGTTGACAGGTTAAAAAAAGTTGGTAGTTTTTCCTCTTTCACCCTCATCACTGATGTATGTGTTTTGTCCATGAGAAGTGTATACTTTATGATTCACAAGTCAAATGTATAATTATTTTATATCTATTGCTATCTATATGCAAGAAATAACTGGTATTTTGGTGGCACAAGGGCTAGAATGACAAGTTTCACCTGAATAATTGGTTTTATCTCTGTTTTCTTGGGTAAGTCATATAACCACTATAGGTCTCAGTTTCCTCATCTGTAAGATCATCTGGAAAATGAGAGGTATTGAATAAGATGATCCCTAAGATACACGATATTTTGACATGGCCAGTTAGGGAATTTATTTTGCAGAATTATGTGTATTTGTTTTAAGGAATTTGCTTTTCTTTTCAATTCAGGTAGAGGTAGCAGGGAAAGAAAAAACCCAATAATTTTTAAAATTAAAAAAAGAACTTATAGGTATGGGAAAAAAATACAAGGTGACCCTTAGAATTCCTTCCAGCTCTTATCTGTGATCCCAAGTTGATCTGAATTTACACATAACAAATTTAGTTATCTTGCTATTTTATCAAAAGGCTATTTAAATTTTTTTTCTTATTTTTATTGATAAACTTTGGTTTTTAAATCACTTTCACTTCCAAATATATCCCCTCTCTCTTCCTTACTCCACCATCCATGCCTATAACAGAGGTTAAAAAGAAAAGAGGATAACAAACAGTTCAGCAAAACCAACAGACTTGATAGCTGTGTCTGATGATATGTGCAGTGTTCCAAATCCATAGTCCCCTCAGCCTCTGTAAAGAAGGGAGGAAGGTGCATTTTGTCATCTCTTCCCTTGGGCAGTGTTGGTCATTATAAATACATAATATACAATTTGGGTTTTGTTTGTTTACATCGTTAAAGTCAGCATGTGTATTTTTTTCTAGATTCTGCTTCCTTTTCTTTGCATCAGTTCGTATATCTTCTCATGCTTCTCTGAACTTTTCCTATTTCTCATTTCTTATGGCACAGTAATATTTCGTTAATTCATGTACCAAACTTAAGTCATTCCCTAATCAATGAATATCTACTTTGTTCCAATTTTTTGTTACTACAAAAACAGTTGCTATAAATATATTGGAGTATGTGGGACATTTCTCTCTGTCTTTTACCTCCTTAGGGCATATGGCTAACTTTGAGATCTGGGGCAGAGATAGTAATATATCAGTCACTTTTTAAAAAAATCATTATTCCAAATTGATTTACAGAATGATTGGATCAATCCACAGGTATATTAGTGTGCCTTTCTTTGGACTTTTCCCTATTTCCATCTTTTGACATTCTTGTCATTTTGCTGAGTATGAGATGAAACTTCAGGGGGCTTTTTGATACACGTATTTTGTGTGGTTTTTTTTCCCTGCCAGGCAGAGTTAAGTGACTTGCCCAGGGTCACACAGCTAGTAAGTGTCAAGTGTCTGAGGTCACATTTGAACTCGTGTCCTCCTGACTCCAGGTCCGGTGCTGTATCCACTGCATCACCTCTCTGCCCCAGATACATATTTTTCTTGTTAGTGATTTGGAACAGTCTTTTACGTAGTTGTTAATAGTTTGCAATTCTTTTGGGAGTTGTTTGTTCATGTCCTTTAACCACTTACCCCATTAGGGAATGGCTCTTGGTATTATGCTTTTTGGTTAATTTCCTATGTCTTGAATGTCAGACTTGTATCAAAGTTATTTGATGAAAAGATTTCTCAGCTGACAGCCTTCCTTATCCTCTTCACACTGGTTTTGTTCATGTGCCCTTCAGTATTTGCACTTATACCTGCATAGGCATAGTCCAGAATGGTAGAAGACATGTTTAAAAGGATGACATCCTTACAGGAATAGGTCTAATTCTCACGTTGAGTGCTGGTCCCCTTATTGCCTTAAGCCAGTATTTCCCACGTGCGTCTTTGTAGTTGGCTAAATTGGTCCTCAAAGAAGAGGCTCATTGTGTTGCTAGGGCTAGACGTGAAGCCTTTTCAACATGGTAGAACCTGTCAGAGCTTATGGTGTGGTGTAATGAACTTCAAGAACCTAGGGTTGCTTCCGACAACATAGATGATGTAGGTTTTTGTGATCAAAGTAAAAATAGCACTGTTTATTATTGCAGAAAGTAGGAAACAAAATGTATTACTGAACCGTTGGGGGTAGTGGAATAAACTGGTATATGAATGTAATCGAATATTACATCATGAGGAATATAAAGAATTCAGAGAAATATCGGATAATTTATATGAACTGATGCAGAATGAAGAATGTGGAGTGAAAAGGACGCTATATCACTTCAGTAAGTGAATAGATACATGACTAAAAAGTAACAAAGATCAGGTCAGATATCTGAAACAATGCTGCTACAATGTAATCAAAATTATATTACACATTGTTCTTTTCTGTCAACAACTAGCAAACTAGGAAAGTGGAAAGTGGCATGTCCCACCTATCTTACTCTTAGGTGGTGTTGCATGAACGTTTCAGGGGAATGTATTGTGTGGGTGATAGTTGGGAAATATCTTTTGTATCAAAATGAAATTTATCAACCAATCAGGAAATAAACAGATTTTTGTCCCTAAAACCTTTGTTGAATTAAATTTAATTGAAAACTGTTTCTTTGTATCTCTTCTTAAGCATTAATGGAAATAGAATCACTTTTTAAAAAAGTCATAAAAGAACGAAGAGAAAGAAGCTCCAATCAACATATTTTTATAGACTCCTTATTGCAAGGAAACCTGAATGACAAGCAGGTAATTCTGTTTCACTTTGTTGTATAGTTATTTGTGTATGTAGCTTATCTCCCCCATTACACCATGAACTCTTTGAGGGCAGAGACTGTGTTTCATTTATATTTATCTCCCACTCCCTAGCTTAGTGCCTTGTGTGAAATAGGTGCTTAGCAAGGAACTAATGATTGAAGTTGTTAGGTATTTACCAGATTATCAGCAACTAAATATCCATATGTAGTTGTGTTTTCCTTTGATCTGGATGACCCTGTAAAAGATGGCAGTTCATAAGCTTTTGTTGTTGCAACTTCGTGAGCCAGGACAGAATTGAAATGATTCAGTTCTTGCCATGAGACAATATTGTGAGAGTCTAAGGACTCTGAAATGGGTGTGTCCTTGGAGAAGAAGGAAAGTCATTGGTTCTGAACTTTAGGCACATGTTCAATCTGAGAACCCATCTTTTCACTTGCTGATTGCTCTGAATGACTGCACTGCCCTAGTTTCTGCATTGTTTGCTTCCATAGCAGAGAAATGACAGATTATTCCAGATGCTGTTTCTGTAAAGGGACATGAATGTGATTTGCATCCCATGGGCCTCTTCTCAGACTGAGTGGACATCTCAGAAAACCATAAAGAATTTATACATAAGGAAAGGAACCCAGTTTACTCTAAGGCCCCCAAGACTGTCAATACAGATCATAATATACTTTTTTTTTTCCTTGAGGCAGTCATGGTTAAGTGATTTGCCACAGAGTCACACCTAGAATAAACTAGATATTTATTGCTTCAAGTAAGGCAACACAGTGTTTAGGTGAGGTTTTTTTTTTTGCTTCCTTTTTGCTGTATATATATATATTTTTAATTATTTTTTTTAGGCAGTTGGGGTTAAGTGACTTGCCCCAGGGTCATGCAACTAGTAAGTGTCAAGTGTTTAGTCTGAGGCTGGATTTGAACTTAGGTCCTCCTGACTTCAGGGCCGGTGCTCTATCTGCTGCGCCACCTAGCTGCCCCTGTATGTATTTTATTAAAAACATAAACTCACCCCCTCCATGAGATTGTATTCCAAAACTTAACCATTGCTCAGGGATTAATCCTGGGTTCTCAAAGTCTGCGTAGCAGAGTGTAATCACCACTGTGTTCTACTGGATTTGGAAAGGTTCTGAGTACATGCCCAGTGACCTACCGTTGGTAGTATCCAAGAACCATCCTAGTTAAGCATGGAGTGGCATAGGCCAATAAGTTGTGAATTCTTTGTCCTCAGCAATCAGTGAAACAGTGCCCTTTTGATTTCACATCGATGGTCCCTGTCGTGTCTAGTAGGTGTAGGTGTACACTAGACTCAGTCCTAGAACCTCTTCTCTTTTCTCTATATGTTCTCCACACTCCTCCCATTAGAATGTGAGCTCCTTGAAAGCAGCGATTATCTTGCTTTTCTTTTTGTCTCTGCAGCTCTTTGCACATAGTAGGCACTTAATAAATGCCGTTTTAATCATCCATTCATTCATTCTCTTGCTTGGTGACATCACCACCCATAGATTCAGTTATCTCTGTGCAGACAACTCCCAGGACTCTATATTCAGCCCTACATGCTCTCTTGGCATTTTATCCCTCCTCACATGCAACATTTCATCTTTCATTTCTGGAATGATCTCTCTACCTCTGCCTCTTGAAATCCCTGGATTCTTCCAATTCTTAACACAAATACTACCTTCCCATATGAGACTTTTCCTGGTCTCCCTCTCCCCTACATCCAGCTGCTTATACCTTTCCCTCCCTTCCACTTTATACTTGCTTTATATGTGTTTTGGATATTCCTATATATGTACATGTTGTTTCCTCTTTTAAAATGTAAACTTTTTGAAGGCTGTTTTGAATTTGTCTTTGTATCTCCTGGGCCCAGCACAGTTCTTAGTAAATAGCAAGTACTTAATAAATATTTGTTGATTAATTGATTGATTTCATCACTAGCGCTATTGAAGGTAGGTGATTCAAAAGAAAGAATCCAAAAATATCTCAACAGGCTAGAATGTTCTATACTTGGGTTCAAAATGCCAGTTTCAGAAAATTTGATAGAGGAGTCTTAGGTGGCCATTTCTGTGAAGAAACATGGGGGTTTTAGAGAATTTCAAGCTCAATCTGAAAGATGGATATGATATGACAACTAAAAATTTTAGTGATATCCTGCCTTGTATTGAGAAGCCTCACATCCAGAACAGAGGGAGTCCTTGTTTCACTGCATTTTCTGACCTCATTAGGGCTTGCCTGGAGTTTTGTGTTGGTTAGATAGGCACCACGTTTTAGGAAATAACTAGATGAGCTGTAGTATGACCTGAAAAGGGCAACAGAGTAGTGGAGAACCTCAAGCTCACACCATGTGGGAAAGGATCAGCCGAAGGATCAGAGAATGTTTGGAGTAGAGAAGGCTTGGGGGGAACATGGTGGCTGTCTGTGTTCAAATGCTAGGAAGGCCGTCATATGGAAGAGGGTTAGCTTGGTTCTGCTTGGCCTTGTGGAGACATAAAATGGGGGAAAGCTGCAGGGGCAAATTTGATCTTGGTGTAAGGAAAAACTTATCATCAGGAAGTCCTGCTTCTCCCTCACCAAGATCCTTCCAGCAAAGGCTGAATGACTCAGTGATTTTGTGGGGAGGATTCTTGTTTAGGCATGGATTGGCCTAGATCGGGGGTGGGGTTAATGAAGTCATGAACTTGCTTTTTTGGATATTTTGATAACTGTATTTCAATATAATTAGTTTCTTTTGTAATTCTTTGTAGTTTGATTCTATATATATTTAAAAAGTTATTCTACAAGGGGTGGGTGGGCTTCATCAGACTGCCAAAGGGGTCTGTGACTCCTGGTCTAGTAGAAGACTTCTTAAAGGCCCTTTTAGATCTTACTTTTGATACTCAGAATTTCTGAGAAGTAGAAGAAGCAAGGATTTTTCCTTAGGATAGCTTCCATTCTCAAATAAAAGTCATCTGCCATAAGCATAGGAGTTGGCGTGATTGGAAACATTCATTATGGGAAATGAAATAGTCAGGCAGTGAGAAAGTTTGTCAAGCAGCAGTGAGTGTCCATCTGAGATTATCTAGCAATTTATCATGCAATAATATTAGGGCAGTTTTGTGATTTTTTTTTTTTAGCAATTCTCATCAGTGCAGGAGAAAGGCAATCAGATGGTAAAGAGGTTGCCCAGTATTGAAGATTTAGCAGTTTGGGAGTTGCTGAATGTTGTAGGAGCAGGGGATTCTATCACAATGGATAGCAAATCATTAAAGTGATTGGTGTTAAAATTGGGTGTTTAAGGCAAGTGAAGCCAGAATAAAGAATGAAGAAGTATGATGATTTTTCCTTTTCTCATCCCTGACTTTGTGCCATTCCAGTTTAGTTTAATTTAGTGTGGCTTAATGTGGGTCATCCTTAAATGTCTTAATTCCACTTCTCTGAACTGTTTTATTTTCTAGATTCTAGAAGACAGCATGATATTTTCTCTAGCAGGATGTGTTATAACTGCTAACTGTAAGTACAGAGAGCTTTCTTTTGGTTACTTAATCAAATAAGGATTGGTAAAGTTATTCAAAAGCTAGTCAGCTATTCAGTAACTGTCCCCTTAATTTTTTTTATAACTTTCCTTAGTCCTTCTTTATTTTTTATTCTTTATTCTTTTAAAGAAACTGATACACCCATGCACCTTTATATCTACAGCCAAATTAGGCATTGCTCTGCAACTACAAAATGTTATAAATGTCTTGACCCAGCTTCACAGATTGTGAATTCTAGTTCGTGCTTTTTAAAATGAGCTTTTTGACACCTCTCCAACTGGAGCAGTGAGCCTTTCAATTTCCTGCTGATACCTTTCTCTTTGACTCTTGTCCCAGCCTGCTATTATTAAGGTCTACCAAAGAGAAGATGTAGGACACAGAAATCATGAATTGAAATAAAACCCTTCTTGAAGGAATTTAAGAGATACTTTCATTCCAAAATGTATGATTTGTGTTCAGTTTTCCCTATTCATTTTTAGAGCAACTGTTCATTCATATGCCATATATTAAATAGATATTAAATATCAAGAAGGTAAGGAAAATGCCCCCAAAATCATATTTATAACCATAGAATAACAGATTACATTCAGTCTCTTGATATTCAAAAGGGATTTTCCTTACATCTGAAGAATATGCCCAAATTTTAAGTCATCCTATGAATATTGCCCTTAAGTTTAAAAAGACCATTTTTGACCCTGAGAAATTTATTCAATTACTGAAGAAGAAGAAAGTCAATTTAGGAAAACAAATTTTGCAAAATAATGTCTGTAGCTGCATCTGTTATTTTTGACTAGGCTTTTTAAAGAAGTTGGACTGTATTCTATTTAGAAGGTCGTAATTGTCTGTTGTTAACATTTGTAAATCATACACTTGCTGGTTAACTAGAATTGTACAAAAGTTCTGATATTTTAAGATTGCTTGTTCTTCTTATAAAACTGCACTCTTTATTTGTCCATTCAGGGTATTTATTGAGTGTCCATCACATGTAAAGATGTTTATTGAATATTGAATTCAGCATGTCGTATAATCTGTGTGATATATAAATTATAAAAACCAAAATTCTGTCATTTATTCAAAAAAATTCCAGTAATGAGGCACATTTAGTAAAAATAGTAAATAATATGGTACATGACTGATATTCATATTTGTGAGCTTCAACTTTAGGTAAAGAATAAAAAGAATCATGGATAATAACTTTTCAACCAAAACTGCCTTGCTGTTGAAATCATTGCTATAGGCACAAAGTCAAATATGAGAACCACTAGGAATCTTACTGTAGTATTCCCAACACCTGGCACAGGGCCTGGAACATAGTGGGCACTTAATAAATGTTTGTTGATTGATTGAAATTAGGTGAAAGTGAATCAGGAGACAGTATAGGAAGTTATCATTATATTTGAATTAAATTAGCATAAAAGCCCACAAGTCAGCCAAAAGGAAGTTAGCATGTAGCACTAGAAACTGGGAAACATTTTTTTTTAAACCAGATAAAGACCCTAGGGGGGAAAAAAAGGACAGCTCAGTAAAAAATGGGTCAGGGTCAATTTAGACCTTGCCCAAGAAGAGGGGTGCTTTGCTACCAGGTGGTCACATTTCTTTGAACAGCAGTATTCCTGTGGAGAAGTTGTAGGGTGTGATTGTGCCCTATAGTCAATAAAATTAACTCTCTTTTCTACCTCAGAGTAGACATTCTTTCTGGGAACTTCCACTAAGCTCCATTTACAGGTGGCTCCAGAAGACACTAGCTACAATTTGTAAAATTTGGCAAGATGAATGCCAGCTACATCCAGTTTTATATCATACCTGTGCTAGGCCAGTTTTTGAATTGACCCATTTCTCCATTCCAAACAGATGAATCAGTTTGTCCCCCAATGGTGCTTCCATCATATGCCAGTGATAATTTTATAAATTCACATATCCAGTAAGAACGAATGAGAGTTCGTTTCATCACACAATCAATCACAGATTTTGAGCTAATTTTATCTCCCATTAAAAATTAAGCTTTACAAATCAGTTTCCTATGAGTTTGGTTAATGTGAATCATTTAACCAGTCTGTGGTCCTTAACAAGGCTCATGTTCCACACTGTGAACCAGAAATAACCACTGACTCTGATAATCCTCCCCCAGCCTGCACATTTGACTACGTTTATTATTATCACTATTTTACCCAGGACAGTTTTTTTAATTAGCAGATTCAATTTAATTTGCCAGTTTCAAGAAAGATTCCAGATTGTAGAATCTCATTTTGGCAACAGTCTGTTCATAATCATGTTCTCTATTCAATCATCTTCTTGGCATATCTTATTAAACTGTTACAGTCAAAGCTTATTTTGGGCTGGCTTTTATGCATCTTCTTTATCAGTTCAAAAAATAAAGTAAGTAAGTAAATCCTTTTCCTGTTCTCTCCCTTCTCCCCCAAAAAAGAAGTTGCTTTTTCTATTGTATTGTTACCACTTTTTCTTTCCTAGTATGCATGTGGGCAGTCTATTTTATTACTACATCAGAAGATGTCCAGAAGAAATTGCACAAAGAGCTAGACCAAGTTCTTGGGAAAGGTCCAGTTACTCAAGAGAAAATTCATCAGCTCAGGTAAAAATGCAGAAAAAGTAGAAGGAATAATTAGAAAACAAGTTTTTATTTATTTCATAACCTGATTATTACTTACCCAAATATCGGTATATTTATATGTCAGTATTAACTACTACTATAAGGGTTATTTTTTCTCTTAAATGGATCATTTAAATCTGTTTTTTAACCTGTGATATATTGTTCTGGAAAACTCTGAAGTCAGTTATGCAAATAAGCAGCTACCCAGTTGCCATAGGTAACAAATAGAGATACTGCTATTTGAGTGGCTGATTGGCAGGACAAATGCCCATGGGACTGGGGTGGGCCGGCCTACTTGTAATTTAGAAAGTCATAGTTAGGGAAAAGCATCATGAACCCCAGATGAGTAGGACCTAGGGGCCTAGCAGGTTACTCTTGGACATCTCCTATAGAAGGGCTATAAAAATTTTAAATACGCCCTGGTCTTGAGTTAGTAAATAGTTTGTTTTGGCCTATGTATGGGAGGTTAGGGTAAAAACATGATTATAAAGGGGAAGAAAGATTTTAGCAGATAGATATGGAACTAAGAGGTGAAATGTATAAATTACCAGCCACTCTATCCATTGATTTTGCTTAGTAGTTTTTCTTTGTGACAAGGGAGGGTTTAATTCCTGGGAATGGGGGTGGGAAGGTGCTATATTCCAAAATTACTAAAATGTAAAACTAAAAAACATCAATAAAGCTTAATTTTGTTAAAAACAGCAGGGAAAGACAGGATTCATTTTTGGATCGGGCAGATTTTCCCTTCCCATATCTAACTTAAATAATTTTACATTGTTATTGTTCAGTTGCTTCAGTGATGTCTAAATCTTCGTGACCCCATTTGGGGTTTTCCTGGCAAAGTTACTGGCATGGTTTACCATTTCCTTCTCCAGCTCACTTAATAGAGGAGGAAACTGAGGCAAACAGGGTTAAGTGATTTTACATTAATTTTAACATTATTAATCACAAATTATGAGGTATTAAAACACAGTAGTTTATCCCCTCTCACAGAGAAATACATATAGCAGATGATAAAACTGTTTCCCAAACATAGAAGGTCATCAGAGGTTAGTGAATAAAAGTTTCTTTAAAAGTATTGCACTTCTATACTTTTTGTTTAAACAGATATTGCCGGCAAGTGCTCTGTGAGACAGTTCGAACAGCTAAATTAACACCAATTGCTGCCAGACTTCAGGACCTAGAGGGAAAAGTTGATCGGCATATCATTCCTAGAGAGGTAGGAAGAAATCTAGTTTCTCTTCTCTACAAGGATTTTTAAAGTATCTAAAATGAGTTGGATTGATAAGAATTAAGATGTGGCTCTTGCTCAACTTTGATCAACTGTATTGACTTTTTCTTTGCAGACCCTTGTTCTTTATGCTCTTGGCGTGGTTCTTCAGGATAGTTGTGCCTGGCCATCACCGTACAAGTAGGAGATCTTTGACATGTTTCTTTGTTAGCTGATTATCCAATTCATGCACAGATGAGAAACTTATGATGTGCATTTTTATTTTCTGAGTTCCTAAGGGAAAAGTAAAATGAAATATGGGATATAGGAAAAAAGAAAAGAGACTCATTACTTCTTTTCTTTGTTTCCTCTTCTAACCCTCTGGTTCTTGTCTTTGCCCTTCACCCTCAAGAATCTATTTCACTGGGAAATAAACACCTTTTACTTCTCAAGGTTTATCCACACACCTGACTGAGTCACCTAAGCTTCACTTTCTGCCTATATAGACATTTTAAAAAATCTGCATGAAAGGAATTGGAGTTAGAATTTACTACACTGAGACTGGGTTTTTTACAGAGGCCCTAAAAGTTTATAAGGCCACAAGTGAGGGCCTGTTTGCGGAGCAAGGGGAGGATATCACTGTCAACAGCCTTGTCTAAAGTACTAGAGAGCCCATCTCTGCAGAAACAAGAGAGAGAGAGATACAGATATGTCTAAATATACACTATATATTAACATATCAACAAATAGATGTATGTTTTAAAAATTAGAATATTATTGTATTTGGCATGAAACTCAAGGTATCTTTTAAGTGAGCAGGTATGTTCCTACAAAGTTTGCTGTAAGACACATTTTACTTTAAAAATGACTGTCACATAAAATTAGAGGTAAGTTATTGTAGAAAAATTGGTGCTTGTGTATGTAATCAATTTTAATTTAGAAAATAAACAAAACCTTTTAAAATCACATGATGGCAGGTACCATATCTTATCTAAACTTTTTATCTTCCCTAATGGTGTATTTTGCACACAGTAGTTACTTAATAAATGTTTGTTGTTTGGTTGATATAATTTACGGACAAACATCAAACATAGTATTAAATTAATAAATTGAGGAATGATCAAAAATATATTAATGCTATGCTGCAGTCAAAATAAATCCCAAAATAACATGGACTTTTTAAAAAAAGCTTGTTTTGTTTTTCAGATTAAACAAATAACTGTTGGAAATGCTAACAGTCCCTAACAAAATGTATTTTGTTTAAATAGAAAAATTTAATAAAGTAACTGAGATATGGCAGTGTAGCATTTGTCATTTCCATTGTAGAAACAGCAATCCCAGTAATGGTTGAGTTTAAATTTCTTATTATTTACAAGCTTCTGTAATATATATGACTTTACTTTCAAAGATTTTTCCCCCCCACTACTTTTATCATCACTTGCATGTATTAGTCTCTTTCCTTTACAGGTTGTTAAAATGTCCTTGACTGAGAGCATACAGGAGCTCATAAAGCTAGCAGATGAAATGATCAAATTTTGTTTAGGGATAGATGCTCAACACACTGTCTTCTGAAGCATGTAGTTTCTAGCAACAGTATCATGAGACAGTGTTCAGCAGCTGTTAGCAAACTAGAAGACAGTGCTTGCATTTACTTGCCAACCAAAAGGTTTCTTCACAACTAATGCCTTATTTTAGGGGCTGTTAGCTCTTCCAAGTAGGTGTTTGTTAAGTCTGTCAGGGTATTGATGGTTGTTGGTTATCAGTAGTAAACAACAGTAGACGATCTAGGTATATATCTTCCAAATTCTGTTACTTCAGGAAGGGCTGATCTGTAGAAAAATTGTTGATTTGATTTAAGTCAATAAAGTAACCATCCTTTTAGTGAATTTCAGTCAGGCATCTTTTAACTGCATATAAAAATAGCATACATTTTAAAGTATTTGGATACTTATCAAACATTTAATATATAGTTTATAATAAAAATATCCTGATGAATAAAGTTTTATTTATTTCAGTTGCTTCTTTTAGAGTATATTACTATTGGGTAAGCTTTTGAAAGTTAAAGTAGGAGTCTTGACAGTGTATAAACATGTTACTCTGTTTTCTGTCTATAATGATACTTTAATTTCTAATAAATAAAATTGGTTACAATGAATCATCAGATTTTTAGAACTAAAAAGACTTTGCGGTCTAGTACAACTTGTTTTACAGATCTAGAGCCTGAGATCCAGAAGTGTTTACTGATTTGCTCAAGGTCCCACAGCCAGTTAGTGGGTAAAATTAAAACTAGAACCCATGATTTCTGACTCTCAATCCAGGATTCTTTCCACTAAATAACACTTTATTTTCAGCGCTTTCTAAAGGCTCATTTTGTAAGCAACAAGTTGAAATAGTTGTAGAATTCCTATCTAGCAGAATATTACAATCTTACAGCTACCCATAAACTTTTAAAAGGCCTTTTCTTCTGCTTAAAGACAAAAGGCAGTATCCACTGTACCCTGTACTTCCAAATTTTTACTCTCTGAGCTATCAAATTGAGGGCACAGAAAGTTCTATAATTATTGATGCAGAAGGTGGACCAAACCTGATGTCTCACATTAATGCCACATAAGTGGAATAACATCAGTAAAATGGAACTAAGTTTTGTTAGGGGAGCCAGTCTTCCATCCTCATGAATCCCCAAGCTTTGAGCTTTCTTCTTCTAAAACTAAAATATCTGGCTCTTTGTTGGCATTAATCAAAATTTACAGATACATAAAGTATGCCAACATATACATATGCATATGTACATACTACACATATAGTCGGCACTTAATATCATTTTCTTGAATGAATGAAGGTGATAGAGTGAATGTGGCGTGTCTTTCATGAGACTTACATGAGACTAAAATGAATATATTAAAGTATACTATAATATTGTACTTTATATTATAGTAGAAGATAAAAGGGAGTTACAGTAAGTGAAAGCATGACTTGCAGACTCTTTTTGAAGAGTTAAATAAAGGATTTGGTGGTAGTGATTTCATTATGTGTTCAGTGGCAATAAGAAACACTTAATGGGACATTTGGCCGTATCATATTGCATGATTATGTTAATTTTTTTCAAAAAGACCACTGTGAACATAATCATAGCTTATCCATCACCAGCATTTAGGATAAGAAGGTAAAGAAGATTTTGATAAGGTCTTCCAAATTAAATCAGTGTATGCTTTGTTATTTGGTGATTTTACTGCAAAGACGAACTAAGGAGAGGATGGTAAAATATACTGGAAAACATTGTTTAGGAGTAAGGAATGCAAGTAGCTGAAGGCTTGCAAACTTCAAAAAGCCTAACCCTGTATTATTATAAATGCTTTCTTTGAGAAAAGAATCAGGACATACATCCTGAAAAATTATATTGCTTATATTTCAACAGACAGGAAATCATTCCTGCTGTGTCATTCCCAAATCAGCTGTGTAGAGTCAGACTCCCAAATTGTTAAAGATCTAAATTAATAGAGAATTAGAAGAAAGAATAAAAATGAAGAGGAGGGAATTGGCATGCAATTAAAACATTTCCAACTCGAACCATTTAAATAAGTTGTTGATGCCAAAAATGTCAGGAAAACTGACATTAATTATAAAAGTTTCCTAAGGAAGTTTAACCATTGTAAATCAGCTGTTCCAAGGAGACCAGAAAGAGCCTAGAAACTACCTCATCCAGCAAATACTGTTCTCAAGTGGAGACACCAGTTTGGAATACAAATTTATTTGTAAAAAATTAGGAGCAGTATCACCTCAGGAAATAGCAAGAAGCAATGAATGGCAAAACCATGTCAAGAAAGTGTGATGAGGTACTCAGCTAAGCAAAGTCCTGCCAAGGGAATGGAAGAATGAAGCTGGAAGAAGGACAACAAGCAGACAAAACCCTTTGTAGAGAATCTTATAACAAACTTGTTTTTATCATTAAGGACAATCAAGTCACCGCGTTCGGACTCTCATATCACAATCCTAAAGTAAATGGAAATGACACTGAAGAAGAGATGAAAAATGGCTGAAAAGAGAAGCCCCATGCTAGACGTAATGCAGCAAAAGGTCAGTGTTCAAATTCTCAAAAAACAGGAAAGAATGGAATACGCAAACTATAGACTGATGAACTTGACTTCAGTTCCTGACAAAACTCAACACGTTCCAGTTGTTATCCCTGTTATTAAAGAGGTGGTACATGACTATGTTGAAAAAGGAAGGATCACAAAGAACTTGTTTAGATTCATCAAAAAATAGGCCAGGTGTTTGACAGAGAGGATGGATGCAGATGGATGCAAATTTTTGGATATGTTGACTACATATTTGTTACCAGTTTTTCTTTTTTTTTTTTTAATTTGAAAGGGCAAGGTGTGAAGGAGAGAAGGGGCTAGGGATTGGATTGCCCAGAAAAAAGAAAGAAAGAAAAAAGAGTTGTTATAACTCTTTCTTTTTTTTATGCACAAAAAAAGAACAGAAGAAAGCCAGAAAGAATCACAGATGAGCAGGATAGCTTTGAAAGTTACACATTGAATTTATTATGTATTTTTTTGAAAGCAAGCTGTGTACCATAGAGATTCAGAGTTTCATGTGCAATCCTCTTTTCTACTGTGTTCATGGAAATGTTTATTTTATCTGGTATTTATTAAGTGCAGAATTCTTAAAAAGTGGGAGAAAAAAGGACAGGTCAGAAGACCAATCTCATTTTTTTGTTTTGATACTAAATTAATAGATCTGCTAAATAGCTAAATTAAGTTACTAATAGATTGGGGAATTGCTACAGATATAGTTTGCCTAAATTTTGGCAAAATGTTTGATATGACATCATGATAATTTTGTGGAAAAGATAGATATGAACTAGAGGCTAGTATAATTGGATACATTCAGAATCCATTGACTGGTTAGACTCAAAAGAATAAGTGTTGATGGTTCCATGTCAGCTTGAGAAGAGGTTTCATGTGGAGTGCCATCAGGACGTATGCTTTGGTCCTGTGCTATCTGCCATTTTTATCAATCCTAAATAAAGGCATAGATGGTGTGCTCATCATACTCAGAGAAAGATGAAAGGCACAGTTAACAGGCTAGATAACAGAGTCAGTATCTAAGAGGTTATATTGCTGAGCTTAATCTAAGAAGATGAAATTTAAAAGAGAGCTGTAAAATCTTGCATTTGGATATTTAAAAATCAGTTTCACAAG